CCACGGAGGACAATCAGCCGGTCGGTCGCCGAAGAGAGCCAGCTGCGCCCGCATCGAGTCGAGCTGGGTGTAGTTCTTTTGACCAGCAACAAGACATGATAAGGAGAGCGCGCCAAGGGCCGCAAGCCGAAGACTCGGCGGCGACATGATGAACATCGCCGGTGAGGCTCAAGGTAATCGGTGATAGTGGATACTCTCTCGACTACGTTGGCAATGTTGACGAAGGGGAAAGACGGAAGTTGGCGATAGGCTGGTACATTAAACTAGGTACAAACCCCACGAAAGCTCCAAGACAACGTATGAGGAAGCTGGAAGGTAACTCGGTTGGTCGGTTGGCCAGTTGACTGCGCCACCCTTACACCACCAGCTTAGGCTTACTTGGTTACTGGTTAGATGCGCGGTCTTATGCTGGTCTTAGCTAGTCGCGTGTGTGATGTCAGGGCTGGGATTCGATATCGACAAGGTCACGAGGAGAATATGATGGATGGTATGAATATAAAAATGGTGAGATTTGATAGAAAGAAAGAAGGAATAATTTGAATACTACCGACCATAAAGTCAGATGATGACTCGCCAGAGCAAGTTGAGAGAGATAAGAGAGTTGGAAGAGTTGAGAGGCGCAGGGACGGTAGCAATAGAGGAACCGAGCTCGGGAAATGGGAGGTGGACCCGACCGAGACACCTGAGCAACTGCTGAGATACACTACGAAGTACCTACTACTATGGAAGGTTAGGTACCTCATAACCTGCCTAAGCTGTAACGCCGTAGCAGCGCACAGCTGCCAAATCCCCAACGTATGGGACTATCGGGGGTTTTTTAAGATCTTCTCCGACCCCCAGATATGCAAATACAGTTACAAATTCACCGTTGTTATCAATGGCAACCAACTTTCATTTAGTTGATCTCTCCAAAGTCCCATTTAAGACCAATACCTATCTCACACAACATAATACACCCGAATACCGAATACTTAGTCGCCCTAGGAAATTAACTATTATCTCTCAAAGCTCAAGAACCCCATTACGCAAACCCTTTGAGTCCAATTGGTCACGGTAACTTACATCGTCCCTAAACAGTGTGTACTAAGTCTTCCGGCTTAACTGGTTAAACCAGTAAGAGGTCACAATACGAGCCTAATACATTCCACAGGTTATAAGGTTAAGGAAAGGTTCGTGGTACTGTAACAGTTAGACTAACTTAGAAGGTTGACGCGTTAAGCCCAGTTGGTTCGTACTCTGAAGAGCGCCAGTGTGATACTAAACATTTATGAAAGCCCAAGACATCATTCTCATTGTAGAAGCGTAATAGGAGAGCTGCACTAGCAGAAATACTAGCATAGAAATTCAAGCCACGCTTTCGTTAGTAAACATAGGCATTAGTACCTAACATACCTATATAAGAGATCTCACTAATATGTCAAGTCACCACAGCTATATGGTGATAGTTCTCAAAGCAAGCAGCTAATAAACATTTAACCCCTTTCTTAACCCCTCGACGTCTATCCGTCTATCCAAGTAACCGAACTAAAACCAAAGATTTTCATATATTCAATATTATTATTATAGATCAAGTACCTAAAGAATACTATTACTTATACTAGATAGCTCGATAATGCCATGCCGCCAGGAATTAATATACAGATAGCTATTTCAACCGCGTCAAGCTTCCATTTAATAAACTTAGGTTAGGTACATAATAGAAAAGCAACAAAATTCCAATATACCTTGTTCGACGACACATTCACTTTATTCTCTGACAAAAGACATAGCACTTTAATCATGACAGCCTACATCCTCCATTCGCAACCCCCACAATCTCCGCACCCAAGTAGCAATACCGAAGAACGGCGCCTTTAGAGTCCCACAGCACGCCCTTCGCATGTCGTAAGAGAGAGATATATACCTTAGGTAGGTAAATAAAAATGTCTAAATAACTCGCCCCTTATACGACCTAATTTGTTATACCTAAGATCACCTTCTTTAATACAATTAACCATCTGCTTTAAAGACTCTATTAAAGGTCAAAATCTCGGAACAACACTTTACACATAACAACTTGAACCATTCTCATAGAAACATCAAGATGGTGAAAATCCCAGCGTTTGAGGTAGAGCAGTGGATGGACAGGTACGAGAATACGCCAGGGGTACTGAACATCGCCGAAACATGCTGCTCGTCTATATCGATCGATCAACTTGTACAATTCAATAGTGATCAGCAAAGCAACGCTCATCCGCTGATCGATTTCTCTAAGCCTATGACGTACGGTCCAATTCGGGGATCTGACGAGCTGCGGCGGAATATCGTAGCCATGTATAACGAAGATGTTGATACGAGGACGGCAGTCGCTCCTCTGTCTACCGAGAACGTTATTGTTACGCAGGGAGCCATATCCGCCAACCACTTAGTATTCTACAGCCTCGTTGGGCCAGGGGATCATGTGATTTGCGTCCTCCCAACTTATCAACAGCTGTACTCTATCCCCGAGTCTTTAGGGGCTGAGGTTTCCTTATGGAAGCTCAGACCGGAGAACGGATATATTCCCGATGTCGCTGAGCTCGATACCTCGATTAGGGATAATACAAAGGTATGTCGTCTATTTCAGCTCAACAGTTATGTTTATTTTCTCCAGTCAGCTTACCATTCTAGATGATCGTCATTAATAATCCTAATAACCCGACGGGAGCGACAATTCCAAAAGAGGTCCTAGCTAAGATAATCGACATTGCGCAAAAACACGGCATCATCGTCCTCTCAGATGAAGTTTATAGGCCGCTGTTCCATAGCCTCGAACCGGGAAATATCCCACCGTCGGCACTAGGGTTAGGTTATCCTAAGGTCGTAGTTACCAGTTCCATGTCTAAGTCGTGGGCCCTGGCAGGTATTCGAGTGGGTTGGGTGGCGTCGCTAGATGCTTCCATCATCGAAACCATCGCGTCCGCCCGCGATTACACCACTATTAGTGTGTCACAGCTCGACGACCAGGTGGCACGGTACGCTCTGAGCGCCTCCGTGCGGCCGCAACTCCTAGCGCGGAACATTTCTCTAGCTAAGGAGAACATACAGCTACTAGAGCAATTCATCCAAGACCACTCGAACGTATGCTCCTGGGTGAAACCGACGGCAGGAACCACAGCATTCGTGCAGTTTAAGGACAAGAAAGGGGCTCCAGTGGACGATGAAGCCTTCTGTAAGGATGTTCTAGATAAAACTAAGGTTATGTTTCTACCTGGGTCTCGCTGTTTTGGATATGGCCAGGCTTCATCCTTTGATGGGTTTGTCCGTATCGGATACGTGAACGAGACAGAGATACTACGTCAGGCATTAGAGAAACTTGGCTCATATCTAGTGGACAATTTGGAGTAAAGATCAAGCGAGTAACGAGAATAGACATGGAATTTGATATTAGTTATTCCGTCTACTTAGATAATAACGTAAATTTCCAACAACTCCCTGTGAAGTTGATACCACAACTCAACCATCAAAAGGCACTTGGGAATATGGTATTATAATGCTTAGTTAACAAATCTGGAAGGGGAATATATCTCTCCATGGAGTCTCATTACCGGTTCGCCGCATTTGGCATTCGGTCGGCTTCCGGGCTGTAACTTACCTGGTACCGGGTAGAAAGAAAGAGGGTGGGAACAAGGGGAAGCTGTCTATCTGCACTGCGACGACATTGCCGTAATCTAATATGCCAGATAACAGTACCGCATCGATACGACTCTAGATTGACATATTCCCGCGGGATGCGGAAATCATGCCTTATAAAAATGAAAGCGAGTTTTCAGCTTATGAACCTTTTGAAATCAATATAACTCGAGTGCTAGAACAAATCGGCTCTGGGTAGTATTGTAAAGTGTAAGGAGTTAAGTAAGGAAAAGCGTAGATGAAAAAAGAAATTCCAGCCCAGGTTTTAAGGCAATTAGATTTTAGTCAGGCACAAATGTACGTCAAGGTAGTATTGGACAATAGGCTTCAAGATGGCTGGGCTCCTAGCAAGGGTTAGGAAGATTATTCTAGCATTACACATATGATGAAGACATTACGCTTAGATGGTGCTGACTCAATAATTCAAGAACGACAAGATATCATATCCATAGCACGTTTTCCGAACCCATACAATTTCGTTCCGTGTTAGCGAAACGATACAATAAGATCCATAGAAAGATCCATGAATACTGGGGCCTCCCCCGATCTCAAAATCGCATAAGAATTACGCGAGCGGGTGTAAGCCATTAATCAGCACTCAAGACGATTTTATCATCCGGATTGGGGCAATAAAAGAAAAAAAATATACCAGCCTAACTCGAATCTGTACGGGGTTGACCCACTGAGCTGTGGTTGGAGCCGCAAGATATACATCAATGATCAACAAGCTCAACTATGTACTTCATACTGAGATATGTATTAGTAAGAAATCACTGTATGTAGACATCTACTTGGGTGGTTCGTATAGAAACCCGTTAGTCTATTCCCCTTAGTTTATTTACCCCCTGATCTGGCCTGATGGAATACTACCTAGGTACCTAACATAAGGCACCTAACCTACGTCTAAAGTACTTACGAATCAATACCTAAAGTACCTAATGATTACATCAAAACTAGGTTGCATTACCAATATACATCAAACATGAAGAGAGCTACCTTGGTGGTTGAATATGCACAAGCTACCAGCTGGTAGTTGGTTTGAGATGCGGCGCCATTACGACTCTACTATGTATTAAGCTATGCTGTTGGGGGAGTGGGGATTGTGACAGTTCGTTGCTGGGGTTAGGTAGATTTGGAAGAATGAGAGAAAGAGGTAGAAGAGAGGCCAGATCAGACTTCAACCCGCTTGTGTACTGTCGAATAGGATCGACCTAGTTGCGATATATACATACATACCTACCTTACAAGGTGCCTTACATGGAGCCTTATTATTAATGGATGATAAAGAAAAATAAGCAAAAGTAAACCACGCCATCCCCACCTCTCTCCGTCAAAGGTGCCCGCTAGCAGCTGTTGTCTATGATGTAAACATAAGTATAAAGTCGACGAGGTGCCGTCGTTGAGAATGTCCTTATTCTATACAACTTCAAATCGAAAAATACAATAATATTCAAGCATCTTTATAAATCTTAAGATTTTAGTCTATTTCTTTATCAAGCGCAGCAACTAGATACCCCTATTTTCATTTATTCGCAATGGCACCCAAGATTGCTATCGTCTATGTAAGTTTTTTTATTTCACATGCCACTATTTACGGGATTCGCGTGGTTAGGTAAAGAGGAGAAAACTTGGATGTTCTTAGGAGGTAGTCAATGGATCATATCAGAAACTCAGACTGGTCATGACTCATGACTTGATTAAGTCGAACTACCAAATTTCCCAATATCCTCCCAACTCCCGACTCGTGGCCTTTCGATACTACAGCGACTAACATGCGTCTTTTTATAGTACTCCACCTACGGCCATGTCCGCCAACTAGCCGAGGCTGAGAAGCGCGGCATTGAAAAGGCTGGCGGTACTGTCGATCTCTTCCAGTAGGCGCCGCTCTCTACGTATCCTTCTCCTGATATGTGCTAATAAAGCAACTACAGGATTCCCGAGACCCTCTCCAAGGAGGTTCTGGCCAAACTAAATGCTCCCGGCCCGGCTGCCGATGTCCCGGTCCTATCGGATCCGGCGACTCTCGAGTCGTACGACGGCTTCTTGCTCGGCATCCCGACGCGCTACGGAAACTTCCCCGCGCAGTGGCGCGTATGGTGGGATCAGACCGGAAAGCAGTGGCAGAGCGGTGCTTTCCACGGCAAGCTAGGCGGTCTCTTCATCTCAACAGCCTCTCTAGGCGGTGGCCAGGAGTCGACTGCTCTGGCGGCCATGTCCACCTTTGCCCACCACGGCATCATCTACGTCCCCTTCGGCTACGCCAAGGCCTTCGGCACTATGACTGACCTTTCCGAGGTCCACGGTGGTGGCCCCTGGGGTGCCGGTACCTTCGCTGCAGGTGACGGCTCGCGCCAGCCCAGCGAGAAGGAGATCTCCATCGCTGAGATCCAGGGTGCCGAGTTCTACAAGACGGTTGCTAAGTTTGCTTCCGGATCGGCGTGACTACATGATAGCAAGGATAAAGAGACACCAACTGCGACCGCCACACAGGCAGAGGGAAAGAAAGAAAAGAAGCAGAGCGAAGGCCCTTGCGGTTTGCCTACTAAGTGCGTGATAATGTAGTTCTCGTCACCTAGAATGATTTAACTATTAAAACAAATAAAAATTATTGAACAGACTCCCGAGACTCGACCAGTTTTCTACTTTAGACACCTTAATAGTATGCAGTAGCAGCTCCCGTAGTTCAGTCAATAAAACTATCTTACCATAATTAGTCATAATATTTATATATTCAAATACAGATATATATTACCCCTATTCATCCATACCTCAGCTACATAACACAACCTCTCGAATCACACCTTGGTATTTCTCACTCTCCTCAAATGCAGGACCTGCGTACCTACAAACCCGAGCCCCCCTATAAACACCGTCGTAGCACAATATACAATCAATCCCTTCCAAGCTCCGTCATCATCCACATCTTTCAAAATCGCACCCGCGATTGGCGTTCCCACCAATACTGCTATTCCGATGAATGCGAACAACATGCCCATACGAGTACCAAGGCGGCCCAGATCCGGCGTAAGGGTCACGATAGCACTAGGAGGCAAGCTTGCAACTCCCCCATTAAAAAACCCAAAGAGTACCGCGAACGTAATCGTTCCTCCGAGATCATGCACGCCGAGCCAGCTAAAGGCAAGGATACCAGCGCCGAGTGTCATTGCGGCTAGCATGTTCATCGAACCCAAGTAATCGGCAACGAAATTCGGCAAGATGCGCCCGAAGACGCTCCCGGCGTTAAGCAAAGTAACCAGATACGCAGCCAGGTCGGCGCTCGCGGTACCGCGCCGTAACGCGAACAGCTGCAAATAGAAAAATGGCACGTACATTCCCATGAATGACGGCAGGGCCGAAATCGCAAAGCTCATGAACGGCACATCCCGTATAGCGTCGCGGTCGAAGAAGGCTCGTTTATGCCGAGGTGGCGCGACACGCGGACGCACTACAACGATGAACGTTAACAGACAAGCCAAATAGGGGGAAGAACGAGAAAGAAAGCTCAACAGCACGTACTACAAACCAGCGGCACGACAAGCAGCCCCAGCAGAATAAACGCCAACACGCGCGTCGCCCATCCAAACCCAATCCGCGGCTGCAACCTACTAAACAGGATCGAAAAGACAATACCCCCGACCGGCGAGCCCGAAGACTGCAAACCCAGCGCCAGCGCGCGTCTTCGCGCAAAATACTGGCTCAATATCGCCGCAGACGGGAGAAACAACAACCCGCACCCAACTCCAACCGCAACACCCTGCGCCAGCAAGACCTGCCAGTACGTCTCGCACAAGGACGTCATGAACAAGCCAAGCACAACGAGGGCCGAGCCCGAGATGGTCAGCGCGCGGAAGTGGCCCGCGTCGAACAGCGGGCCGGATACCAAACCGCCCATGTTGAGGAGGGCACCCTGCAAGGAGCCGATCCAGCTGATGTCAGAGGATGTGCTGGACCGGAGGAGATCGGTCTCGTAGTACGTCTGGTACACGCCGAACGAGTTGATGAGGCCCCAGCTCGCGAGCATGATGACGAAGGCCCCGAGGACTTGGAGCCATGCTACTAGGCCGCCGCTGTTAATGTAAGGTTAGTAGATGTAAGTATGAGTAGAAAATCGCGTATGTATTAGAGAGTATTCTGGGGTAGGTATAGGAGAGAACCGAGGCGCTGGATCTAATTCCCGGGCCGGTTTATAATATGGAAGAGGTATGTTAATCAAGTCCAAAAATACATACTCCGGAACATCAGAAGTCTTCGGCTCCGCCAGCGGCGTCGCTGTCACTTGAGGAGACTTCATATCCGCATCTTCCGTACGGTCCACGGAACCCTCAAAGATCTCCGTCCCAATCTGCGAGCCCGTGCTACTATCATTTTCGCTGCCCTTTTCTTTTTCCATAGTAGCTTTCGGCACCGTTGCTTGCGGCTCCCAACTTATCCTTTCTCTCCTACGTTGCGGCCGTTCACGGTTTTAACCCTATTTATCTAGGGGTTCTCCTCACCGCCTGCTTGGGATTCCCGATTCCAACCCGCGGAACCAAAACTAGAAAAAATGATGATAATATGCGAGGATAAGGCACATTGATGTAATCCGGGGATGAAGTCTGCGGTCCGCGGTTGATTATTAATCGGTGAAAGTCGCAACCGATTTTATTTATTTACCTACCGGAGGTGGCATCCTTATACGTCAGCAATACGATGTCGCCTTTCGTTTTCGATCACCTGCTCGATTGGGACACGGCCTATTTAAGCGAGGTTAAATTTCATGAACCCCTACTTACCTGGGTATACTATATACTTGTAATCAAGAAATGGAAGTTTTATATATATATAGGTAGGTCTGCTTGCCTATTCTACTAACTTATAAAAAAGTAGTATTAAGATATATCCAATAAAACTTCAACATCGCTGAGCCCTTCCGAAAAGCGGTTGACTTTATTAGTTGCAGTCGGACTCGCCTCGTGCCGAAACGGAATAGGTTGCCGAGGGAAGTTCGATATATCCTAGCGACCTGCTTATTTACCTATCATGCTAAATTTCGTCGGTACATATAAGCACCTTAGGAAGGAATTCAGGTTATAAATTGGGATCGAATATGAACGGACAAGCGGCATCTGAATTGCAAAGGCGAACTACAATAAATAGCCCAATGGCCAGTATATATCAGCCATGTTCCGAGCTGTACCCTTCGAGGCCGAAGATGGTACTTCCTCTCCAAACCTCTCGTTCTTCTCAGTTCCAAAACGAACTTTCCACACCAAGACGCCTTGCAAGTAATGATACATACATAATTCGTCTCGTGTCGTGTTACGCCAACTTCCAAAGTTGCTCAAATACATGTCTGGCTGCTAAATACCAACAAATTAAGAATCTGGTTCATAGTTTTGATCGTATATTATCTTTTGTGATGAGTTATATTATGTGCTGAGTTATTGCTGCCTCTGCACAAGCCGCGGGCGTGTATGCTGCCGCTGACTGTCTCCAGTCTACGAGCTGGAAATAGTATTGAATAGATGTTTAGTGATGAGGGTCGTTGGGATGTGCTGTTGATGGTTCAATTACAATCCGTGGTAATCTCTCAATCCGCAAGCTGGGCAACTGCGGAACACCTCCAATTCCCCTTGAGGATCTCCTGGTCGAAGCTGTATCACGCGCACCGTCTATCATCGAGAGATCTCCGCTCTCCGTCATCCTGTCTGCAGTCTGTGCGCTTAACCGTCGCTCGTGACCACGCGCTGGGTCCGTGTAGTTGGGTGGGGGCTCATTAAAGATAGGTGTCGCAGCCCCCGATCTTACATCGTCTAAGCTAACTTCCTCATAATCCGGTGGAGGCATTTCGACGTCGCCTAGATCTGCCTCGCTGATTATTTCCGGGCTTGATCCGGCTCGAGTGTGATTACTTCCTATCCGTGGTGTGGATGTGTTAGACCTTAGCCCTGGAGATGGAAAATCGCTATCGAGACTAAGAACAGAGCTAGCGCTACGATCTCGACGATGGGACAGACCCGAAGGCGAGCGCGTGGATAGGGCAATGCTAGCCGCATCTGATAACAATCCTACGCCTTCGCTCCCATGACTACTTGTGCGGACTCTTGTACCATTGAGTTGCGCTACACCAAGCTCGTGGTAGCTAACGCTGGAGACGGCACGTTGTCGCTTTTCCTTGATCTGCCCGTACGCATCGCGTAAGTCATCCACGGCGCTGTTATCGCGTGCGGCTCGTCTCTGGGCTGCTATGTCGCCTAATGCCCTCGTATCCCCGCGAGCCCTAGCCTCTTGTGTTAAGCGACGCCGCTCTTCCCGTTCGGCACGTTCCTGTCTTCTTGCCAATCGGATCTGAAATAGCGTCTCCATCTCTTCGTCCCGCATGCTCTCTAGATCCTCGGCGGTAGGATATTCTACCACAACATCAACGCCGTCGCGTTCCCCTTCGCGACCAATGACCTGCTCATTTTCGTTCGCCTTCGGCTTATACGCGGGAAGCGTTATGATGGATCGAATAGACGTGTTTCTATCTACCTGTGATACCGTGCTGTTTCGATTCGTTTGCGAAACCGAGAGGGTAGAAGTTGAGTGGCCATCTCGTCGCCTTCTATTCCGAGCAGATGTCTCAGCAGACTCGGAGTCGGCCGTTTGCTGGTACTTGCCTCGTTTCGCCTGCCCGAACCCGAATTTCGTCCTGTAGCGGAAAAAGCAGAAGGACAAGATAACGACCAATAATATACCACCTATGACGCCAATGATCTATAGCAAAGATGGGGTTATTAAGACGGATCGAAGCAAGCTGGGCCGGTACAGAATAACTTACCACAAAGATGGCTTTTGATGGCGGATGTCCCTGATCACCAGGACCCTTAGGGCCCCCAGGATCTCTAGGCACCAATTTGCTGGCACCGGATCGAAGAGGGAGGGGAATTCGATATGGAAGCAGCATTGTGAAGTATAAACGAATGACTATAGTGTGATGATTTGCGACGCCGTCGGGACGCACCCGATATCGTAAGTTGGCAGCCTACAAACCCAATATTGTTTTAGGACGGGCGCCGTGCGCTTGACAACGGCAAGAAGCCGCAACCAGTTAATAACGGCAAGCTAATCGGTTGTGTCGACGGTAATTCAAAAGAGCCAATCTTGTTCGGGAGTGGTGCAGGTGAGCACGGACGGGGAAGATAGCGGCAAGGTTGGCGAGAATTAGGCACGAATATTGTGATGATGGCACTACCTAGTTATGACGGACTGGTCTTGTAAATAGGGACGACTAATTTCGCGAGACTAATCCAACAGCGCCAGAGAATCAGTAGATGTCTCCTATGCTGCGCGAGTTTACGAAGAGATCTATGTAGTCTTCAATTCAAGCTCGGGTTTGGTATGCGATTTGAGCTTAAGCGCCGGCAATATAGTGGGTAGGGAATAGCAAAACAGTCCGATGGGGTAGGATGGTAATAGACTCGTAGGACTGGAAGTCGTAAATTTAGTTGTAAGCCGACCACGAAGGAGAAGATAGTAAACTACCTCCTGATAGATAGCAACGGAGATGAAGATGGAGATGGAAAGAAGAGGACGGGAAAGTCGCAAGATACAAGAAGCTGGCAGAGTGGGGGGGAGGACAAAACGAGGTACATGGTTAGGTTACAGCAGTCTAAAGACCCGGTAGCTGCGGTAAGAGCTACCTACACTAATACATCTCACTTAGGGCAGTACCTTTACTGCTAATATAATTGGTGTTGATACATGCACCAAAGCAGGCAGTAGGTAAGTGCAGAGGTACATACATGTAGGCATAAGGCAGGCACAAGCGTGGCAAGGGTCGGCAGGTAGGTATTGATGGAGGTAGCCTCGACCCTTCTATTGAATCCATTCAAGCGTTTCCGACTACAGTACGCCCCCTGAAATAATGTTATTCAGCGGACCCCTAGAGCTACTTCGCTGAGATCCTGAAGCGTATGTCTACTGCCGCCCTATGAGGTTGTCGTAGTTCTTCGAAAACGTTGTTTCAGAGTATTTTATGCTATAAAACCCTGGTATAATAGTTGAGATGTTTTAAGAGGCGTTGTTCTATTCAGAATTAGAAGCCCTGTTCTGTATCGTGCACGTCCGAAAAACTAACATTATTTCAAGGGGTGTAGTGTAGTTAATAGAAACATTAGTTTACCACACCGAAGTCCCGGTAAGCGCTTGGTTGGTTGCCACTTTACATGTCTTGATCTGTTTAACCTTTCAAACACTTGCCGAGTTACCTATCATTCTTTTTCCTTATCCATTTGTCTTCACATCTTAAGTGCAACTAGAATTGCCTACAAAGCTTAAGTTATTGCACGACGAAATCAGCGAAATAGCTAGGCAAAATATCAAAAAGTCCGCCGCCGTGCCATAACTTGTCAGCCCCCGTTGAGGCTGGTTCTACTTTGAATCCTTCAGAGTCCAGACTAGGTTCCCCAGTTCATAGTCCACGAGCCAACCCGTCAACCTCGATGTTACGTGATTCGATCGCCCGATCTAGTTCTCGGTAATTTTAGATTTAAGAAGATGAAAGGACGCCGACGTAACGATTGATCTAGCATAAGAGAATATATTATTATGTATAATCGGCAATATTTGTAGTATCGTATGTAAGTGTAAGTGCAAAGTTCTCGCCGGCATTTCTTTTTGGCGGTAATAATAAGCTGACCTTGTACAATCCTGAAGAAACGTTTCTTGATACGAAAAGTTTGTATATGACGCCTCGGCCGTTATCGCTTCGGCTGATTCGCCTGGTTCGTCTGGTCCGCGTATTATGCGGTGCCTCAAACTTACAGAACAGTAGATTGGTTAGGTGCTTAGCCTGCTATGCCAACGGGCGCCAAAACATTACAACTTCGAAAAAGGAATCATTCGAGGTAGGTATTGACAAATTCTGCTCGTTCGCTTTTCGCATGACTACGTCATCCCCTGTCTGTGCGGATAACTCTCCTTCCTAATCAACGTTAATGAAATCATTTACTACCTAGCCCTATATTATGTAAAACGTGCCATACGGGCCATACGTGGCTGTGGGTTCAGTGAATTTCCACTGCGCCTTGTTGATCTGTACCTTTCTCGACTCTCGAGCCGTCCCCTTGTCACGCCTATTGAATCTCCGTCCCCGGTCGATTGTGCCGGTGCTAGGGCTGCCAGGTCCCTGGGAAAATTCCCTGCGCTAAGGTAGCATCTGCGAAACGCCATGGTCCCTCCCTGGTCCAATCTTGGCGGAGTTGCATGATGCCTACCTAGTGTAAGTTAGGGAATTCGGGTCGTGGCAGTGGCAGTGACTACGGGAAAGGCAAGATCCCATTATCACTAGTTACGTACAGTAAGTCCGATAGAATTTCAAATCGGAATCCCTTACTTCGAAATTCCCTTCTTGGCGTTGTTCAAGCTAATGTAAAGGGTCTCAGATAGCTACGTAGCATTACGAGACATACATACATACACGAGCCTCCTTGCCTATGGCGCATGGCATGTTAGACAATGTCTTCGATCTTGCTATTATCAGCCGGAAGATCGGGAACGGTACACTGCACTTCAGCTGGTTGGCTGGGCGGTGAGACATACATCAGGTACAACGCATCCTCGTTGGCAAACGAGTAGCTATCATCATCTTTTAGATAGGCTCGTAGGTGCAAAGTCCTACGTCCAAAAGGGGGAATTCGTCTCCGATAGGGTCCCCTCATTTGTAGTATTAAGGGAGCTGAGCATCCATTATCCATTCATCATGGCTATCAAGCCAACCATATCTCCTGGCATGTTTATAATGCGCAATAGGTAAGCTTCTCGTTTATTATCTGGACCGGAATATGAAGGTAAACCTGCATGTCGAAGCCGCGTCATTGCGTCTTCTAAAGCTGTAGCTGCTCAGACGCACTCAATGCTAATATTTACAATAGGACCATAATATTCACACATAAAAATTTCAGTACGAATTTAGTTATGTTTCATCTTACGGTTAGCTCTCCCTGAGCATGCTAGCACTGCAACTCTAATAGGCGAAAACTTCCTAATATCACATATTGTAACCCAACCCATGCCTATATCAAAAAGTGAGAGTCAGAAACATGGTATCCGGTAATAGAAGAGGAAATCATTCAGAAACATGTCTACGAATATTCAACCAAATCTCTTTTCAAACTTCTTGAACATCCCCGTGACACCTTTCTCCAGTCGCTCTGCATTTTGGCCTAGCCTGCTCTGACCCTCGACCTTGGGTTTGTATTTTTCGTATTTAGACGCGTGCTCTTGTTCGGTTGGCCGGTATAGTTGTTGGTGGATACTATAATCCACACTCCCTGGTGCTTGCTGCGCATTGCCGTAGCTGTAATGCGAATATCCACCTGGGGGCGGTGGTGGTAGACCAGGGCTCTGAACGGGTGGTGGAGTCGGGTGGTGCTGCGTGCTCTGCGGTGGTGGCGGCGGTGCGAACCCGGGCGAACCCGGGAAGTTAGCACCGTATGGGCTCACGAGACCGGGCGATGCCAGACCGGAGACCGGGACTGTGGACGAACGTTGCAGGTGTCCGAATTGAGTCGGCGGGAAGCCCGGACTCGCAATGCCGGGTGTTGGCAAACCTGGACTGACTAGACCGGGGCTAACTAGACCAGGACTCGCCAGGCCGGGGTGCACCTGCGGAGGGCCGGGAAGACCGGGACCACCCGGCGGAGCAGAGAAGTTCGTTACTCCGTACCCAGGAGTATAAGGGGGAATGTGGTCACGAGCCACGGCAGCCGCGAGAGGATCGTGTCCGTCATCCTCGGGCGGAGGAGTCTTTTCCCGGTGTATCCTCTGTTCTGCGGCTGCTGGTGCGGCGGGATTGTACGCTATAGGTGCAAAGCTTTGAGGTGAGGTATTCTTACTGTCGTCTGTCGCTGCGGAGGTTGGAGGAGGCGCGAAAGTAGGTATACCTTGAGGTGCTGGTTTAGCGCTCGAATACTTGGGGTCTGAGATGGCAACATTTTCTAGCTTCTGGACTAGAGGATTCGTGTCTTGAAACTGGCCATACGGGTGTGGTGGTGGACCAGGCTCATCTGCGACCTCTACCTGAGATGCGGGTAAGACTCGTCGTACACCATTGACGAACTGTAGGGCATCGCCATGAGTCCAGAAATAGATGTCGAGAGAATGGAGCTTGTAGTGGTATTTATTCTCATTTCGAGGATCGTACGTTGGAAGATGCCACTGACTCTGGTCTATCGGCGCACCGGCTACGCCCTCGACTAAGATGTTTACGAGACATTGTTGCTTATAAGAATACCGGATCCTCGTTCTATCTAGATCTACATTGCGAGGAGAGTTAGGTTAAAACATATATGACAAAACGAATACTACTTTGGAAGCACTCTTACATCCGTCAAAAGCATCTTGATCGTCCATGCCTGGCTGATTCGCGACTTCAATCCGCGCCCTTCGGTCATTCGCATTCTCGAACAGGTACACGTAAGAGCCTTTGTCAAACCGATGATGCGGCGGCTTCGCTTCGGGAGGTCCGTAGAAATAATGAACGTCTCCGAAGCTATAAAGGAGGAAATTGTTGAGCTATTATGAACTATAAAATTGTTGGTACTACTTGGGCACTTACAGGGTCGCAACATTCTCTTCACCAGGCCGAACTGCCATCTTGATCACGAGTCGGCCTTAAAAATGAGATGAGGGAGATAATTAAGGATGGTACAAATAGCAAATAGAAAAACAGTCGAGGCCAGCCTCGTTAGTGCTACTTTTATTTAACAAAGTCCGTATCGGAACTGACGATAGCTTCAAATTCCCTCGAGGTGGAGGAGGAAAAAGGAAGTAAAAAAAGTTGGAGAGTAGAACTTGCTTCTCCAAAGAGCTCACCACTAAATGACGATCACTTCTATGTACTACAGACGCCATTTCTAAAATAATACGTAACCTTAGCCTACCTGTAAGTGGTACGGCCGTTTTTACCACAGCCCTTTCCGACCCTGCATCAAGGGAAAACGGCAACTGGTACATGGTAGAGATGTTGCAGAATGGGAAGTTGTTCGGCGCTTAGCCGTCCACTCTCCTTCCTCGAAGCTGCGATGGCGGGGTAATACTGATAACCAATAGAAAGACTCAAAGCTGCTAAGCCCAGTTAAGCCTACAGGTCGATAAGCTTAGCTTATGCTAGGTAGGGTCTCAATTTATCGATAAACAGATATGTATCGGCCCTGGAATTATCCGCTAGACTTTCAATTGATTGGGACCCACATCTTTTTTTCGGTTCCATCGAAGGAATCATTTGGCGATAGCTTCACTCGCTCACATATTCAACAGTTTTTTTTAAGATCCTCGCCGTCATAATTCTCACCAGCGCAGAGACGGGCTAGCCAATCTACCGAGGCACCGTAAAAATCCCGCATTCATCTCATCCCGTTCTCCCTGTCGAGTCCGAACCGAGAGCCCGGCAGGGCACCGCACCGCACCGCACCGCACAATCTTCCAAGATGGGTGTCGTAAATATCGTCAACATGTGCTCGCACCTACAAAATGCGTCGCGAGCTCGCCTGGGCCTAACCTCCGTCCCGCATACAAAATACAACCTCTACCTAGCCTTAGCCCTACACCGAGGCGGCTATCTCTCCTTCGTCACGCGCGGCGGCCGTTTACCCCCCGATCCCGCTACCATCTCGACCTTCGAGCCCGAGCCCTTGACGACCGCCAACGTCGCCCGCCAGCGCCTGTGGGTCGGCCTCAAGTACAACGCTGCCGCGGGCGGCGAGCCCGTCATGGGATCGATTCGCCCTATAACTACGCCCAAGAGGCCCGTCACCGCTAAGCTGCCTCAGCTGGAGCGCCTTGCGCGGGGTTTCGATGCGCATCCCCATCGGGCCTTGAATATCGGCGAGTCTATTATCCTGACTACGAGTTTGGGTACCCTCGATGTCCGCGAGGCTGTCGAGCGCAAGGTTGGAGGTTTGCTGCTGTGCCGGGTAGGCCCGTGATCTATCGTCTCGTTTGATCCGTTCAGACGCTCCTAGGCTGTCTGCTTAAAGTTGGCGGGAGTAGCATAGCCGTTTTTTGCGCATTCTGGGTGGGGGAAGTTGGTAGGAGGTGCCAAGAACGAGATGAATCGACAGAACGAGTCTCGTTAAGGGATAGGGCGAGAGGATGAGACTATGAGCCGATACCCTCATCTTGTGACTTGTGGTGTCTCGTCTCGTACGCCATACGCGTGGCCTCGAATTCCAGAGGCGTATGCTGGTCAACGTTCCATAGACGAAATACAAAACGGACAAGCAGGCAAAGGGTAGCAGAAAGGCTTCATGTATATAAAGCAAGGGAAAATAGGCATCGGCTGCTTACCTGTGTACTTGACTGTACTATATCTACTCGCATATCATAAAATATCCGATGGCACATCTCATACGTTTACGTGTAGGAGCAGAAGACTCTAACCATGAATGCAGGACACATTAGATACACTATTACTCCCAATGCCTTGCCAGACACCATGCGGAAGACATAACCACCCCTGTTAAATATACCTGTTATGATGCTATAGCTAGGCCTGAGTATAATAAATGTTTTTTTTATTACTTTCCCTAGTTACTCTAACCAACTCCCCTATTTTCTACTTTACGATGAATACACATAATACTCATAAAGACAAGTCTAGGTATGCTGTAGGTATTTTCACTACCTATCACCTATCACCTAACTCCTTAGCAATGCCGCACGCACCGCGAAGGAACGGAACAGAAAAGAATCCCCGTATGCTTCCAATGGATTTAAGAGAAAAAAGGTATCATCTGCGCCTCGCCGAATACAAACAAATTTTGGACCTTTTTCTTCTGCCTCTTCTGACTTATTACTACAGCTAGCTAGTCAGAACAACGGCCGGTTCCTTAGGTATCCTGTGATAGTATCTATGATTAGGTCTCTTGTACCTAAATAGTTTCCACCTTGGATTCCTCCTCAGCCTTGACCTCTTCCGTGGTGCTAGCGGCTTCGCTCTGAAGAACGACCTCATCGGTGCCTTCGGATACGGGCTGCTCATCTTGCATGCCCCCGGTTTCGCTGTTAGCTGCGTAAATCTCAGCGGCAGGCTCTAGTGCCTCCTGAACCAAATCCTCGATATCTTCAACCTTCTCTGGGTCTTCGGTGACCGCGGGAATTGTTGCCACTTGCTCCGGTGACTTTTCTGCGGAAACACTGCTTTCCTCAACTAAAGTATCTGTTGAGACCTTGGCTGTCTCAATAGCTGCTTCTGCTGTCTCAGTCTGGGCGACAACTGGAGCAACCTCCTTTGCCGTCGGAGGTTTCTTGCCGGCAGGCTTTGCATGCTCTACTGCTGCTTTGGCCCTATGCGTTGCAGACTGTGCCCTGGTTACCGATTTCTTCACACTCCCCTCAGCCTTCCTCTGAACACTTGAAGGTGTGCTCTGCTTTCGTGGCGGTGTCACTGGAGCCTTTTCCGCGGTTTTGCTAGAACTGCTTTGCGTCGGTCGCATCATCCGCGCGAGAAAGCTTTCGTCAACGTGGCCATCTCTTTTGATGATAGGGTGGTCCTTAGACACTGGCTTCGGAGGGAGCCCAAGACTCGGACGTGCTCGACCGCCAGCCGAATTCCCGCGTCTCAAACCTTTGGTAGTCGAGGTAGTACTCACACCTGATAGGCTTTGCCTGCTAAGCGACCTATGCGTAGTAGAGCTGACATTAGAATGCTGAGCGTTGCCGGAAGCTCGTGAGAGAGATTGTCTGGGAGGATGAGCTGCGGTGCCGTTTCCCAGCTTCGAAGCGAAAGACGTAGTGGGCGCCGTAAGGGACGAAGGTAACTTGACCGGTCGGGTAGGTGACTTGGGCTTGGGCTTCACAAATCCGGCTCCCGAAGGAGGAAGATCAATGGGTGTTGGCTTCTTGCTAGAAGTGGCCACTGGCTTTGTGGTAGTTGTAGTTGCCGCCTTTTTCGGGGCATCGCGCTCTCTGGACGAAGCAGGTGTCGATTTCTTCTGCGGAGCCAAGGTCGGGATGCCGGAAGACACCTTTGTAGTACTGCTGGTCGGCTTGAGAGTATTGGGCGATCTAGGAGCCCTAGAAACAGATTTGGCTGCGGTCGAAACGGCTTTGGGAGCAGGCTTTGTGGCGGTCGTGGTCTTTGTCTTGCTACCATTTGTTGATGCGCTAGTACGTCCACTTGCTGGCGCTACGCTACTTCCTCTTGACACCGACTTCTCTGTCGGATTCCCTGGCAGTAGTTTCGTCTTCGTTTCCTCCTCATCTGTCACCTTGTCCGGATTTGGGTTCGGGGCAAGAGGAGGACTGCGACTCTCCTTCTTTGGGGAGGATTTTGCAGGAGACTTAGGAGGGGCGGTTGGGATTGGCGACTCTGGAATAGGCTCTTCAGACAAATTCGTCTTGAAGCCCGAAATATTCTTGGCCATGTTCTCGGTTAAAACTTCTGGCTTCTCAGGTACCGGCTGCGGTGTACTAGCGTCGGTTTCGTCGCTGAGCCTCCGACTGGATACGGAGACTGATTCTTCGCTAGGTTCTTTTCTCAACCCTACCCGGCCGTCCTTTTCGATTGCTACAAAGGTGGTCCGAACCTTGGAAAGCGGGCGAGGCGAATGAGAAGGAGAGGGAGACCCTAGCGGTAGAAGATGCAATGTTAGCTACGACTACCAAGAAACTGTTGTAATCTAACAAATGACAAGTGGATAACGTAGCCAATAAAGCTAGGAGTTGAGGGATGGCGATAGGATCGTGGGATTGAGCAGATAAATAACTGAATTGACTTGGGCATATATAGGATATATAGGATAGGGAACTCGAGTAGGCGATGTCATAAACAAGCAGGTGCTTTGAATACAGGAGAGGCGCCATACCAACTGAAATACCGGATGGACCAGGAGATCTTCCACGATCTGGAGGAGTGTTCTCACCCTTCTGTTCGAACATGGCACGGAGGTTCCTGACTCCCGACATGGTTGCGACTAATGGACCTTCCAAGGTTTTATGGTAGAAAAGAGCAAAAGCAGGGAGCCGATCAGTTGTTACTGATCATGGATCAACGATTGTCACCGCGGGAAAGTGCAGACACCGTTTGCAAAGATGGATGGCATGCCCTAAAGTTTTTTCTGTTGGCCGGTAGATCGGGTTGCTGCTGATTTGTTTTGGTCCGCCTGGTCCTGGTCTTGGTCCTGGTCTTGGTCTTGGTCTTAGTCTAACAGCTATTTGTCCCAGACCCTAGAAATTTGAAGACGAATTGAACCTCGGAAGGCGATAAAGGGAATAAACTTAGATATGTTGTCCGGTCCAGAGGTGATCAAGCTATCGAGCGAGGCCAGGTCGGGTCGAAATCATACATGAAGTGCGTTAAAGGGTTCGAAGATAGGAGACTCTGCACAAATACAAAGTTGAACTCAACGGAAATAACCTTAGCTGCAGACTTAAAAGAGACTTAAAAGTTATGGCTATTTTAGAATTAAGCAAATGCTGCAACTGAGAAAAAAAAGAGTGTGTGGTTGAATGCGCATTTGGCAGAAGAAGGAATTATACAATTGTAAAAGACAATTGTAAAAGGATACAGTTGTCAAAGGTTGCCTGGGGGAAAGGTAGGGAAAGCTTAAGAGAGTAACTGAGGGAAGTCAAGCGACAGCTTTGGGAATTATTTGGTGGCATGTGGCCTAATAAGGCACGGCCTAGGCGGGACTAAGAAGAGACCAGCAAGAGATGGTTCCTTTAATCAAATTGCCCAGTTAAGCAGGGGGGGTACTTGGGTACTTAAGGATACTTTGGGGGGGTTAATTACAATTTCACGATTGAATAAAGTGGGTTCAGGGGCTTGCATGAACTCCCAAAACGTGTCTAACGGCATACCGAGGCGACCTGAGCAACGGGAACATTGAATCTAGGATATTTGGGATATTTGGGATATTTGGGACATAAATTATTAAAGTACGGTCCGTATGAACATCTAGTCTGGTCGTATCGTGGTTCAATTTCAATGTCGTACATACCCGTGGACATGTGGTACCATACATGTAGCACGGATATCCGTACCTAACTTCTCCTTTCTGGTAAGATCCATCTCACGTAGCATTCATTGTATTGTTATGTGTAAGTGATCTGAAGGAGTTTCTTACAGGACAGATATCCAACATAGTCTGTACATTTATCTGATAAATTTAACAACTTACATAGCTAATATTACCTACCTATACTACCTAAATATCTATATTAAGCACTTATAAAGCCCTGATTAGAATAATTCTAGAATTCCTTACAGACGAAAATATATTTGACCTACCTAATAAATACAAGTGCACAGATAGTACAAAAGTACCAATGCATAAAATCTAATGATCAATAGCTCCAAGCCAAGACGGGGTTTAAGAAATTGAATATCAAATATCCAAAGAAATATCTAGAGCCGCACTGTCGTACCAAATGACACGGCTCGAAATTTATGCAGCTTACAAAAGCAATCCCATATTATAGGCTACGAAGATCCAGTCGTACGGATGCTACGGAGTTTATAAACCGTTATGTTACATGCATCAGTTGAGTCATCAATTTGATTTGAGTCGAGGGCACCTTTCAAAACCACAAAACCACAAATCAATATAAAATGCACATGTGATAGGTATATGAATAGCATGTTTCAGGTCCAACCCTCATTAATAGCAAACACACGCCCCTCTCTCAGCTCAGACAGATCTTCAAGTGTCATTGGTGCCATAGCGAATGGTCCCTACATGTAAGGAGAAATGTCTGGTACGCAAAGATGCAGAGATGCAGACGTCCGAGCGAGAGAAACCTTTTTCTTTTTATTAAAGAAATGTATGTATGTATGTATGTGGCCGATAGTCAATGATGCAATAATTCAGTAGCAATCCGCATGTTGCATCTAAACTGCCGTGGTGCATCGTTGATGTAGGTTAGGTACCTATGTAAGGTACCTAAGGCCGTTTGCTGCAGCCTGAAGGCAAGCGACAGGCTATTTTAATTCATCGGGGATGTACTCCAATAAACCCCCTGAAATAACCCCTCCGATCCCGGCCAGGGTATAGACCCCACCACCACCAGAAATTTTGTCGATGGAAGCTCCGTTAAGCTTCATTTAGCTTTGCGACTTGTTAACCAAACACCACGCACCATACGCAACTCAATTGAACCTGCACCATGGCCTCCCGCGTGCTTAGAATAGGTCAGTAGCTACTATACACCCATAATAAACACCACATTCCCACCGATTAATAAACTACACACATTCTAACTCTCAATCGCTCCGCAAACAGGTCTCATCCCCGGTGACGGTATCGGCCGCGAAGTTATCCCCGCCGGCCGTCGGATCCTCGAAGCCCTCCCGTCGTCGCTCGGGCTTAAATTCGAGTTCTCCGACCTATACGCCGGCTTCGAGACCTTCGAGAAGACGGGCGCTGCTTTACCCGACCGCACCGTCGATGTTCTGCGCAATGAGTGCGACGGCGCGCTCTTCGGCGCCGTGTCCTCGCCTACCAAGGCCGTGAAAGGCTACTCCTCGCCTATCGTCGCCCTGCGCAAGAAGCTCGACCTTTATGCCAACGTGCGCCCCGTAAAGAGCGTTCGCACTGCCGCTAAGCCCATCGATATGGTCATCGTACGCGAGAACACCGAGGACTTGTACGTGAAGGAGGAGCGCACTATCGAGCGCCCGGACAGCGAGGGCGGCAAGTACGCCGAGGCTATCAAGCGCATCTCAGAGCGCGCATCTAGCCGTATTGCCACCATGGCTGGCGAGATCGCTCTGCGCCGCCAGAAGATCCGCGACTCTTCCTCCCCTTCCTCGTCCATCCACTCGCATCCCCTCGTAACCATAACCCACAAATCCAACGTTTTATCCCAAACCGACGGGCTCTTCCGCACCGCGTCGCGCGCCGCTCTGTCCGTACCGCGCTTCGCCTCCGCAGTAACAATTGAGGAGCAGATCGTCGACAGCATGGTATACAAGCTATTCCGTCAGCCCGAAGCCTACGACGTCATCGTCGCGCCAAACCTATACGGTGACATCCTATCTGACGGTGCCGCAGCTCTCGTCGGCTCTCTAGGATTAGTACCCTCGGCAAACGTAGGCGAGGGTTTCGCGATCGGTGAGCCGTGCCACGGCAGTGCGCCTGACATCGAGGGCAAGGGCATCGCGAACCCCATCGCTACTCTACGCAGCACTGCGCTCATGCTCGAGTTTCTAAATGAGGAGGATGCTGCGGCGAGGATTTACGCTGCCGTCGATGCTAACCTCGAGGAAGGAAAGTTGTTGACGCCCGACCTGGGTGGAAAGGCTACGACGGAGGAGGTTGTGCAGGATATTTTGAAGAAGCTGTAGATGCACACTGACTCTATTTCTCAGTGAGGCTGGCCAAGTACTTAGGTGTATATATGGTAAATGACGATGAGCATTTGTCATGTTGAATATGAGGAATATGAAAAGGAAATGGAGCTAAAAAAAAAATGAATCAAGGAGAGCATACCAAAAGTTATGATCTAGACTCAATGATACCAATCAAAAGATTTCAAAGCATCATGAAAAGACAACACTAGAGGGAAGAGGTTTCTATTTTTTTTTTGGCCTGTCCTTGGTCCCATACTCTTTACACCGAGCTATATAACCTCGCTCTTTAGAAGTAGATTCCGAAATCATTTCATTTCATCCTTCATGAGCGTAAGCACCAGGCCGAGTGCATACGTACCCAGCCGCCCGGTTATATCCCCAGTTCCGACGTTGCGCATAGATACTTTATATACAGGTTCTATTTGCATATCGAAGTATGTCATCACGTTATATTTTACACCCCATAGCCAATTACAGTCGCGACTCCAGGGTATGGGTAAACCTCGTTGAAATCTTAGAAGTACTTGCCCTTAATTAATCGACCATGTCCCCAATAATGAGGCAGCAGAAGCACTCGCTTGCTCAGTTAGGAGGGAGGCATAACCGAATACATTCCACGCAGATGTGGGTTGAGAGCTATCTCCTAACCACTCGACCCTAAGACGGAACTCCTTCGGTAGACGAAGTTTACTTAGTCCTCTTAGCCTCAAGCTCCTTCTCGTACTTCGCGACCAACTCCTTCCTGTAGGTAAATCGTTAGTAAGGACAATTAAATTATATTCACACCGTAAAAAGTTGGTATAGAGAGGAAGGAATAAAAAACGTACTGTAGATGCGGCGGCGCAGGCGCGTAATGAGAAAACTCCATGCTGAATTCTCCCTTTCCTTGAGTAGCTGCTCTTAGCTGCGTGCTGAAGCCGAACATGGCATTCAAGCTGCAGTCCGCAATCAGCGTAAAGTCCTCGGCACCGATCTCTGTGTCAATGATAGTCGCGTTACGCTTGTTCATCAACATGAGGATGTTACCTTGGAACTCGTTGGGCGCCATAATGGTCGTCTTCATTAACGGTTCCAGCACTTGACCACCGGCCTCCGGGAAGGTCTTGCGGAACGCCATCTGCGCTGCCAGACTGAAGGCAAAATCAGAAGAATCTGTGACGTGTGTCGCACCATCGTTCACCACCATGCGAGCTCCGATAACCTTGTGGCCAAGCAGAGGACCCTTCTCACAAGCGACCTCGAAACCTTTGGCACAGGCTGAGATGAACTTGTCCGGAATAGTACCGCCCACAACTTGGTTGGAGAAGCTGTTCTTCTCCGGCTCCTCATTCGGTTCGATCCATCCGCCGACACGAGCAAAGTCACCGGGTCCACCAGTCTGCCTCTTCAGTAGGTAGTCAAATTCGGCCTTATTGCTGATGGTCTCACGGTATGCCACTCGAGGTTGGCCAGTGATACACTCGACCTTGTACTCTCGTCGTAGACGCTCGATGTAAATTTCCAAGTGCAACTCGCCCATACCTGAGATGATGGTCTCTTCGCTTTCCTCGTCGACGAATAATCTGAAGGTAGGGTCCTCACGTTGGAATCGGTTCATCGCCTTACTGAAATTGTCGGCGTCCGTGCTTCGCTTAGGCTTAATAGAAAGCGACATGACCGCATCGGGTACGAACATGGAAGACATGGTATATGGCAAGTTTCCGTCTGTAAACGTATCGCCCGAAGCGCACTCGACACCGAATACAGCACAAATCTCACCGGCACCAATCTCACTGACATCTTCCATCTCGTTGGAATGCATCCGCACGATTCGTGGAATTCTGACCTTCTTGTCGGTTCGTGAGTTGAAGAGATAAGTGCCCTTCTTCAGGGTGCCCTGGTAGACTCGGATATAGGTGAGCTGGCCATAATTGTTCTCTTCGAGCTTGAATGCTAGGCCAACAAACGGCAGCGAGTTATAGGGGACCAGCTGAGTTTCCGCCTCATCCTTGGTGCGATCTAAGGCCACATTCTTAACGTCGGCGGGGTTAGGCAGGTAGTCACAAACAGCGTCAAGTAGGGGTTGGATGGATTTGTCGGCTAAAGCAGAACCCATCATAACGGGCGTGAACTTGAGGGCGATAGTCGCCCTTCGGATGGCGGCCATGATCTGCTCGTTGGACGGGGTACCTTCTTCCAGGAAAATTTCGGCAATCTCGTCATCAACATCTGCTAGTTTCTCGATCAGTTCCTGGCGCTTCTGCTCCGCAAGCTCCTTCAGGTCCTCGGGGATGGGGCCAGTTCGAACAATTGTTCCCTTAGGTCCTTCGCTGTAGATAGCTTTCATGCCTATCAGGTCGACAACTCCCTTGAATTGGTCCTCGGCACCAATCGGTATTTGAATAGCTGCGGCAGGGATCTTTAACTTGGAGTTGATCTGCTCGACAGCCTTCCAAGGGTTGGCACCCATTCGGTCCATCTTGTTCACGAAACTGATTCGGGGGATGTTGTATCGCTTCATCTGCCTGTCTACGGTAATAGTCTGGGACTGAACACCGCTGACAGCGCAAAGGATCATGACGGCTCCGTCCAGAACTCTCAAGGCGCGCTCGACCTCGATGGTAAAATCGATATGTCCTGGCGTATCGATCAAGTTGATATGATAGGTATGCTCCTCCCCATCCTCTACTTTCTTCCAGTCACAGAACGTAGCAGCGGACTGAATGGTGATTCCCTTCTCTCGCTCGAGTTCCATGGAGTCCATCTTGGCGCCTGCACCGTCCCTACCTCGCACCTCGTGAATAGCCTTAATTCGTCCCGTATAGAATAGTACACGCTCGGTAGCAGTGGTCTTTCCGCTGTCGATGTGTGCCTATGCTAAAGTTTAGCATAACCCCTCCTAGGGTTTTCCCATAAGGTTGATTGCGACGTACAGCGATACCAATGTTGCGCACTCTGGATAACCGCTTCTTTTCTTCTGGGCTCATCTTGGCAAAGACGGCTTCAGGTGTAAGGCTCGCCGCCTCCTCGGCAGCTTTCTTCAACCTGTCGAGCGGACATCAGTCAGTCGGCCACCTCACTATCATCCTATAACGCGCTCGGGATAGTATAGGGGATAGTATAGGGAAGCTTACGCTGCGCTGGCGGCGGAAGTGGCTGCGGCATATCTTGGCTTCGTTAGGTTGAAGTATCTCCTCCCTTCTACACGCAACGGGGCAGCAATCAATGGAGCAGGAGAACGAGACCCCGGGACTCTGGAGCCCACACTGAGAAATCGAGCGTTGCATCTCGACCCTAGAATTCGGCCGTCATTGAGGACAGCCACGGCACGCTGCACCCTCATGGTTTCTAACACGTAATATAATGCAGAAACGAGTGGGTTTAAAGCCGCGAGGAGTAAAAAATAACAGAAGTAAAGATTGGCTGCCGTGGACTGTGGAGTTTAATATTTTCTATTTCTCGATACGAACGAAGCGAAGCCTAAGAGATTTTTGGGGCAATTAGAAAGAGATAACGGCTTATCGGGGAGCTAAATCCCGCCCCTCAGGGACCACTCACAGCGCGTCAATTCAAATAGAATTGAAGCTTCCACTTCGTATAGGTATATTGTACCTAACATTGGAAGGCACATGTGCCTAGGTACCTATGTACCAATCTCGACACAGCTACTACCAGTACTAATAAATACGCCATGCACACATATCCTGTCTTTATTCTTTATTTCTAACATAATCGTCATCTCTGAAAACTATTGTTGCTGCCTCTAAAATATGTCAGTTATTATCTAGGTACCTAAGATAATTATCAATAGTCTATCCAACTGAGGCGGTGATATTATACATAGCCATTGATATGTACAGACTTTGGCCGAAATGAAGACCTTTTTCTTGCCCACCCCTGCTTATAAGCACGACGATGAAGTCTCCTATTTCTTGCTAGCGTTACCTAGACCCGTCTACTCGAGTCTAGTTCAGTATCCATCACCAAATTCCCAGCATTGCAGCCGCCCTTATTTGCTTTCTAGTGTCCTATGAAACCCAACCAGTCTATAGACAAGATTACGAAGCGTAGGTACACTTCAAATGTTAAACGGTCAGCCTTGAGTCTAGCCCAGAAAGTGCTTGTTCGGCTCAACATATACAGATAAATAAAGACGATGGTAAATAAATGATGGCGCCATGTAATCTGATCCCAAACGCTCTGAATATATGACAAATCCTTCTAGAAAAGGAGAAAAAATCCACTGCCGACCATCACTAGACTCATACTAGCTCCCATGATGGCTATCTTAGACAAATCTAAGGGAGGCGGTAGCGAGGCGGCAGAATCCTTGAAGCCGCCGCTGGCACCGTACGACGGTGTCTCGGGAGAGCTGCTCTGAGTCACCTCGGCTTGGTTAGGCGCCGCGGTAGCCGAAGGAATTTGAGCACCAAGGCTGGGGAATGCGACAACGTTAGATGTGGTAGAGTTGAAATCTGTAGGCGCAATCGCAACTTGGTTGTTAACTAAGTCGTAGACCACATAAGCCGACCGCAAGAAAGTGTCTCCTAGAAGGAATGTTGCACTGCTGCTGCTGAAATTCTGGATACCGAATTGACAGATCACTTCCCCTTCATTTGGACCATCTTCAAACCTGGTAACACCATTCAGTGGTAGAACAAGTTCGTCCATCGTAACATTGATGGCTGGACCGCCAGAACCACCGAAGCCGAACGAGAAGTGGCCTTGGCTATTTCCCATGCTACAGGGGAGCAGCGAGAGATTCACTTCAGCGTAATAACTGGCGCCTACCTCCTGCCAGATCTGTTCTGCTAGGTCCGTTGGCAAGTAGCTGAATGTGGTGCCAGAGTCGAGGACGACGGGAATGGGAAACTCGGAAGAGAGGGAGTCGGTTCCTGATGGAGAGGACGCTTGTACGGATGTTAAAGCGACAGTAAAGGACGAAAAAACCCCGGAGCGCGAATCTTTGTAGATGTTTATTCGAGTAAGGTCGCCTTGGTACTTCTCAGTATCGATTCCGCCGAACAAAATACTACCAGTGCTCGCATCTAGATCATTTAACCACAAGCTATACGCATTGGTAGCAATAAGTCCCTCCTTCTGCATCTTCACCGGGAGGTTGTCATATGTGGAAGAAGTAGAGCGGGTGCTACCGACAATAGCCTCGCTCGCTACATATCCCACACCAACGAGGCCGTACGGGATATCGGTATTGACGCCAAGACCCATAGTTAAATTGGTCAAGGTGACGTCGCCGATTCCAAACGTCTCTGCGATATAATCGCCTTTCGAGTGACTACCGTCGACATAAGAAATGCTAAATTCACTTTGCCCTACGACGGAGAAGGACGTAGAAGCGCTTTCGTCAACTGGAAAGATCAAGAACGTTTAGTCAGCTATGATGAACTCAAGATATCTCCTATTTTTGGCCCGTCCGGTAGTCACTTACAAGATCCCAGAGTGCAGCCCTGATTATCGGTAGTTTCTTGGCAGACGCTAGAGCTGCTCGAGGGTACCCAGATGTCGCTCGATCCGGTATCCAGTTGTAATGTTAAGTTCTGCGGAGGAGTGCCGACTGTGCAAGAGGCAAAATAACCCCCTCTAAGTTTCTCGTTGGTGATAACCTCTGTAACTGTTCCATCTTGTCGCCTTACGAGCCTGGTTCCTGTTTGCCTTCTATGTATATCCCATTGGACAACTTGCGCTCGAGCAACGGAAGCGACTAATGCGCCGGCCGCAAAGGTCGCGATAGTTTTCATAGTTCGGATCTAAGAGGATCTAGCGGAATAGGTTGCACAGCAGCCGCTAGGAGGTCTCGGATAGATGATCGTATAGGTATATTTTGGCGTAGGTACCCGGGGAATTAGCCAAGAGTTTTCGTGGGGTAACCCAAGCAAGCCAGTTGTTCAGGGTTCTCGAATAGGATGACGCGGCCTATATCTTATGGACTGAACTCCAAGAAGATGGAAATGGAAATGGAAAAAAGAAGAGAAGAAAAGCAAACGAAAGACAATGCGAGCCAAGGATGAATGGTATAATAAGAAGGAAACTAGACAGACGCCAGCGGCTAGCAAAAAGAGAGGTAAGGTGTAAGCGAAGTGAATGAATAATGCAATAGACTTGAAGTAACAAAGAATTGAGACGAGACGTAAAACCCCAGGAACCAGCCCGGATGCCAAGGAGATGCCAAGATGATTAAACTGATTAGAACCAACGACTGATAACCTTAAAGTGGCGGGAACGATGGAACAGAAGCTGCTAAAAAAAATAAAAAATAAAACTGCTAAGCTTTACAACTCCCTGTTTCCTACGCTGCCACGCAAGCCACGAGATTATTTTGAGATGTTACTGCGGCAGTGCGATCGAGCTATCAACGGCTAGCAAAAGTTATTAGTCAAATTAAATAAAGTCGAGAGTCGAAAAGAAGATGTAACAAGGTAAAATGATTTGTAAAAGGGGCACGAGGACGGAAAGCGGCTATAAGATGACGAAGCGCCTGGATCAGATCAGCATTTCATTGCGTGGTTGTATTAATGTATTAACGCAGTACCTTTGTACTAGTCTGCCGGTTTCCCGAGCGCAACAGACAGACAAGGTAATGAGGGGCAATAAGGTTGTTTGATACAGGGGTTAAGCCGGTAAAGAGGCGCAGCAAAGGCGAAATCAACTGTATCGTGATTCGTAGGCCTAACTGTTGCACTAACTGTTGCTAGTCCTAGGCACCTCACTAGCAACATACAATTATAGAATTAGGTACACTTATTCATCGTCATCGAGGTAGAGTATCCTGCCGTTAGAAACAACTCGCAACTAACTCTAACTTGAACAACAGCATTCAGCATCAACCATTCAGAGCTTATTAGACAGACCCTCTTAACCAGCCTTCTCATCCTAGGGTGTCTCTAATCTGACGCTACTACATGATGCCACGAGCTACCAAGGCATACTCTTACAACCAAATAGTGCTTAGAAAATTCGACATTCTTTTCATTTCAATCTCTATAAATAATGACTATGAAACGAGAAATCACCGGGAGTACGGTAGCTAAAGGTGTTATCGTAAACCGATCGAAAGAAACCCATGCTCGATAACTGATTGGCTCATACGTATTCAAGATGCGACGAAGATGTCTGCTAAGCCACCCTCAGGCCTTAGGTTAGAGGTACATATGGGTATGATATGCGGCTACGTTCGCGATGGCGCCTTGTCAAATATTTACCCAACTTAACGGGCTAGCCATAGGCATCCTTTTGAAGTCTACGTCCGGTATTTAACGATACTAGAATCTCAGCTGTGGCGGGGCGTTGAAACAATGGAAGTCTAGAATCTTGGCAGCTGAAACGCTTGATATGTATATCGTCACCCTCTTTTACCCTCTTTTATCTCAGCGTCAATTTTTATTAAGGAACTCAAACAAGGTGGTTGAGACATGTTCGACCTACGCTCGACCCCTTATGTCAGGGACAACAGCCTTATGATGTTCTTTGTAGCACTTCGGGAAAATACCTAACTAACTCGAAAGGACTTAATCGTTGTACACTCATGATCTATTCTATCAACTCAGTTACGTTTAACATGCTTGGCCCCCATCCGAGAGACCATCAAGCTCAAGCCCCACGAAGTCTCGGTAATCGCTATTCTATTTCGATCGCCGGTCGATGAACGCTCATTTACCATCCGCCAAAATACCCCCCTAAAAGCCAGCCCCGTGTTCTATTCTAATACAGTTTTCTAATACAGTTTTCTAATACAGTTCGGCATGCTTCTCAAAAATAGTTCCATCGGTCTCTAGTATCGTACACCATATCGTAACTCCCGTCGTCTCTGATAGACTTGTGATTGAACTGGTTTGAGAGCTGGCCGTTTCGTTTGCGATTCGTGTATATGATACCACAGACGAGCTGCGCAATGCTCGTGATCACGGGTACTACGCCTATCAATAAGCCCAATGCACCGAAAATCGAACCGGCTGCCGTGGCAATGATAGCAGTGATGAAGTATGCGCTCCAGATCAGAGTCTTGATGCATGCGAATGAGAGCAGTACAACTGGATTGAACCGGCCCCCGGCGCATAGTATAACCTCAATAATGTCAAAGATAAGAGTGCCAACACCGAGGACGAGCGTAATAGTTCCCATGATCCGCGCGTACTTGATTAGGACATCAGCCTCGTAGCCTAAGTACACGATCGTAAAGAGACTAGACGACTCGATCTCGCTCTGCTGCCGCTCTACGGAGGACGCGCCAACGAAAAGTAAGGCTGCGGCGACAATAGAGATAACAATGAAGAAGATTTGTAAAATCCAAAACGGTAGCACGTCGCGCTTCCGCCATATACCTTCGTAGTGTCGCATTTCGACTTTGTTTCTTATGATATATTATGTTGTTATATTCCTTTCTTCAGCGACTGTGAATTGATATAGGATAAGTCGTCAGTGTACCTTGATATTGTAGACGCATTAACGAACAGACAAGGCAGGTATTCACTTCTAGGAGACGGGTAGGTCTTTACTACTCTCTTAGCCACTCTCGAAAATCATCATTGAAACCGTATGGAGGCACAATATCTGACATACTTCTTTCCGTTGGACTACGCCGCCGAGAGGGCCGCTATACCGGCCATTGTATCACGGGAAGCCGATCCTCACGGTGCAACAGGGCATATATCCTTTTTGTGTCTAATCATGTCCAACATAGCACAATAATTGACGAGGCTGTTCTGTCTTACACGAAACGATATATATCGAACCGACTTAAAACTAGGCACGCATAGTTCTAGTGCGTGGTATCTCACAAATTACCCAAGTATTATAAACCGTTCAACTAAGGAGTATTGGTCCTCTTTAGCTCTTTTAGATCAGATACACCGGGAATAGTACACCGACAGCGTAATACCAGACTACTCAGGCCTCTGATCTTCGAACTGTGTAGATTATTCGGACCCTCATGTCTCCTCGGCTTCTGGGTAACACTGATTGGCTAGGATAGTCAAAACCCCCTTTTGCTATTAATATCGATGTGGCGCGTATCGTATAGACTGTAACTCCTGTACCTGAAAATACTTGGTAACGTATACTCAGCCTACGGCCTACCTGGTCTATGGAGTCGTTTTAGGAGAAGATCAAGGTAATTTTTATTCACTCTTTGGATAATGAACCCTAGGCTCCTCGTCTAACCCCTAAATATTGCCCACCAAATTAATTCATTCTAAGTCCTTCCAACTTCTATCTACCTAACGCATATTCCTGTTGCAACCCTTGGATAAGTACCTACATCGCCCATAGTTTTACCAAACATTAGTTGTAACCTATATACGTGCCTACATTATCTTAATTCTTTATTGTACATGCTCCTTCTCCTCGGCCTTGGGTATCCGCACCAAGGTTGCTGTAATGAGAGCTCCCGTTAGGGCAGAAGCAAGTCCAAACCACCAAATTGCCTTAAGCCCCTGGAGCCCAATTTCACCTGTCGGCAGCGGATCGACCTTTATACCTATCGAGTCCGAGATCGACGTCATGATGGCTGATGTTAAGTTTTGTACTGTTACCAGCAAGGCCCCGGCCGACCCCTGGTACGACCTCGGGACGCTAGAAGTAATAAAAATGGCGGCTGCCGCAAAGCTCATGTCTGGGCCAAACGTTGCTAGCGCCACACCTGGCAGTGAAAGCGCCCAATACGACGTGGATGGCGTCTGCGGTAGGAAGAATGCGGGCCCTAGAGCAAAAGCAATCATACTTGCTGTGAATATCCAATGCCCCGGGAACACGTGAAGTGTCTTAGACACGACGAAGGCTGCCAGTATGCCGACAATACCATTCGGAAGGATGTATAGAGCTACCGTGAGAGGACTGGCGCCTTGATAGCGCTGCCAGAATTGGACGGCGTAGAATTGCCATGCGCCAGCTTAACAGAGTTCTGTTAGCATCTTATTTTGTTCGTCTATTCTAATACGACGAAATTGGGACGGTGTAAACTTACTAAAGCCCCCAAAGCCCAGAAAATATGCCAGGAGAAGAGCTGCAAACCCGGGGGTTTTCCACAGCTCATTCGGGACTAGAGGTCGCTTGACGGAGCGTTCGACAAAAGCGAACGCAACGAACATCAAGAGGCCTACCGCGATGAGCGAGTATGTATAGGGACTCCAGTTGGCTGAAGAGCCCTGCGTCAATCCGAAGAGCACAAGCCCGCAGCCCACAGACGAGAGCACGGCGCCGAGGTAGTCAAACTGCCGGAGCGAGGGTGCATCCACGTCATTGCTATCTTTCGCGGGGCTCAGATCCGGCAGCGTCATCTGCGCAGCTACGGCGCAAAGTACGAGGAAAATAGCTGTGCTTCCAAAGAGCCATGGCAAGTGGGAAGCCAGCGCGCCTCCATGGATGCAACCTAACCAAAACCCTAGGGGGGCTCCGGCTGCCACTACAAGAATTACGGTCAGCAATGAGTATAGCGTTAGAGATAGGTTCTAAAGGACGGAACAAGAAATCGGAACACCCTGACATCACGTACTCAACGAGAAGACGCGCGTCTTACGAACACCGGGTTTGTAGACGCGACCCAGAATGCTCATGGACGCAGACACGAGAACCCCTAACGAGAGCCCCTGCATAGCACGGGAGACGAAAAACAAGATCTTTAGTCGGGGCGATACGGCCCCAGCGGCGACGGCATGCCATGCTGCACTCCATAAGAAGGCACCGACCATCAGGGGTCTTGGAGCTGCCAAATCGGCAAGTGATCCGGCGACAATGACCGACAGTCCACTGGCTAGTAATGAGGAGCCCAGCAACCAAGGAGTTTGGGTGGCCGGAAGGCCTAGAGCATTGCGCAATTCTGTCTGTGCGATATTTGCGTGACCGTACGTAAGCGCGAAGATGAGTTGGCCCGCTGAACACACTAACACGAAGACTATCTCGGCCGCCAAGTTCGGCAGCTCAGGCGGAATGCCCTGAGATAAACCGGGACGGGAAGTCCCTCCGTTACCGCCGGTTTCCTCGTCGGGATGGTTTCCGGCGACACTTCGGCTCCTGATGGCGCTGAGCTCTAACATGGGATCAGGAAGGACTTCATCGCGGCCGTGGTCGGTGATGTCGCGTGTCTGTAGCTGGACTTCAATCTGGCTGCTCCGGCTCTCGTCCGGGGTCTGGCCGAGAGCCTGCGCGAGAGACTTACGATCTAGAGAGAAGTAGCTGCTACGTGAGGACCCTAATAGAGGATCGGGCGAGGCGATGCCGGAAGGGAAAGCTCCAGTTTCTAGGCCTAGACCCATATACGGCGTTTCTGCGCCTGCGTCATGGTAGAAATCTGCGTCTGGTAGCGGGCGTGAAGGATTATGATCCATAATAAATTAGCAAGAGGGATCGAGTTCAAGTCCCTTAGGTTTAGTAAGACCTTAGGTCTCCCTCGGTGGGAGTACCGAAGTGTAAAGTGCATTTTTATAAGGCGACTTTCGGTCCCGGTGGAGTCGAGTAAAGTTTTGGTTGGCATCGGAGACCAGCCGGACGTGCTATCGTTCACCTTGCATCAAAGATACGGGTTCCCATGGTGGAGTGTACCGTTCCCCGCGTCATAGATCGTGATGTGAATGGCTAGAAGGTAAATGTTTGCAATGGGAATGAAACCCATTGCGAACTACTAACGGAACTATATCAGGAGATTTCTTGATGTGGCCAATCACTACCGATTTACACCGCCCGGTTTAACGATTCAACTAGTAGGATATTGTATTTACATCTGGCGTCTGCAACGGATATAACATTCGAAGATAAGGATTGAAGCATGCCGTATCTGTCAACCACTAAGTCACGATTATTTTGACTGCGGTGTAGGAGTTGTGTTCCGGTGACGCGTTCACTTGAGCATTGCAATTGTTATCGGGGAGATGGACTTGGCGTATTGGCCGGTCACCTCATTGCTATGTAAAATTAACTGACCGGTTCGCCACCGGTGAGTCTTCTTGTAGCATTAGACTACCTAGGAACTTAAAGAAATGGGTTGTTAATCGGTAGGTCTCTTCTAACAACTCTGTTTTGTAGTCTCTTCATATCTTTAACTGATTGGTAAATTCGAAAGTCGTTACTAGCCCTCAGCGCTCCGTTTCGACCCCTCCTCCTAATAAATGGTATTCTATTTATTATTGTAAATCAACATAATATCAATATAATAGTAAGTTTCTCGTACGATATAAAGCTTTAGAAGTTGAGTATATATAGATGTAAGGAACATAAGCCTTGAAATACGCGAAAGGTATATATTAATTTACTTCCTCTACTCGTGTCTCTCCTTGTGTACTTGCTTCGATATAAAAAGACAACCCCTAAATTGGACCTTGTATCGCCTATAACCCGTTCATCTTAACTATCTGATCTCTTTGTCCTATATAAATGTACCTACTGTGCCTGTGTGTTTAATAGACTGTTTTTTCATCAGCATCTTTGAGAGTAGCCTTTCATATATATCTACCTTTAGCGCGGTGAGAGATCCTAGGGTTTGCTATTTGACCCTCAGACTTTTTCACATTTAAATGCCTTGTTTCAATTTATGCGCCTGTGAAGGGTAGTGAGCTATGTACTACTACTCCCCGACAGGTTTTACTTTGCCCTACCCGTCCGTGGATACGCTAAAACTATGGGAGAGACCCGGAGACCAAGGTACTGGTAACTAGAGAGTTCCGTAAAACTAATGATTTAGGTACTCTCCTAGAAACTAAAAGATATAAGTCTGTTAGATATCTATCATTTCCAAAGTCCCGTACTATCGCTTTTCAACTTACCCCTTTATATGTAGTTACCTAGGTAGGTAGTAAACTTACTCGAATTTCAAGCTACATGGTTCCACCCCTTTTGGCTCAAATATATGATCAAAATCTGTGAACATAATTAAAAACGGACCTATGATTCAAAAAGAAGTAGGTTAAAATAATTCAATATCTAATAGTGATGCGTCGGCGTATTTACATAGGTACCTTCGGAATTCTGCCAGTCCTGACCGCCCTTCGGCTTGCTGCTGTTATTCTATTTGGTTATTCATAGCTTGTCTCTCCTTATCCCATCTAGATCTAGACTCTTTCTTAAAAGCGAAGACTCTTGAATTGGCTATCTAAGCTATGGTGCAACCAATATCTCACGGTAGGAGACGTGACAAGCCTATCTTGAGCTGCGCTTTTTGCAGAGGACGCAAGTAAGTACCTGTTTCCTTTGGTGATAAGATGGCCTGTGCTAAAACCCCTTGCAGGCTTCGTTGCGATAGGCAGTCTCCCTGTGCTGCTTGCGTGCGGCGTGATAAGCCTGAGGAATGTATCTACAGCTGCTCAGAGCAAGAGCGAAAAGATGCTGTCGACTACAGACCTCGTACTAGAGGCCAGCAGACGCGTCAGAGAATTACTCGCCTTGAAAATCTAGTTATTGAGATGGCGCAGAATTCATGTCAACCATCAAGCAGCAGTGTGACGCCAAGCGGGGCCCTCAATGATACCAGCCCACAGCATCAAGATGGTAATATAATAGATGATATGGGGAAATTGAGTCTCACCGATAGTCATGCAATCTACACTGGTAGCTCCCACTGGGTTACGATCTTAGACGACGTAAGTTGTTATGATAGGAAGTTTACCAAGTGACTAAGTCTGATGACGATTCCCCTAGATCCGGCATCTCAAAGACGAGCTCTCGGAGGAGTACCCAGAAGAGTACTTCGAGAGTAATATGAACCCCGAGCAGACTCTGTTTGATGCTGGATTGGTGCAGGGGTTGCCTACCACGAAATCCTCTCTCCTCAGCAGTGCGCCTTGTCTTCCGAGAGAGCAAATTCTAGCTATGATGCCTCCACGGAAAGTGGTTGATAGACACGTATCTCACTTCTTCAATGATTATGAGATGGGACCTTGTAAGCCTTTTAATCAATAGCTGAGCTATTTATCGGAATTCGTCGTTAACTGAGCCAATGTCGCTACTTGCTAGTTCTCCTACACCGAAACACATTCCTCGCAGAGGTTAAGAACCCGCATCATTGCTATTGATTACTTGCTTATTCTATGTATAGTATGAGACCTTCTGGGGTAACCCTACTACTACCCCTATTATGTGGATAGGGCTTTTGTTTAGTGGTAAGTATTGAGCATGCCGAAAGTTCTATTTCCCCTATTGATCAAGTGCTGTTTGATCAATGATAGCTAACCGTTAACAGTAAGTCGAACAGTTCTTTCTCCTGGGGAGATATATACAGCCTCTGAAGATGTAGGATATGAATACTAACACGAATCCTTTTCGGGGTTCTAGGTCATGGGCATATCTGCCTTCTTACAGCAGCAGGACGCGAGATCCCACGGCTTATCCGCCGTCGAGGTACAAAACATGTTGGAGACCTATCGACGCCTTACCACCCATTGCTTGACCACTGGGGATTATCTCCGTCCTGGTAAGTACACCATAGAAACTCTGACTTTATACTATTTTGTCGAACGGAACGTGAACATCGACACATCTGTAAGCAATTGGATTCTCATCGGTGTCATCATACGGATTGCGTTACGTATGGGGCTTCACCGCGATCCCTCCCACTGGCCGAACATTCGACCCTTGCAGGCAGAACATCGGCGACGGCTCTGGACCGTCCTGTACCAGATGGACTTCTTTTCGAGCACGCAAGTGGGATTGCCACGTATTATAAAGGATTGCCAATGCGACACGCGTCTGCCCGCCCACTTGTTCAGCTATGACATAGGCGTCGAGCATGACGAAATCCCACCTGAGAGATCATTGACGGAATCTACTGCGCTCCTATACATTATACAGAGAGACAGAATTATCAGAGTAACAGCGGAGATATACGACGTAATTGAGGCAGGGCCACCATCACCATCTACCATTGCTACGTTGAACTCCAAACTTCAAAGGGTCATCGATGCCATACCTGCATGGCTCAAATATAAACCACTCGAAATCTCAATCGCGGATAATCCTCTTGCGATACTGCACGGGATGTTCATGGATGTCCTTATACAGAAAGCTGTTTATCTCCTCCATCGGTGGAGCTTTATGAAAGGATCTTCTGGGGAAGAAAACGCGAAGTCTAACGACATCTGCATCGATGCTGCACTTGCAATACTAGAGCATCAGAGAAGAATGAGCGAAGAGGTTCAACCTGGGGGCATTCTATTTAATATTCGCTGGAAGGTGCCTATATCCCTTAATTACGAATTCCTACAGTCTACGATGATGTTGTGCTTCGCGTTGAGCAGATTTGACGATGGACACATCGGTGCGAGAGATTCATACGCTCTACATAGACGACATGACATCGTCGAGGCTTTGACTTTTGCAAAAGCTCTGTGGGAGAAGGATGCGGACCAACTTACGGAAGCGCGAAGAGCAGCCAAAGCCATCGCAGTTGTGTTGCGGCAAGATTTGGACAGATCGGGTGCGTCAACATTGGCAACCCTGGATGGTGGCATGCTTCATCCATCTGTGAACATTGGCCATGCGGCAGGGTTCCTTGATCAGATACCAGGAGAAGCTGCGCAAAACTATTTCGATAGTTTTAACTATGAGCAAACCATGGCTTTGGATCCTCCATTCTTCGCGGTTGAAACTGGAAACATACTGGAAGACTTCGTACCAGAGCAAAATCACCCCTAACTTCTGGAGGCTATTAATGACAAAGTTTTCAGTCTCATATTACTTGCGAAAAAGAAGAGATCTATATTAGATTAAAGTCTATGTTGGATTAAAAGGGATGACCCCCTACTGACTATCTAATTATCATATAATTATCCCACCACCGTAGGCACAAGTTACAGACTACTTTCCGAGGTAGACGGAGGATCCTCTTTCTGCTTTTTCACACTGCGCCATTCCATACCAAGTCCACCAAAGATGGAGAGGCAAGATATGATGAGTGATATTTGGAAGCATACGCGAAGCGATTCATTATAACCTTCCAATGCAGTGGCGAGGTACTCAGAGGGAATGATGTTCAAGAGGTCGGTGGCGCCTGCGCCTGCAATTTTCTGAGGGTCGAAGCCCGGGATGCCGGCAAGGCGTGTGGATAGTTGGCCGACCAAGACGTTTTGCCCTACTGAAACGAAGATGGCACCAAAGAGTGTCTGGGCAAAAAGCATAAGCGAAGCACCGATGGACACTTGGTCGCGCGGCAGCACCGTCTGAGCAGCCATGTTGGGTGCTTGGATACAGCCCCCAAAGCCCCAGCCGAACAGGATTTGATAACCAATCCATTGGCCTACGGTTGAGTCGACTTGAAGCGTGGTAATTAGACCGGAGCCAATCGCTGTGAGGCAGATACCGAAGATCACGAAGGGCGTGTAATAGCCGATGCGGGTTGTTAGTACGCCAGTGAGAATGGACGAAATAACGAGAGCAAGCACCTGAGGTAGAAGGTGAATGCCGCTCTCGACGGCTGAATTCCCTTTGACAGCCTGGAACCATATGGGAAGGTAATAGACTGATAACCCAGTGTCAGCATGCAATAATATATACTACCTGAATAGGAGTATACTTACGGATTAACGTCTGCTGCGCGCCAAGGCAAGAGCTCACGAAGAAAGCACTATAAATGCTTCGCTGAATAAATATACGCGGCGGTACCGTGGCTCGTTCCGGCCTCCAAACTTGAATCAAGATGAAGGCAATCAAAAGGGCGAAAGCAAGCACCAGCAAAGCAATAATTCGCCCATTGTTCCACTATATACAGTTAGTTCCGCCAACCCAAAGACGCCCAAGACGGTAGAAAAAGCGCCGCCAAGGAAATTCTAGAACTTACAGTGTACGTAAACACACCCCATTGGAGAGCCAGACATAGACAAACTACTCCGGGGATGAGAACGGCTTGTCCCTCAATATTGAGCTGCTGTAGTTTGCTTCTCAGAGTATGCTTGTTATTAGAGCGATCAGGGATGTGAAGCAAGAGGAAGATAAACACCATCACGACACCTCCGATGGGTAGGTTGATGTAAAAGCACCATCTCCAGGTAACGTTCGTAGTAAAGGCGCCACCGACTAGCGGACCTAGCACTGACGAGACCCCGAACACAGCACCGAAGAGACCTTGGTACATTGGCCGTTTTTCCAGCGGTACAGCATATACGATAATAGTGACCTAATGTATTATAGAATCGGCAAGTTAGAACAACTACTGGGCAGTAATATCTTAGGTAGGTAGTAAAGATAAAGGGGGACATACAACGCCGGACTGAACGCCTCCAGCCCCTATTCCAGCGATTGCTCTACCGATTATAAAAGCAATCGAGTTAGGTGCTGCACCGCAAATAGCCGATCCAATCTCAAACAGTAAGATGGCCATCATAAAGGTAGTCTTAACGTTCATAAGTGTGTATAATTTTCCAAATACCGGCAAGAAAGCACAGTTGGTGAGCAAGAAGGCTGTACCATACCATCCAATGTCGTTTGCCGTGTCGAACTCGTTGGTGATGGATGGTATAGCGGTCGAGATGATGAGTCTATCCTGTAGACGACGTTAGTTAGCTAGTATACCCTATTGTAGACATGCTGCTATCCGCTCACATACCAAGGCTACCAAGAACATGCCAATATAAAGGGAGATAAGTATGATTGCGAGTTTATAACCCGAAGGATACACTTGGCTGGCTCGGTCAATGGACGCTTCATTTTGTTCGCTCTCGCGTTGAAGCTCTTTCTCCTGTGAAGCCATAGTTGGGTGAGTGTAGTAGGTTGAACTAGGACTGGGGTAAGAGAACCGGTAAGAAAGGCGCTATCATGAGCTATAGTAAGGTGCTATAGATATTTGGCGCGTGTTTAGAGATAGAGTAAGTAAAAGCTGAAGAGAAATATATAAAACCAATAGTGAAGCCCACCTAGATCTAGGTATATTTACACGATCTAACGCCTCCTATCGTCCATAATCACGGAGCGTGCTCTCAATCCGCTGTGGATCCTACGAACTCCATTCAACTCACCCTACAAATTCTAAGTCCATTTCATTTTCTATCGTCCTCGCTCATTTCAGACATAACGGAGCGGGCTTCCACGGTCTTTAATGTGGCTTACGACCGTCCGTCCGACCGTCCGCTTTCCGACGCTCCATGTTGCGGATCGGGGTGGATGTTCTCCGGGGTATTACCTACCTGTTAAGTAATTATTTATACGATCACTAGAATATATTCACAATCCCATATGATGGGCTACGTCAATGGCCGAGTCACGTACAATTTAATACATCGTCTACAGTATAGGCCTGCCCAGCCTTAAGTATATTTATCTACTACCCAATGTGCCTGGTACGCAACGGTCGCATTCATAAGGTACCCCTAACCTAGGTAGGCACGGATGAAAGCGACGCAGATGGTGACTTAATAAGCGTGAACCTTCCCTTTTCTAAGGAACTCGCAAACTAAGCAGGTCTGCAGCTGGGCGATGCGTCGTGGTGGATCAACATAAGCCGCCGTAGGGGGTTCCAGGGGTTGTGGCTTAGGGCCGTTTCCGGGTAGGTTGCCGGATTGTAGAGGTGCAAGCGTCTGCCCGGAATTGGCCCTTGAGGACTGGCCCGTATACCTATGGATGTTGAACGGGGGCAGGTCCTTGCCACCCCCAGCGCCGTAGTGATCTGAGTTCCCCATGGTTAATTTCCGTTGCGGATCAATCCGAGAACGGGAAGAATAGGTACCTAGGCTATGGATAACGGGGATGGAGATCTATGCCTGAGCTAGTATGGAAACTTAGGATCCGTACGGTTATGTTCTGGAAAGCATAGCAAACGGTGTTAGGAATGGCTGGTCTAGGGGTGAACATATAGAAAAGTTGAGTGCCTCCATGATGGATACTCCATCTCTTGCGTGAATGGTTATACTATAGAAACGTATGGTGAGTTTGAAATATATAAGCCGTTAGTTTCCTCAAAACATAGTAGCTACCTACCAGGTAGAGTTACTAAGACTATACATCTCTGATTCACTTTGAAACCTGCCGTGATTGTTAACGTTGGCAACCGGGGTTTTAGAAAACTGTTAGAATCTAAACACTTTCGAAAGAAGGTTGCTGCAATTGTTGAGCCATCAAACATCCTATGGTTTATTTCAAAGCTTTATAAAGACTATAAAAATTACCATTATCGGTGAAGGTCCTTATTTTAATATTGACGTATAGTTTTGTTTACGTGATTCCGTGGAAACGTTTGTGGCATCTAGTTTAGGAAGTGATCTATTATTGGAGTGCCATGGTTCTAAATGAGACATATAGAACAAAGGACACTGTCAGTATGTATAGCCGTAGGTTCCCACAGCTAGCTAAGAGTTCCTCGCGGAATAGGGAAGTTGTTTATTAGCTTCTTGGTCCACCTCGCGACATGGAGTCTATACCATATTTAACTTCGATATAGAAAGAAAACAAGTGAATCCAAATTGATTCGTCTCTAATGATGGGACGAAATACCTATGGAACGATTCTTGTAAAATGTGTGATTAGGAGACTGCTGCTGGATATAGTATGAGGTATTTTAGCAAGAATGTGTATATAAATCAGACATCGTCCTTCACTCGCGGAGAAGCTCAGTGACTTAACTAAGGCACCTACCAGGTTAGGTTAGGTACTTAGGTAGGAGGTACCTAATACGGCTTATATACCGTCGTTTTAACTAGTTCCCTGCTAACGGCACTTATTATCCTCTAGATATAACATTAACGGTCTGTTGTTTCGGTTCTACCATTGGTTTGCATCTAACGAGGCTCATGACGCTGGATATTAAATGAGCCCCTGAGGCGATGGTACTGACTATGGTATACAGTGGTTAAGGGGCTGTCACATAACAGCTATCCTGGGACCTCGCTAAGGCATAGTGTGCGCGTACCAGTCCAGGCATCAATATACCTACGCTATAATAGGTGATAGATACAACCTATCTAGCAGCTGATGTCTTAATACGTGTCACCTAAGCCTCGCCCTCTATTCTTCTAGGGTTCCTCTGACAGCTCGCTTTGGACATACCTACCTCTGGATCCATTTGTTTATCCTCTTACGTAGCTTCTGCTTCATTGCCACGATACACGTAGGTGATTGTGGGTAGTAGATGTTGACGTATGGTATTACCTTAAGACTGGTAGACAGTACAGTATGGCTGCTTTTTGCATGGAAGACGCAATGGGATCTAACATCTTCTAAGGAGTGGATTATTGTAGCACAATATATAAGGCGTAATTGCTAGTCAGCGATTACGGCGTCGTTTTTCGTGTTCGACAATTATTCTAACAGGTAGGTAGTTACAAACTCAACGAGAATCGGGACTTTCAATAAATGAACTTGGTATGGTAATTACTAAACGAGTAGGTAGTCTAAAACATTCATACGATTATGTTCGTAGCTCATGAAATGTGATCCAGTAGATCTTTACTTTTTAGCTTACCCCCTTTTTTATTGATTATTCTTCTACTGTCTCATTATTCTCTTGATTTGTCTTTCTTCGGTCTCTTTTGACCTTGTTGGGCGTTAAATTATGCGGAAGGATTGAGGCTTAGATACTCTCTAACCCCTTAATCACAATCGTTCCCAGAACTAATCGCTACCCATGATGGCTTTCATTGTCACCTGTATCGACCTATTCTTTTGTTATGAGTTTGACCTAATATTGTATGCCATTTGGCTCCGGTCTGATTATTTGACATATGTCTTTGCGACTATGGGCCTATTTGATGGCCATTATGGCGAGCTATCCTTGCTGTCGCTATACTGCACGAATGCAATTTTGGTAGGGTTTCATTCGATAACTATAAACATAAGACTTCAAGTAATGGCTTCAGCGAGTACGATGCCGGTTACCCGAGGGATAGAAGTATGGTCATGACGCGCTGGCAAGGCAGGAGTCATACTACAGTCATGGTCTAAAGTTAGGTATATCTCTATGCCAATCGTACGAGAGTCGAACAAGATATTGTAGCCGGTGACCGGAAAAGGAAATAGAATCGTGAATTCCGACTCTCTGCGTAGTCGTATTGGTGCATCAAGCTAGTCAATTCATAGACATTTTACTATCCCGAGCCTGAAGATAGAGTATTCCATCAAGCTTCTCTTCCTTAGCAAGCTTAGATAGCCATCCTAAGCCCCGATGCGGTGTTCGAGGTATACGTTTGCACTATACTATTACCGCTAGTGACGTGGCATGAGTTCTTGGTCCTATTGAGCTTCTCGTTGGCCGGTTCGGATGTTTCGAATTAACTGCTATACTAAAACGAACGAATAGTAATTACTCCATTACTCCGTTACACAGCCACCCTCTTGGATACAACGGTGCTCTCCTTCAGTCATGCGTTTGATTGACCCATCACGACCAACAAATGGGGCGTCAAGAGCACGAGCCTCTCGAATATCCCGTTGGAGGCTGCAGACGTATCGAATGTACAGATCCGTACCTAGTATTTATCGGCAATTTTGTCTGGGCAGTCCCTTACGAGGCTTTTTCGTAATGTGGAGATATATAGAGATATGGTTTATGAGGTAGACGGGTGAAGTGAAAGGTAGTTTAGTTTAGTCACCTATCTTCTACCTAAACTGGAGCGTTTAATATAGGTAGTGATATTCCAACGATATAATGTGTTATAATACATAATTAGCTTTGGATCGGGTTAAGATGATACCACATGGTTGTACATGGTTGTGTATCGCAGAATCGGTACCGAAGCGGTTAGGACTCAGCCGCACTTCCTCGTCAGGCGTGAGGTGGAATATCTCCGGATCTCTCGCAGTACTCGGACCAATGATTCAGTCCGATTTACCCCTGGATTCGGTACTTTCCCGGTTCCACTCGTGTATGCAGTCAGGGCAGTGTGGCAGCTTTCGGTAAGTGTTGCATGAATACCAATCCCATGTTTGTAATTAATGATTGCTTATTCGCTAGAAGACTCAAGGAATATCTCGAAAAAGCATTCCGGCCAATAAGAATGAAACCATATTGTCATTTGTTATGACTGCTCCGCCGCAGGATCGACAGTGTTAGGCGGTCTATGGAGCAACTAGAGTGCGATTCTCGCCCTTCGGACTCGTCTCCACGATATAGCTTCAAAGCTAAGCTCCCCGGATCACGATCCGGTAGGTCTCATGGCCGGGGTCCGCGGACGAAACTTACCGCCACATAGGGCTTCTATGTAGGTATAGAAAATGAGGGAATCTGGGTGTGATGGTACTGCGTGTACTGCGTTTGCTGCGTATCTGCAATACCGTTGCGGTTGTTATATCGCTGCCTGCGATGGTGACGCGGCACCCTGACCCTACGTCAACAGCGTCCGGAATGTTCATTCTTTCGATAATCTCCGGTTCGTTGTCTGAGCCGCTTAACCGAAAATGAATTCACAGTCAATATATTAGAAGTATTTAAGGAAGCTGGTGCGACCAACAATATATCATCTCAACACGATTAATATCATCAACAAGTCAAATTCAAACTAAATCAAGATGAAGCTGGTGTACCTATCCTCCGCCGTAGCCTTTGGCTCCGTAATCGCCGATACGGCCCCGTGGGAAGGTCCCGGACCGAGCGACGGTAAGCTACCCACCAAAACTCGGCCGAAGCAAATATCGAGTACCGCGTTGCTAATACCAGAAATAAAGTGCGTTCGCCTTGTCCCATGCTTAATACTTTAGCAAACCACGGGTTTTTACCTCACGATGGCAAGAGTATCACTGTAAATAAGACGGTAGATGCTCTATCCTCAGCGCTGAATATCGCCCCGGAGCTCGGTAGCTTCTTGCACAAGTTCGCGGTGACTACGAACCCTCAGCCTAACGCGACGACCTTCGACTTGAATCATCTTAGCCGTCATAATATATTAGAGCACGATGGTAGCTTGAGGTTTGTTTCCGAGTCACGAGGACGTTCTTTCGTTTAATCATAAATCACTAATTCAAACGTCCATAGTCGTCAGGATTCTTACTTTGGTCCCCCGGATGTCTTTAACGAGGCTGTCTTTAACGAGACTAAGTCGTACTGGACCGGAGACATAATTACTATACAGATGGCAGCCAACGCGCGTGTGGCCCGTCTCATGACTTCGAACCTTACGAACCCTGAGTACTCGCTTTCGAACTTGGGTTCAGAGTTCAGTATCGGCGAGTCGGTTGCATATCTCTCCATTCTAGGATCTAAGGAGACCGGCACAGTCCCGAAGACTTACGTGGAGTACTTGTTCGGTAAGGCGATGATGTCCAATAATTTATGAGTGCGTTTAGAAGCTAATAGGGTAACCTTTATAGAAAACGAACGCTTGCCTTATGAGCTTGGTTTCTCAAAGATGAAGGAACCCATGACGCAAGATGACCTGAGCAATTTGATGGATAAGCTCGTCGAGGCTCAGCATTTCCCTCAATCACCTGGCAAGATTTCCAAGCGTACCGAGAGGCCTTCCGAGAAGCGTGCTGAGAAGCGTTGCCCATTCCACTAGATGCAATCCTATGATTCGTAGAGTCGGTGAATGTTGTGGGGATAGGCGTCGAATGCGATTATCCCCGAGACTGCGATATTAAGCTAAACTTCTATTCGACACATGGCGCTTGGGAATGAATGCTGGCCCAAGAATGGCAAACCTCGCTATTGTGATGCACATTTATCGGTTATTTTACTCTAGACAGAGCACACATGGATTAGGCAGGGTATATATGACGACTCGGATAATGTTTAGGATATAAAAGGGGACTTCAAGCAGAAGGGTACCATAGAGCTTGTATCTATGAGTTGATAGCTGGGTGTGTACATACCAACGTAGGTACATATAATTGATTTTCCCATTTACATACCTACCTCCTAGGTACCTACTATCACTCCAATAATCTTCCAGCAAATACTTTGCGGAACAGGAGCATTCTATTTTTAAAGTGACGAATACGTTTAGGGGTAGTACTTGGGAGAATTCGGATAGTATAGGTATTCAGGGGTAACTCTATTAGGGCGTTACTTACGGATCCGTAGATTTCAACGATACTTTGGCTGTCATGATGCGACCTTGCTATACCTAGGCCTTCTGATCATGACTGTATTCAATTTATTTACCCTACCGAATATGCAAACGCAGTAGTCCTTCGTAATAGACCCTTAGTCCCGAGTGATAAGATAACATTTCAACGCTGCTCTAACTGCGGCCGGAGTTCTCGTAACTCTGCTCCTGTTGCCACTGGTGCTACAACATCATCGGCCGGGTCTGCATCCGCAGGATCTTCCCAACCCTCACGACTATCATGTACGAGTCTTACGAAACAGATATCAAATATCTGTATGGACCTACCTGGCCTATGAGGCTATAACCCTATTTCTTCATCAAGGGTCGACTGCGAATTAGATAGCTACCTCTTTCATATGTAGACTGTAGTCCGCCGATAGAATGAGCATATAAGTTGAAGGTCAAATCACAGATGAAGTCCACATCGATAAATAAGTCTTAAGTCATCCATCGAACATCTTCGACCCCCTTTAATATGTCTTCACACATGTTCGATAGCGGACACGGCGGTGGTTCCAGCGTCCACCGTGATAATACTCCCAGTGATCCAACGAGCTTGCTCGCTAGCCAGGAACCTAACAGCCGTCGCACAGTCCCACGCATTACCTTCTGTTCGCAGGAGAGTGCCGTTTCTTCGCGCTTCTCGAGTCTGTGCGCTTATTCCTTTTGCATATATCATGGGCGTATAGAGATAACCTGATAGGATTTAGTGTACGGCGATAGAAATAGACAAGGAATAGTCTCGCTGCGGCTCGCTTACCTGGGCAGACACAGTTCACACGAATACCATCCGACCCGTGATGCGCTGCCATGGCGCGCGTCATGTTCAGAACAGCACCTTTGCTTGTCGGATATAGCAAATGGGGAGTACCCCCTACTAATCCCGCGACCGATCCGATATTAACGATGCTTCCTCGAATCCCTTCTGGCGACTCGGTATTCTTGCGCATTTCGGGCACGACGAACTTGACCATGTTTGCCATACTTGTGACATTTACGTCGAGCCCACGACGCCACTGATCCAAGTCAAATTCCGTGGCAGTACCCCTGGCGCCCATGATGCCTACATTGTTGACCAGGATGTCAATTCGCCCAAACTTGGACAGCGCTGCATCCACAATGTTTTGGCAATCGATAGGCTTCGTAACGTCGCCCTGACAGCTAATACTCTCCCCTTTGCCTTCCGCTTCTATCATGGCGCTGGTGCGTTCAGCCCACGAGGGGTGTACATCCGTACACACGACGGAGGCTCCATCTTCGGCCAACAGAATCGAAATTGCTCGACCGTTACCAAGGCCATCACCTTCGCAACCCGCTCCTGTCACGATAGCGACTTTCCCCGCCAGAGATCTCGACGGCCTTGGAGGAATGTCATCCGCCACTAAACCCGAGATTAGAGAATCAGGTAATCACGAAAGACTGCTCTTTAATCCACCTACGAGTTCTCCTTTCTATACTGAACGCTCGTCGTCCTACCGAGTGGGTTGTAGATTTCGAGCTTCTTAGTCGTAGAAACTTGCTGTCCTGAGACATACAATGCATTGGAGACGCCCATGTGAGGGGGACCGGGCCTAGTGAGGGGTGTTTGGGCTTCGCACATATTGAAGGCAGAGCTCGTTCTATTGAATGCGATCGAGCATGACGAGATAATACATTTCTAACGGCAAGGTAACGCATACTCAAACTTGGACTCTCAATTACCGAATTAAATTCAAGTTAAATTGTCGTTTAGGGAGCTACATAATAAGCATCCCGTAGATTGTACGTTGAGATGAAAGAAGAGAAGTTCCATCTCCAACTCTCGAGCTTGATGAATAAAGGTGGTGCAACCTGAATTTACTAAAGGACGATGTATGTCAAGAGTAATTGGTAATTGTAACTCACTCTTAGACGATATAATTACCTAATTACCTAAGATACTAAAGATAGACTGAAGACACAATAATTACACTACGTTGGCAACCTTGTAAAGAGTATTTCTAAATTGCCAAGGAGCAGCCCGTTATCTGTCGGCTTATAGCTTAAGTCAAGTTGAGTGTTAGTTGATGCATCTTCAATCGTGGGGAAATCTCAATATAGAACTTACATGTCAGACCATGTAACCTCACCATCCACGCAGTGGTTATCCTTGTAGAATACGATGCTTGAATTTACTCTAAGGACTCAATGCCAATCGACCAGGTTTATAATATCTATTGTGGTATAATTCATAGGATCTAACTTAGCAGGGTAGAAGGAACATAACGTCTACGACTTTACTAGAAATTATTAGAGAACAAAAGGTCTCAAATGAAACTAGATGTTGGCGTTGAACTAAAAACAAACCTCGTCCTTTGATTTATAAGGAAACTATCACCATTGGATTCAACTCTCATCGATGACATAAGATATGGCTCAATTCTCTCAATTCTCTCCGATCTAGTTCGGAGTCAATAGACTATACGAAAGCTGCAGACCGATATAAACATATGCAAAGGATTAATCACTCCTGTCACGTTCGTGGACTCTATGGATTCGGTTCATGGATTATGGACTTAATAGAGTGGACATGTCCAGCCAAGAGTCGGTGAAGACGACGTTCCCCAATTAGTGTCAATGCGGCATCCTTTAACGCTATAGTAAGAAGGTATCAACACAATGGATGCCCCATGGGATGCCGGCATATACCTGCAATTAAAGTGCGGCTCACGAAGGATCTCATTTACGATCCCTGCGTCTTATATTTTCTCAAAAGTGCTCTCTCCGATATGTCTCGGAGTAGTTGACTAATTGTCTCACGATACACGAAATTCTAGGCCACCACGATAGTCACACTTGTGTCAACTTATTTATATAAATATATGTCGATGCCGTATTAACAACATCTCACTCTGCTTAAACCATAGCAAACGGAACTCAGACCACCGACAGTCAGATTACATTGCCCATCATGGTTAACATAACTGGTGAGTCGTCTCTGCCATCTACCATCTACCATCTACCATCTACCCAATTAGGTGGATAACAGCGCGTTTCGCTCTAGCTAACCCGATACCGTAGCACCCCTTCGTATCGGCTACGTGCTGTTCCCGGCCTTCACATCGATAGACGTCTTCGGGCCTCTGGGTGTGCTGAATCTAGTCTCCATGAACTATAACCTGACGCTGTCGCTGCTGTCGACGGACCTGGAGCCGATCAGCGTGGACCGTACCATCATAGGCGGTGTGGGTAGTGGCGTGGGCGCTGTGTCGGCGTCACCCAACTTCACCGAGTTCGTCCTCCCGACGCACACTTTCGACAACCCGCCGGATCTTGACGTGCTCTTCGTGCCGGGAGGCTTCGGTACCCGCAACATCAACGGCACGCAACCCCACGTCGACTGGATCCGCAGCCGCATCGAGCAGGAGCCTAAGCTCGACTACTTGATGAGCGTGTGCACTGGCGCCTCGCTTTTGGCGCGTACCGGCAAGCTCGAGGGCAAGAACGCTACTACGAACAAGGCTGCCTTTAACTGGGTCAAGTCGGTCGAGCACGCCGACAAGGTCAACTGGATCGCTAAGGCCCGGTGGGTCGTCGATGGAGATATCTGGACCAGCTCGGGAGTCAGCGCCGGCACGGATATGACCCTGAATTGGGTTGAGCATCTGTACGGGAGGAACGAAAGCGAGAGGGTGCGAAATCTCATGGAGTGGAATGCGATGAACCAGACCGATGACCCGTTTGCCGAGTACTACGGACTGGTGTAAGTCACCGGAGGTTGAGGGTTCGCGTTTCGCGTTTCTTAGCTCTGAACTGCGTCAATTATACCCCCCAAATAGCACCATACGCATACCTCTGGCCATTACTTTACCTCGTTAGGCAGACGCAGCCGTCGGTGGATTTACCTAGCAGCGTAGGACGGAGAAAGTTGCTAAAAGGGGTAGGGGTAGACTTAGGTAGTGACAAACAGGAGATCACCAGAGTCGGCAACAAAAGGGCTCGCTTTAGTTCGCTTTAGTATGATCAAATAGTATGATCAGATCAACTTTAACCGCCGATTTTTTAGTTTCAACTAGCTACGGGCTACGTTGACATGTCGGAGTGAAGTGGCTATAGAGGTAATTACCTTACTTGCCAAGTGTGGTTGATTATTGTCCATGTTACCTAAAGAGTATTCGAATTGTAGAGAACCTTGGCGTCTAGAGTACACCAGTCTTCTAGACAAGTGCTAACATTTCTATCTGCTTACTATTGGCTAAGGGACTAAAAGTGGCTTGTCAAAGGGAAGACCAAAAGTAAGACAAGTCTCACGGAATGCTAGGGATGAGACATTACCCGCGTGAAGAGGCAAGTAAAATATCCAGTCAAGTGAATAATATTTACTATTTCCAATGGTCGACAGCAAGCTAATGAAAGCTGCCAACTCAATATAAAGGTTGAAATTTTGAGATATAACCAATACAGCCCGGATATTAAGGATGCCATATTAACATAATAATCATCTCCTAAATTACAATCCCTCCCCCCAAGACTTTTATACAGCGAAGCCACCCGAGTTAACCTGCCGTGGTTCCCCAGCCGCCTCGAAAGTTCCGTTCGGCAGTAATCTTAAACCCTGCGCTGTGCTCTGACCCGGCGCCACCCAAGTCACATTATGACCTAGCGACTGTAGGTACGCGACGGTGCTGTTGTCGTAAGAGTACTCGAAGGAGATCTGGGGAGGGCTGAGCTGGTCGTGTAGCCTGGGTGCAGCCAGCGCCTCGGCTGTCGTAAAGTTCTGATCGAGTACGTGGTGAATATTCTGGATGGTGGCCGTGATGATGCGACTACCACCGGCGGATCCTATAACGAAATACAACTTGCCATCGGCCGTCTCGACTATAGTCCCTGAGATGGAAGATAGAGGTCTCTTACCCGGACGGATGAAGTTTGCCGGGCTCGGTATGTAGCCAAACGCGTTACTCGAGTTGGGAATAGAGAAGTCGTTCATCTCGTCGTTCATAATAACACCGGTCTCAGGTACGATCAAACGGGATCCGAAGATCAAGTTAATAGTTGTCGTAAGGCTGATAGCTAAGCCGCTCTTATCGGCGGTAACAATATGACTTGTGCCCGGAGTGTCAAGGCTCTCGAGACCGGCGGGATCATAGTACGAGACGTCCTGGGTTTTAAAATCGGATATCTTAGAGCGTACTTCAGCAGCAGTCGCATCAGAAATCATAGACTCCTGGTACTCGTCAAGCCCTTCGACGAAGGAAGGATCACCAAGTTCAGATCGTTGACCATATGCAAATTTGATAGCCTCATCCAGTCTATGAGTAGTCAGGTTGACCGCAGCAGGATCGCCAAAACCCTCATATCCGCCGACGATTTTCAGCGCACTGAGCGCTACCACGCCGCTTGCCGGGGCGCTGATGCTCGTGAGCTTATAGCCTCGGTAGTTGATTTCAGAAGGCTTCCTAATCGCAACCGTGTAGTTCTTCAAATCATCCAGTGTCATGGTCCCATTCTTTCCTTGCAGCGCTGCTATTGTCGCCTTAGCGATAGCACCAGTATAAAATGCATCCGGACCCTCGTTAGCGATGACTTCCAATGTGTCGGCATAGCGTTTGCGCGTTATGGTCTCGCCTAGCTTGACTATATAACCCTCCGGGGCGAAGTCAATTGCCCAGGCTGGGTCATCCTTGAGGAAATCGTTTGGCGTCACGGATGCTATGTACTTCACGAGATCTGCTGTTACCTCGAAGCCTTCCCGAGCGACCTTGACGGCCGGCTTCACCACGTCTGCCCACGGGAGCTTCCCGTAGTTTTTATGCAGATACTCTAGCCCTCTAAGCTCTCCGGGAACACCGCTACAGCTCTGTTAGTACCATAATTCGTCTAAGAGACAGGGGTATTAAGTGCCCATCCAGGCCGAGTTGAGATTACCTTGCCAGGCCGCCGTATAAGCTAGCGTCGGTGTTATTCTCGTACATATCCTCATAAGCAGCGGCCGGAGCCGTCTCTCGAAAATCGATGTACTCGTATTTCCCATCGCTACCGCGGACAAGCATAAAACCGCCACCGCCAATGCCACTGTGGTACATGCCGATGACACCGACGCAGAACACAGTGCCAACAAGGGCATCAGCAGCATTCCCACCGGCTTGAAGTAGGTCGGTCCCTATCTTAGAGCATACAGAGCTCTCAGATGCGACGGCGCCCAACCTAGGGACTCGTTCGCATGATCTCGCGAGTCCCGTATGCGCCAAGAAGCCCAGCTGTAAGACAGCGGCCGCGATACTTCTGAGGGACGACATGACGCTTGCGGGAGGCAGCTAGAAGGACTAGTCCGTGAAGATGCCGTCAAAGGAACTAGCAGACTACCTAGGTACCTAGTAGCAACAAAAGAACAAAGACACCCAAAGGGCACACGACTGGCAAGACGGCCGTATTTGTACTCGCGCTGCGCGTGCGGCGTAAGCACGCAATCAAGGATCATCTACAGCGGCAGTACCAACTCGGTAAACTGGGCAGCTAGTCAGCTTGCATTAGCTTGGGTTTGGCTGGTACCTGACCCTTGACCGAGTGAGAAAGAGAGATAGTAGGGATTGAGGCTGTAGCTTTTCAGCTTAGCTCTCGAATAGAGACTTGGAAGAAAACGGTGACTGATACCTGAGGTATTAGATATAAAATACTATTTATATGAAATAATATCTTTAGATAATAGGTATCCTTGGATATCATATTCATAACACCCCGCACTCGCCTACCGTATTACCTATTGCATCCATCCTTTCGCATCGCGTATTCTTGTATTATCGTGGTAGGTATTATTCGACTCGCATTGTCTTGCCTCGTCTACCTTCAGCTGTGTCCCGCATCATATGTTCCCGGGGAATGAATATGATAATTTCCTTCTCTAAATCCTTCCGTGATATCCACGACACTAAAATGTTTATCGTGATGTTCCCGCTTTCTTCTTGACCGTCCTTCCTATCGTGGAAATGAGATTGCCCCAATCAAGCAACCTGGTCCACCACCTAGCTGTTGACGCAATGGGCACCATGCCGTTGCATCAGGTGCTACCTAATTATTCACTAATGATACACCTCTTATGCCACCTAATATTTAGCTAGCATCCCGTGGAACACTCTTAATAAAATCCCTTAAATACTTTCAAGGCGTGTAAGATGTGCAAGGTCTAGAAAGACTCTTATGTATCCTTTAGATGAGATTATTCATTCGCCGTCATCGTCCACCATTCGGCGACGCTTCCTAGTGCTACTGACGTTCGTTTCGTTAAGAAGCCCACTCCCGGTAGAACTAAACCGCTTTTGGAGCTCGTCCATCTCGTCCACCGGTAGTTTGGCCGCAAATTCCTTGTCCTTAGTAGCTCGACGCTGTTCTGAAGTCGCTTTTCTGAGAGACCTATATGCGTCGTAGAGGTTCTTGATGCTTGCTTCAGCAACAGGGAGGACTAGATATTGACCATTCTCTTCGTCATTTCCTATATTCACCGGATCTCCTTTCACGGCCTCCACATACTTGAGGCTACCACCAAGTTCCTTGAAGACGAGGACAATCTGTAGATCGTGTGTCGCATGGTTATACGACGAGTGCTTGACATCGAGCAAGTTGCCCAGCTTGTTCTTTGAAGGCAATTGTCCTAAGCTGAGGTCTTCATAGTACTCGCGAGATATTTTACGGCTCACTACTGCACTTTCGTCTGCTGCGGCAAGATATTGCTGGATAAGGACCTCTTTATGATTTAGCAGCTTTGCATAAGCATGCTGGATTACCCAGACGTTTCGCAACGTAGGTTGCAAGGCCACGATAGGATCCCCAAAGTTCTGGGGCAGCATCGGGCTAGCTTCATCGTAGGTGACCAACTGTGGACGGGGAATGCCGTGGACAGAATCGCGAAGTTTATAACTCGGTCTACGGCCTAGGAGCGTGCATCCCAATAGGCGGTTCACCTCGCTTCCCGGACTAACACCAGGCAAGTCCTCCAATGATCCCAATTTCGTCTCTACCTCGTAGATCGCCTTGGATGCTCTATTCTGAACCGTAAGCATCATATCCTTAAATTCCTTAAGCAACTCGGATTGACGAGACCGAAGTAAGGTACTATCGGATTTAATGGCATGGTCCTGCACTATAGCGCTATTTGACGAGAGCGCTGCTTCTACTAGTTTGCCGATGCCCTGAAGGAGCACTCCAAGCTGGGGCTGGGCTTGATTGGCGGTAGTCTGCGATTCCATGTTCTCGATTTGAGTTTGATATGTTAGGTCCGAAAGGAGATAGGTACGCCGTAGGAGACACGCCGTAGGAGATATGCTATGAGAGAAGTTGCGGGGGGGGGGGGGTGAAAAGTGACGTATTTGTTAACTCTGGGAGTCGAAGAAAGGTGTGCTCAAATAGTTGAGGATTTAAGTAGTTGTTATGTTAGAGGCTAAATGATGAGAAGGTCTTGGAATTGTATTGGTGTATTCGTCGGGGTCTAAGAAGGAAAGAACATAGAAGCATTTGTGTGGGGTAATTTTCTACATGAGACTTGGGGTGACGGGATAGATAGATAATTCTGCATGATGCATTGGGAGGTAGGTACCTTACAATTGCCATGTGCTCGTGGAAAGTTACAACTGTGCGGATCGGCCTCTGTATATGGCCATTCACCACCAGCCACTATTTAAGGAGGCCTGATATATCAGAACAGAGTTTGATTAATTTCCAAGTCTGTTGTAATAATGATAATGACTGGCATCACGACTCTACTGAACACCATACTAACTGCAACTTATATAATTGAGGAACATTACTATCAATTATGCCAGGCTTGCGTATTAGTACTGTTTAATTCGATATATGCTGGCTCCCGTGTTGTCTATGCGCTCGCTTATCTGCTTTCCATCTATTCAGACAGATGAATAAATGTCGTATAGAAGCCTTCAGGGACCACATGTCTGTAAAGTAGAAATACATAAACATGTGGCCATCACGAGGCGGTTCCTGCCGTCAGAGGTTTCCGACCAACCATTATTCTCGTAGGGTAATAGGCGTGGATATTAGGTGAGCGCATATCGCGTCGTAGATGTGCAGCATAGACCTGGATCTCCGCCGGAGTCCAGCCCATCACCATAGTCCACAAGAACGTCAAAAATCCTACGAAAGAAGTAAGAATCGATGATAAGATGATTTGAGAAGTTTGGCAAATGCGATCATACCTTCGATGTCCTGTCCCACGGCAAGCCCGGTGTACAAGCCAATCTGTCTGAGTTTCTCGTCTCGCGGCCACCCACTTAATGCGGTCTACAAACGGAATGTCAATTTAGTAATGCGAATGGAGGTTTCATGTCGGCGCCCTAGCACGTACCTTGATGTCGGTCTCGTAAGTAATTTCGAAGCCCGCGGCCTCCATCGCTTTCCTTTGCAAGTCATCTTCTATGACGTTGAACGTGCGACCTGTCTTCTTTCCAGCCTCGGAGAATACCTTGCTCCACTGATCTAGAGGGGACCCGTCTTTAACTGTGCCGTCGTCGCTCGTTATCATACACGAAGATTCCTGACTCTCCAAGTATCCGCCGGGCTTTAGCGCCTGGTAGGCTTCTCTGAACAAGGCGTACCAGTCTGGAATAGCACCTACTAGCCAACGTATGTGGATATAGTCGAAGCTATCAGGCTCGTACGTCCACGGCTGTGTTACGTCGTCTACCTCGAATCTTAGGTTAGGCGGGATCCATTGCGGCTGCTGCGGTGAAACGTCGACACCGATCACTTCGGCGTTGGGATACTGATCGGCAAAGTCACTGGATTGTGTTAACTCGTAGGAACTATTATTAGAAATTCCGAATAGTTACATTGCCCATATCCCTATGAAAATTGTTAGTTATTTGTTAACTTTTGAGTAAGCAGACTACCTGTTATATCATATTGTGGAACTCACCAGTACCGCAACCCACGTCTAATACTTTCTGTAATGTGTTCAGTGTAAGTCTCAAGATGCCCGTATGATGGGTTTGCCTACTTGAACATCGTCACTAAGAGGAGCAGCAAGGATTTTCCCATCCAGCATTATCGTCGCGATATGATGACTAAAAACCAAGGTTGAGCGGATTTATTTTCATATGAATAAGAATATGAATAAGATAGGAACTTACAAGATATCCATGGACTCATCGTGAATAGCATCGTTAGGGCCCCTTTCATATACATCAGCACTATACATCAGCACCAGCGAGTCTCATATTATAATGAAATAGTAGTTCTTACCAAGATAACGCGTTACCGCGTTCGCTATGATATGTGCGACCATGAACAGTTCGATACTCGAGGATACTAGCAGTTAACGACGCGGTCGAGCTGGCGGCATCTTCAAAGGCCGAATCATCATCCTCGCGCACGTTCACAGGCTAGAACGATATTTAATTAATTAATTTCTCTTGTAGTGAATCGAAGCGCGTTCCTAACATACCGGTAACTGAGCCCAATGCGACGCGGGAAGAATATGAGGATTACTGGTCTGTGATGTCTGAGATTCGGGCGAGGGAGCGTCTGCTGCTGGCGATACAGCTTGCGATCCCGGTTTGGACGATGTTGCTGGTGCAGCGGTAGCACCCGTAGTAGCCGTACCCGACGCTGTCGCCGGTGTCTTGGCAGATGGGTCGGACATGTTGCTAGCTACACGTCGTGCTTCTCCCGACTAGGTTAAATACCTATATTTATGTTGCCCGTTCGTGTAAATGAAAAATGTCTAATAACATCCAAGCCTTTAACTCCCAATTGGGTATATATAATAGGCACTCAAAATTTATAATGTTCGAGTCTCGGTCGATTAGGAGAAGAATGTGACAGGGTCATCTAAGAAAAATCGAACTTCTCTAGAAGCGAGAGATGGATAAGCCAGTGATATTGTTGGTACCTAGTAAGATGTTTGGCAGCGGGGGAGGGGCCGAACCGGATATGTGTCGATGCTGGCTACGGACTTACAGGGGAAACTCTTACATACCTAGTACCTAGCTCTACTATGTAGGCAGCAATAGGTACATATAATACGCAATATGCACGTTGGGCATAAGGACCGACGAATGATGCGTGTTAGTTACATCGATGATGTCTAGATGTGCAGACAGCTGAGAAGACGGCTGGTCTGGAAGAATTTGCCCCCCTCTCCTTAGGATTCTTTCCGAGTGGTCTGACGGTATCTCCCATCTCCCGTATCCCATTGGAGCATACAGTTATGTCGACAAGCTTACATTAAACTGTCCATGAGAGAGCTGTATGCCATGCCACGTTGTGCTTGCCATGTTCTGATACCGAAACCAAACTATCCCTGCCATAATCGCCGGAGAAGAGCCCTCGATGATTCGCGGGTCGTACGTGATGGCCAACCTCGGGCCAATCTCGAGGATCTCTTTACGTCTTTCCTGTTGGCCTCGGCCGCTACTACTTTAGTTCGCATACAATTGCCCCAAGGAAGCATAATAAAACGAACGACTTATCTCTTTAACTCTCTCCCACTTAGATCTGTAGGTATATATGCCTGCATATGTTACCTGCATATGTATAGAGCGCGATCGGACGGAGATAAAAAGGCGCACACACCGCCTCGAGAAAACGTCGAACACGTCTGCGTCGCCTGGTCGTACATGTATATTTCGACCGCATATATCTAGGTGGAACTACTCATTCACTAAAAAGTCCATTATTCCTGTTCCTGTTCCTGTTCCTGTTCCTAGTTCCACTTAAAGACCGAACTTTTAGTTAGCATGGAATGTTTCTTATGGGGCCGATTTGTTCTGTTGCATGGGACGGCCCGGCTCGTCGGCATCGGGGGGGTTTTTTTATAAGAGTTAACTTTTAAAGCTGCTTGCTGTATGTTCTAGATATTCTACCAAGTAGATACTCTAAAGTAGTGGCGCATTTAGTAGATATTATACCGTTGAGGCCCCTCCCCCCCCTTTCTTGCCGGTCCTTTTCCCCTTAATAACCAGTGGCTTTCATGTTCGTATTAGCTGCAGGTGGGGTTCGGTCTGCTCCGGTGGCGTTTCTCGTGAACCTAACGCGGGATCGCATGTGAGACCTACCGGCCGTGTCGGATTACCCTATATTCTATAGGTAAAATATGTACGTGTTGTTTTCTCTCATCCAATATCATAACTTTCAAACTAGTCAAATAGGATCGCTCGAGTAATTCTATCGCTTTTTAAGTTTCGTAACCAGCCAAGTATTTAACTTTCGGCGATTTTATTTAAAGATCCCAAAAAATGTTCATATTAATGATGGCGATGTTGTAAAAAGTAAAAGCTGCTGTAAAAGAAAAGAATCGCCAACATTGAGAACGTAAGATTAGATAGATAGAGAGAGGCGATAAAAATTAGGAATAGGCTCGAGATTATAACCTAAGCAAAAAAAAAAAATGCCCACTACTGGAGTCGAACCAGTCATCTCCTCATAGCTTCCTTAGTAGTATTTTAAACAATACTAGTGAGGCGCATTACCGCTGTGCCAAGCGGGCTGTGATGATTTGGCTCCAAAAAGCCTTTCTATAGAAAGGTTTAGTTTAGGATGAGTGCTAGAAATTAGGGCATTGCCCCACAATACCTCCTAAGCATTAAACTTCGAAGGCAATATCTTATTGTCTATTCATGTTATTTTTACTAAGAAATATTCGGTATACGAGACCGAGACGTAGCGATATCCTCCAATTATGGTAAAAATAGGGTTTCAAGATTACCTCACTATAGGTATGTACAGCCATGCTAACTAGCAAATCAATTGGTTAATCGATGATATATCTACCTATGTCTCGATGCTACTTTACGTATGACCTTCTAAAGCTCAAGTATTGTCGTGACCGGTTTCTAAGACCCATAAGTAAACACGGCCATTCACGTCATTAAAAAGGGCATCCTGTCCATCTGCTAGCCTTGATTCTTTCGGTATCGGCCTCCACCTCTTGAATCCCTAGACCCATGCGGTTCTTAGGGCCTATGTCTGAAAACAAATATCCCTGGGGCATATATTCTTCGGGGTTGTCTCCTGGTACCTTGCCGCCGTATAGCCAGACAGCCCAGGCCACAGGCCCCCAACGGTTCCACAGCGTTGGTTTGACGTAGAAGGGATAGTTCCCGTATGGTATAGGCTGCGCAATGCGGCCCGTATTTGGATCAGGGTCACCCAACCGTTTAAGCTCGAAGAAGCGCGGCAACGTTAGGTACCGCAAGACGAAACGTCGGAGCGTGAGAAGAGAGTATACGGTTGCGACGGCCGTGATATCGGGCTCGGGTAACCTACCAAGAGAGTAAATCGGTTAAACCATAGCTGCATGATACCGAAAAGGGGAAAAGAAGATACGATAAGTGTGTAGCTTAAACGTCACTATATTGTAGTACAGCACCGTAAGAAAATAAGGGTTCAACTTACATAAATGCCTCGCGCACCCTCCCGCCGAGAAGGCTAATCACGATGTCAGTCACGAATGGCTTCGCGAACCACGGCACCCAATATATTATCATAGGTAGCAATGCCCGGGCGGGCTTGGCGGACACGGGATTAGGCTTCATAACTTGGACCTCGTAAGCCTGAGCCCAAGCCGCAACGTCATCGGCAAACTCGATACCGTCACGCCATCCCGACTTAGCGTGTGCCAGGAGGCCCTTGTACTCGATACCCATAGCATCGCCTACCGACTTCCAAAAGACGCCGTACGCACAGTATTCCATATCGTTCATAGGTCGCCACTCGTACAGGCGTGCGAAGCGTGGCGGTTCTAACATGAACACAGATAGCGTGTAGAGCAGATCTGTGTTGGAGATGGTCCCCTCCTTGACGTACTTGCTGTGAAGGAAGTTCATCCGAGCTAAGCCTTTCATAGCTCGCTCCGATGTTGGCGGGTTTAGCATGAACTCGCCGATTAAAGCTGATGTATCCTCGAATCTGTAGACTACTATTCAGCGACTTGTCATTTTATATGGATAGTATACGCCCCTTTCCGCTACAGGGTTGTACAATGTACTCAATGCTAACAGGTATATACCCGATCGACGTATCGAGTCCACTCTCATGTAGGAATATCAAATAATTCTTACCTCTTGAGGCTCATAACCGGATCGGTCAAGTTTCTCGTGCCAAGAAGTAAACGACTTATGCTTTCGACACCATACGTCTAGCAGACCACCATGCTGGCGTCAGCAAAATATCAACAAAAAAAACGGAAGAACGGAAGAACGGAACAAAAGTGAGACATCTCATCTTGTCTTAGTTGTTGTGATAGATTCTCAACTAGAATCACCTAACCCACCTTGAAAAGCCCAAACTCCAAAGCCAAGAAGTGTAAGAGCGGCATCTCCCACGTAGCCATGAATTTGACGACCTGCTGGGCTTCAACGGCTGTCATGCGTGAGAACGAGGAGCGGTCGGTATATCCGAGCTTTCGGCGTAGAGCATGCTCGCGGCGGTAGCGTAACGCCCTGCATAACCCTACGTATATGAGGACGCCAGGGACGATAAGCTGTTTCCAAGATGTCAATGACAGAATCGCCGAGAGCGGTAGCGGAATAACGGCTACCGGTTCGGAGAGGTTAGGTATTGATAAATTCATTGAGGAATATGTGTGGCTCGGTTCTTCTAGGTATTCATAGCTTATTCTCACTTGTTAAGGTATTATTATGAATAATATGATGTTAAGTCTAATAGCAGATACCTAGGTAAGCTTTAAACATATAGACTTCAGTTAATATGGAAATGGAGGGTATAAATAGTCGAAAGTGAGACGATCACTACGGGGAGGTACATTTTAAAGGCCTAGAGCCAACTTTGACCCCGCTGGATCACGTAAGGTTCTTTACAATTACAATAGTGTAACCTAGCTTAGTAACATCCTATCATCGTCTCTTATTACACATCTTCTATACATAGTACATATGTACCTACTACGTTGTAAGCTCGGGCTAATAGATCTGATCTAAGTGTGTATCATGCATTTATAATCCACTTTTCTGTTAACAGTGGGTAAGGGTAGATCGTCAGATCAGGAATATGCATCATCTCGGCAAATTTTATCATGTACTAGGTTACTCTGATATACTACCTAGGTAGGTAATGTAGTGTAAACTCCGTACGCGTAGCGTATTTATGGGTTGTGTGCTGTGTCGTCCATATGCTAGTGTCTCGAGTTTACTTTCCGACATTGGGTAGTTTGGCCGAGATGCTATTATCCCTGGGACTAGCAATGCTCGTAAGAAGATTGATGAACGAGGCATCAAACTTCTGATCATGAGTCTGCTTCTGCTTGGTGCTCACTGCCTACCTTGCTAGGCTACTAACACCGATATCCATTGATATCCACTGATATCCACTGATAAAGTGGTAATACGTTGGTAATGCTTTAATTATACCGGAGCGTTTATATGCCCGGTTCTATTCCGTATTACTTATTTCTCGTCACGAAAATCGTTCATGGTTTCTTCGCTTTCTCCGCCCTCGCCTTCTTCCAGGCCTTGATCTGGTTCAACAGGCCAATAACCAGAGGCACCCCTACAGGGCCTAGCAGTGGCAGATAAACAGCAATCTTGTGCTCGTCGGGGAAATAAAGTTGTCCTACCATACTCTTCTCGAAAAATGCGCGCTCGGCCTCGACGTCAGCAATGCGGGCGTGTTCAAGGCCGTCAGTTCCACCAAGGTTGGAGCATGCGAGTTGTAGGTGATACATAGACTCAGCCACGCCGTCGGCGACACTGGACGGGATAGATATGCTCGGCAGAGCCAATGAGAGACGAGCCAGCGACCCTAGAGAAGAGGAGGCACGCAAGAGCAAGTCTGCAGATCGGATGCGCGTGAGCGTCGATAGTCGCATGGGTAAGGATCCCGATTGCGGTGTGCCGAGGAGCGAAAGTAGATGTGAGGCGAATGTTAGGATAGGTTGCTTCAATATTTCTGAAGACACATGATTTGTGGAAGGGGGTGGTAAGAGATATACGGAACCCCATTGCGGTATAAGCCAAGATTGGGAAGTACCGACCTCCGAGGCGGTTCCGATGGTTTGGTTGCCGATGAATACAACGAAATTGACCGTTGGAGCACCTCCTATAGAGGGCGACAGTGGCCATTCGGCAGCATTGATGAAAGAAGACAGATCTTCTTTGCTTAGTACTTGCGATTGCACACCGGGAGCGGCGTATAGCTGAACTTGGGTGTCGATGGTAAAGTTGTGGATAGGTCCGAGCAAATCCAATATCGGTTTCATGTATTCGTCTATAGCAGACTCGATATCCCAGCTGCTCGGAGATGGTCCGCTTGTGAATAACGAAAATGTGAGATGGTAGGTCCGAGAGTATTTCAGGGATCTTGTCATTCGCTTCGCTAAAGAGTCGGCCGAGTCTTGAGAGGCTTCTAGAGGCCGTTGTTCGAAGGGTATGGAAGACTTTGCTAAGAGATATGACATAACCTCCCGCTCTTCAGCGAAGGCCAATCGAAGCTGCGTTGCCAAGTATGTCGCAAAGCCGGAAGAAGCAGCATCGGGTGCTGGTATCGAGTTTGGAGGATAGGTGATTTCGAGGACGGGCGCTTGAGAATGGAGGGAGGATGTAGCAGCGTCGCCGGGACTTAGTCGTACCGTGAGAGCAGTGTCCGAATCGTGGATTGGGCGTGCACTAGCTGGTGGGGATACTTCGAGCTGTATATGGTGTCCTTTAAAGTCGTTGTTAGACTCCAGGGCTTGCTGTGTAATGCGCACGAGATTATCGGTTTCGTCTTTTTGTAAGGTCGGCGCATCGATTGCGATTTTAATCGGGAATACTGGACTGCAGGCCTTGGAGTAGAGATAAGTTAGTTAGTAACATGTCTATTAGATATTTACGAAGGTCGTTCTACTCTGCCGTCGGCCCAATCCATCATCTGGCCTAAGGGTAGATCTGCCCGATATATCGTCGTCGTCTTCCACCATATTGGCAGCCCCAAGAAGAGTACAATAAACCAGAAGGATGCGACGATGTAGGACCGTCTATGGATGTCTTCTGGCTTCTCCGGCGGTGGCTGTTTTCGCGTCAACGGCGGGTTTGCGCAGTCGTTTATCTTAGAACTTCCGCTATCAATCGCTGCAGCCGGTTTAGCTTCGGATGAGATGCCATCGTGTCGGGTTGCGGAAACAGACGATGACATGGCTACGTATATCGACGGGATTATCTTCTCGAAATCATGGCTTTGGGATTTAATTGCGTCGTTGATGCTGGATCAAAGGTGCCAACGTGTCGCAAAATGACAAGTTCCAAATGTACCTAACCTAAGGTAGGTACCTAAAGTAGAAATGACAGCGGAAGCTTTCCCGTGCTGCTTTCCCTATTGAATATTCAACCAGTTCCACCTGCGTGATCTTCTTTATGTGACTAAGCGTGACTTCAACTTGGAACCTAAAAGAAGTAAATATACTGATAAAACAATTATTATGCTCCCATCCAGTATCGTCAATAAATATGCTCATAGGCGAGTCATGATAACCTTGTCTCGACTCATCTTAGATTGTGTTCTAATCCTAGGATATTCACCACTTACAGTTTAATCCTTGGATCGTATTCAGCGACCATACGAAATAGGATAATTGCCAACAGTCTTGGCTTCTATTTGTGGCTTAAGTAAAGTCTTATCAATGGCTCTTCCTCCTGGAAAATGTCTGAACCTGAACCGGATCGAAGGTCGCTTAGTGCTTCCCATCCCAAGCTTAACAGCGTTAGCAGGACGAGGTCCGATATAAGACATAGATGCATTGCCATGCTTCGTCCATGCACACATAGGTACCTAATCTAGACCATTCTAAGAGGCTCATGAGATACAAGTCCTCAATTTTTGAATTTACTTTGCAGCCTCGGCCAAGCATGCCCCGTCTAGCATCTAACGTGTCTACGTTGCAAGCCGAGGTTCACAAGTTACGAGGGGTAGCTTGCAGTTCACGGACCAGCCAATGTGAACGACACAACTCCTTACGCACTTCCAGAGCATGAGTGACTATGTAAAACGAACGGGTTGGAGCGCATATACGTTTGAAGAAATAGAAAATACATGAGCTGGACACCAATACTACATAGCTCGCTTGTACTCCCGAGATCTTATTCCATGTCCCATGTCCCGGGTATCCGAAAGGCGGTGATACAATGCGGATCAGGGATCATTAGGCTTCTCGAAACGAGCCACCTCGGCCCACCGAGGTATGGATGATATTGGTAAACTACCTAATAGTAGGTTAAGCTGATACCTCCTAGTCCTCGCTATGCCTTACGTACTATTTTATTTATTTACTTTATCTCCCTGACTGTACCAAGTTACTTTTTTTCTCTTCCGTTTCATGTATACCTAGGTCGCAGTTGTTTTTTTTTTTTTTGCGTTGCTATCCTACGTAATATTCACAGTCTTGTCAATGCTTCATTTCTCTTGTATATTTAATTGCTAAGTGGCTAAAATTTTTGTATCTACGATTGGTTTTGCTTCTTTAGCCTAGTTACCCAATTCTAGACATACATATCTCTAGGAAGCAACATAATAAGCTAATTTACCGAAGCTGGAATATGCCGAGTAAGTCCCAAACACAAACGCAGTCTCTAGAATGACGGAGTTGGGTACCTGTTAAACACCAAACTTGGCTTACACAGTTCTCCAATTCTGCTTTTTTTTTCTCAGTACTAATCTTCCTTCTAGCTTCTTTAGCGCTTTCCTTGCCAGCGGCAGCGGCGGGGCTTGCATATCTCAATGCTAAGACGGGATTTTGGTATGACAGAGCTATGCTACGCGGCACTCTGCCGGCCATCTTTCGCCTCATCAACCGGGAACGAAAAGATCGCTGCAGTACATTTTACACGCTGGAAGAAGCAGCGAAAAACAAGTCGACTAGTAACCGACCGTTTATCCGCTTCCAGGATAAGTCATGGACGTACGCCGAGGTCTACGAGATGGCGCTGAAGTACGGGAACTGGTTCAAGACGAAGTTTGGTGTCAAATCTAAGGATATCGTCGCCGTCGATCTTCAAAACTCGGACCACTTCATATTCATCTGCTTCGGCTTGTGGTCTATCGGCGCAAAGCCGGCGTACATCAATTACAACTTAACGGGCCAACCATTGGTTCACTGCGTCAATACGGCGAATTCTATCCTAATGTTGGTCGATCCAGAGGTTGCGACGAATGTCGATGACAGCGTCCGTGAAAAGCTGGGAGATCTGCGAATCGAGTTCTTAACAGAGGAGGCAAAGGCCGAGGTTCTTGCTACTGAGCCGGTACGACCGTCCGACTCTCTCCGCTCTGGCGAAGTGTCTAAAGATATAGCTATTCTCATTTATACTTCTGGTACTACGGGGCTACCGAAGGCCGCCATCGTGTCCTGGAAAAAGATGACCTTGGCAGGATCTTTCGTCGGTGGCTTCTTGAGGACGAAAATATCCGACGTATTCTATACGGTATGACTCACCTCCTCATATTCCAGAACATAAGAATCTAATCCATTCTAGTGCATGCCCCTTTATCACGGCTCGGCTACTATCATGGGTATGAGCCATTGCTTGGAAAGCGGCTGCACATTTGCGATTGGTAAAAAGTTTTCAACCAAGACGTTTTGGAATGAAGCGCGCCAGCACGATGCAACCATGATTCAATACGTGGGGGAAACATGTCGTTACTTGCTCGCAGCACGGCCACAGATCGATCCAGCCACAGGCGAGAACATGGATAAGAAGCACAATATCCGTATAGCGTTCGGCAACGGTCTACGACCAGACATTTGGGAGAAGTTCAGAGAGCGGTTCAATATCGAAAGCGTTGCCGAGTTTTACGCGGCCACGGAGGGCAATCTAGCGACGTGGAACCTTTCCCGCAACGATTTCGCGACCGGAGCCATCGGGCGTTTTGGGATCCTCTACCGGCAGATTGCCAAACTTACATCTGCAATTGTACGGCAAGATCTCGATACAGATAGTCCTTGGCGCGATCCCAAGACCGGTCTCTGCCGACATGTGAACCCCGGCGAAGTCGGCGAACTGCTGATGGCGTTGCCAGCCGACACGCAAAGGGACTTTCAAGGATATTACAACAACCATGAGGCGACAGAAAAAAAGATTCTTCGGAACGTGTTTAAGAAGGGCGACGGATATTTTAGGACGGGCGATCTCGTCAGTTTAGACAGCGAAGGTCGTATGTTCTTCCACGACAGAATCGGCGACACGTTCCGGTGGAAGAGCGAGAATGTGGCGACGACAGAAGTGAGCGAGGCATTGGGTACGCACCCGGCGGTACAGGAGGCCAACGTGTACGGCGTGCAACTACCGAATCACGACGGAAGGGCTGGATGTGCCGCACTCACACTAACCCAGGAAGTGCTTGATGACGCGCTACTACGGTCGTTGGCGGAGCACGCGCGTGACAAACTTCCCAAGTATGCCGTGCCGATCTTCTTGAGAATAGGAAAGGGGCTTACGGCGGCGGTTACGGGCACGAATAAGCAGCAGAAACACGGACTACGTGAGCAAGGTGTTAACCCAAGCCTAGTTGGCGACGATGAGCTATTCTGGCTCAAAGATGGAACGTACGTAAAATTCGGCAACAGTGACTGGAATCGGTTGAATGCCGGCCAGGTGAAGCTTTGAATTTAATATTCAAAGGGTTAGTCTGGTTGGAATGCAGCGACGATTTTACGAGATATGCTATATAGACAGGCCCATAGGATAGATAATATCATATATGAAGATTGTCTGTGCCTAGCAAAGATATGACGGGAGGAAATGTCTCTTTGAACAGTTACTAAGAGGTACCTTCATATGGGCCTCCTAATAGGTCTCCTAATAGGTCTCCTAATAGGTCTCCTAATAGGTTTATGCTGATAGGTCACGGTTAACTGGTAGGTAGGTACATATGTACATATATACCTATGTACGGATTATTGGACACTCCACTAATAGAACGCTAATGCAGGCATAAAACTACCCGCTACCCCTGCTGTAGAACAGAAGTTGACCCCTCCTACCCCGCCAAAGACAAAAGAAAAGAAAATAATAAAATAACAATTCCATATTTTTCATATTTTAACTCTTGCTCAGATAATCTACAAGTTCCCCCTTCCCCCTTTTCTTCTCACCATGTCATCTGAACTAAGTGCGCCTCCCATTCTTTCGACACCGGCAGAACATACGTTTACCGAAGACCCAACACCATCTTCTGCGATCTCTCAAGCGAAGCGTCCTCATAGACCCGACCATGAGCTTTACGAAGTTTACGAGATCGCCCGGACAGCCGCTGAGATCCGACAGAATGGCTGGAAACGAATAGCACTTCAGTTCCCCGATGCTATGTTACCAGATGCACCTTGGGTTGTCAGCGCGCTAAGCGCAGAGCTAGGAAAATGGCAAACCGAGGTACAAGATCAGAGCCAGCGTTTATATATCTTGGCGGATACGTCGTATAGTGCCTGCTGCGTCGATGAGATCGCAGCGGAACATGCGAATGCTGATGGTGTGGTACATTATGGCCGCGCATGTCTAAGTCCCACCTCAAGGCTACCTGTAATACACATATTCACGAAGCAGACGCTAGACTACGACGACGTAGCTGAGGCGTTCGAGAAAGAGTTCCCGGAGAAGGCGGATAAGGTGGTGCTAATGGCGGATGTCATGTTTCAAGAGCATGTTGGTCCTATAAGTAAACTATTAAAGGAAAGGGGGTATACCAGCCTCATGGCGACCGAAATATTGCGAGATCCGACTGGAGCAATACCAAATCGCAAACTTGTAACCCCTGATACGTCTATTGATTTGAACGAGTACCACCTATTTCATATTTCAACCCCTCCTACCTCCCTCCTCTTAACTCTTTCGTCTCGCCTCGCCTCTTTGAGGATATATTCGACACCCTCATCGCCTTATACTACGACATCTGCACCTCCCGACCCTAGCGCCACTCCTGGTTTACTCCGCCGCCGTTACGCTCTAGTCATCCGGTTTGCCACGGCATCCATCATTGGAATTTTAGTCAACACGCTCTCCGTAAAGAACTATATGTCTACCATATCTACACTCAAAAGCCAGATTGCGGCCGCCGGCAAGAAGAGCTATACCATTGTGGTTGGCAAGCTGAACGCCGCGAAGCTGGCTAACTTCGCTGAGGTAGACGGCTGGGTTGTCGTTGGGTGTTGGGAGAGCGGGTTGGTCGAGCAAGAAGGCCTTTGGAAGCCCGTTATCACACCCTTCGAGCTTGGTCTTGCGCTACAGGGCGACGAAAGCAGGGTTTGGACGGGCGAGTGGTGGGGTGGTATTGAAGGCGTTAAAGCTTCCCCGGTTACCGACGAGAACGATGAGAAGTTATCTGAACAAGAAGTACCTGAAGAAGTTGAAGGAGGTGTCGACGACGAAGAGTCGGAACCTCCCGAGTTCGATCTCCGTACTGGCAAACTCGTTAGCCATAGCCGGCCTATGAGGGTCGCTATCCGAAGCGCACCACGAAGTGGGCCTGAAATTGAGGTCGCCGGTCTAAGCTCTAACCAGGGAACTACGAGCTCGGCAATCACCAAACGAGCTGTCGGGGATGTGGCCTTGGTAAACGGCGTTGCGAGCCCAGGAGCGGAATTCTTAAGGTCGCAGAGGACCTGGCGGGGTTTGGGTACGGACTTCGATACCGAGAACGATGACGAGGAGGAGAGCACTGTCGTCGAGGAGGGACGGAGCGGAGTCGCAAGAGGATATACTGTTGGCCAGGACCAGTTACGGGCATGAAATGTCTCTTACTTTACTGGCGGTAAGTAAATGAGGCCACACCGGTAACAAACGATATTTTAGTCCCCCCGTGGGGGTAAAACAGCGCTCTAGGATGGCGAGTTCTTATAACAGTATAAGGATCGGTAGGAAGATCTGGGCAACTATCCCCCATTCAAAGGCATCGGTTTAGAATGAGGTAAGAGCCAACGCGGATATTCTATCCCTCGCAACCAAAAGTCTGTACTACGCGTCTCCATTGACGTCTATAAAGTACATACCTTGCAGAATCAGGTTAGGACCTGTTAATCTTACCACGTTGGATACAAAATTTAACTAATTGCAACCTATATCCAGACTAATTCATATACGCTTATATAAAGATAACATGGTCTGCTAAAACGTATCAACAAGAAATAGGGATAATATTACGAGAAATCGTAATATCATTGTTATCTCACTTGTGCTCTGTCATTCACTAATAACGGATGTACGGCGTATCGATATATATTAAACTGATAAACAATCAGCCACCACGGCTCATGAACCGTTTAGACACATAGCATACATCCTCCAGCGTCGTAGAAGCGAAATTAGTCATTATCGTCAAACTCATCATCATTGAGAATCGAAATAGGCATATGCGACCGCGTCTGCTTCTATCGGATACTCATCTCATCTCAAGTGTTACGTCGTCTCGGATCGGATCGGATCGGATATATTCCCTATTCCAACTCATTTCAACCCACATTAAATCAAATCAGTCGTTCCGAATATCCGGTCATGGTGAGAAAATGCCGATTCCTCTCTACGGATCCGCATTCCCGAATCCCATCATTCTCATTTGTACAAACACTTCTATACGCGCCAGGTATATAAGAAGTCCCACCACCCTATACATAGGTGCGGCGGTGTGAGTGTGTGCTGTGTCTGCTATGAGGGCTGCGGCTGCTGCGGTGGCCGTGGCGGTGAGTATGCGTCTCGCGGTAGTACGATGTGCGGTCAGCGGTGCCTGTGCGATCGCCGTGCAGACACGCGAGAATGCTGGTGATGAAGAAGAAGACGCAATTCATGATGCCGAACGCGAAGGAGGCCTTGAGCATAGCGCACGTCTTGTCAACGTTAGTGTCCCAGTTGGTAACGGAGGCGCTGCCGAAGGGACCGAAGCTGACGTCGTAGGGGTCGCCGCGCGTAATATGCGTGCAGTCGGCAGTGGCAATCATGCGCAACGTCCACACCGCTCCGATAAAAGCGCCCACAAACAGAAGATCGAAGACGGCAACGAAGGTCGCGTTGGCGGACGAGCGGTGGTAGCTAAACAGCGTGTAGATAGACCACGCCAAAGCTAGTACCGACACGATAAAGAGTACTAGGATGTAGTTGGGCGTGAGCTGATTTAGCTGCACGTAGCCGTTGACGAAATATGCCAACATGCCCATCGTCGGGATCTTTCGAGCGCGTTATCGTTAGCGCCAATATTAACATTCTTCTCTCGAGGGGAAGAGAAGAACTTACTAGTGTAATGATCTGCATGAATCGCCAAAAGGCGAAGAAGATAGCGAACAACATTTTGCCGGTTCTTCAAGCGTGTGCGATCCGAATACAACGGGAAAACAGTTACGCGCGCGCAAGCAGCAGGCTTGCGACTAAGAATGAAGGCGACGGGAAGGTGGGAAAGATGATGGTGAGAGAAGGTAAGTGAGGTAAGAAGGGAGAAAAAACGAGTTAAAGAAACAGGTTAAAGAAATAAGTTAAGACAACGGTAAAGCTGAAGCTCGAGTTTAGGGATGGGATGGGATTGGCCTGCACGCCAAGAGCTGCAAAGCAAGGCGGCTGGTAGAGTTGTGGGCTGGGATTTCACCGTCTCGGGATCTTATGCGCCTTTTGCGCCTTTTTAGTGGTAGGCCTGCAGACTCGATACCAGGTACGGAGCTCGTCGATGTGGTGGTATTGGAGATCTGCTAATCTCTACTAATACTAATACATGTATCTTAGGTACTAATACGCTATTAAGACAGGAGACGCTGAGATCGAGCCGGATGATTTTATGACGCGTTTTAATAAGTCGTAATCCATCCAGTTGATGTAAACGCAGTACAAGTATTCCGTATAATAACCAATGTACCTAACGTTCAACTTGAGTTATGTTAGGTACCTAAAGGTATATATAACCTCGTTGTCGCTATTTGCACTTGTTGTATTAAATCAAAGATGGGTGAACGAGTAAAACGAATAGCGGGGTTCTTCATACGAGATTATGAATGCCTATGACGTCGGGAAAGATCAACCGGGGAGATTTAGGTTATATCCAGCTTAGAAGGCTGTAATCGTCCTGGGTTAGGTGTAAGACACCTAGATAATCTGCAATTAGATACAAAAGTGCATGTCAGCTGGAAATAAATATCATTTCCACTTGGAATTCTCAATCCTCGAGTCTAGACCGATAGACCGATAGAAAAGTAGCGGGGTTGGGAACCTTCTGATCTGAGGTGGCTGGTCAAGTAGGAAATAGGTACTTGGCGTATATTCCAAGATTCCAAAGTTGTCGCAAACTGGTCTGTGCCCCGTGAGCCCCCTTAATCTTTACTATAAGATATCTAGTTATCTAATATTTATACTATCTTTGACAGTAATGTCAACTGAATTTTTAAAATAAGATAATTTTATACAGGACATTCTTACAAATTCTGGAAATATTTTAGCTAGAATTCTTCTTGCTACACTGGTGTCGATTAGTCGCGCATACTTATGGCTTTTCACCCAAGTCCAAAATCTCATCATCTTCGAATTCTAGCACAGTACGTGCTAGCTCAAGCAGTATCCCTTTCTTGCTTTGGTGGGGGTTGAGGCTATCACGATGGGCTAGAATCCTCAAAACCCAAGTTTAATAGTAGGTTATAGGAGTACCCTCGTCTAAGATAGAAATATTCATCACCATCCCGAGTGCCTATTATCCCTCCACGGACCCTTGGAGGGCTATCCTATGTACATTATGGCTAGGATAATCTTTTGAGTTCTTCATCTACATCGTTACCTCAAAGTATACAATATATACAATATATACAGGCGACTTTATGGTCTCAAGTAGTTGAAGCAGGATCTCAAGGAGCTTCGAGTCAACTATCATGTTCCTACTTTCGGAATCTCAAAAGATTCTAATTAAACAGCTTGGCTACGAACCATTTAGGATATTATATATAAGGGGAAGTAGAATTTACAGCACCCCTTTATGTAACTACACGTGTTTCTTGTAGTGGTGCAGAGCATGGGCTCACTCGTATCGTAGTATGGGTCGGAATAGTACTCGGCATATTTCCTATTCGAGCTGCTTTACCTGGATATGGTTGGTTAAGAATATTTCCAAAAGACCGGATGCAACACCGTGATCCGTGCTACTTTAAGTGCTGGGATAATGACCTAACATATGACGGGCTCCGCGGCGTCCACGATCGCCATTTTGGTGTAGTTTTCTAGATTGATGGCGATATCCTGATTCTTACAACACTCGACGACAAGAGCGAATTGATATCGCATTCTCTCCATTTTTACCACGCCGTTACTATTGTTGTTAAATGGAGAACTCGGAAAAGTCAGTGGTTCCGGCCGCTGATGCGCTCCTCACTGACTCTTCGCCTTCTGACCTTGAACACGCAAACCACAATGTCAATACTCCTGAGCCGTTGGTGCAAGATGATGGCTCGCGGAGGAAACCGCTTGCCTTCCACATGTCGTTTCTAACTATCAACATTATGTGCTTTCTTGTTTCAATAGACGCTACGATCCTTGCTGTCGCGATACCGGTATGACATTTTGTCCTAATCATGGTTAGATTTAAAATACCTAATGATAGTCTACCTGCCTAGGTAATAGCTCACGAGCTTAACGGAACTACACTGGAGGCTTTCTGGGCCAGCATAGCATTTTTGCTTGCGGTATGCGTCGTCCAACCAATATATACCAGCGTATCCAATGTTATCGGCCGCGCGATGCCTCTTTACTCATCCTTCCTCTTCTTCATCGTTGGCTCTGTAATCTTCGCAGTGTCACGAAGCATGAGCGTCTTGATTATCGGGCGTGTTATTCAGGGGTTTGGGGCCGGAGGATTGGATGTGCTGGGCGAAATCATCCTCGCTGATATAACGACCCTGAAGGAACGTCCAAAGTACATCGGATATCTGTCTATTCCAATGTTGGGAGGCACAATTCTCGGTCCCATCCTTGGAGGTGCCTTCAGCCAATTCGTAACATGGCGGTGGATTGGGTGGATCAATCTTCCTCTATCAGCTCTAGGTCTTCTCCTAACGGTGCTTTTCCTAAGTCTCAAACCTATCAATCTGACATTCCGGGAGAAGATGCGTCGGCTTGACTGGGGCGGTATGACTTTGTTCACCGTCGGATGCACGCTGTTCGCGTCGCCGGTTGCCTGGGCCGGTGCCATGTTCCCGTGGTCCTCCTATAAGACTTTGATTCCGCTGTGCTTGGGCGCTGTTGTGTTAGTCGTATTTGCATGGTACGAATCACGACCCATCGAGCCCGTCTTTCCATATCGAATCTTTAAGAGCCTCACAGCGTCTATGGCACTCCTCACAACCTTCTTCCATGGCATGGTTACTTATAGTGTTGTCATGTATACCCCGTTATTCTTCCAGGCCGTATATTTGGACAGCCCGTTACAATCTGCCGTCATCTGTCTCCCACTTTGCTGCATCTGCGCCGGCTTCGGCCTCTTCTCAGCTATCGCAGTGGAAATAATCCGCAAGTACCGGCTGCTTATCTGGACTAGCTGGATCCTGACCGCAGTCGGCGTGGGAATTTTCAGCCTCTTAGACTGTTCTTCCACCCTTGCGGATAAAGCTTCCCTCCAGGTCCCCCTCGCCATAGGGATGGGCAGTCTGTTTGCACTTTTGAACCTTCCCCTGCAGGCTAGCTTGTCGAATGCAGACGACATGGGTCTCGCCGCCGGAATCCTGGTCTCTTTCCGACTCTTTGGTGGGCTTATCGGGTTGGCCATATGCTCTACAGTGTTCAACAACGTTTTCGGGTCTCAAATTGACTTGCTCGGACCCTTGCCGGGTGACCTGGCTATCTTGAATGATGTACGGGAGGCAGTCGGCCTTGTACCACTTTTGAGGGATCTAAATATGACAGCCGAGTTATTGGATAAAGTGATTGAGGCATATAGGATGTCTATCTCTGCCGTATTTTGGACGCTTGCAGGGACGGCTGGGGTAGGATTCTTGCTTTCTCTCTTAATTAAGGAGAAGTCGTTGGAGAGCGAAGAGCTAGGAAAGCAGCAACTAGAAGAAAAACGATAATGGGCCCCCTTTAATACCTAACTTACGTGCTTGGATTTCTTGGCCTCCCTAATATTGTGTGAATGCGACATTGCATTGACCTTGAGTACCTATCGTAAGACGGGTACCTGAAGAGCGCATGTAGACCCTATGTAGGTAATCAGTACTGGATGGGATCAATACTGTTTCGCGTTTATGCCAAGCTATCCTAGGTGCCTACTTAACCTACCTCTGGTTATGTTAAACGATATGTGGTTATACTTAATGTAATTATACTTGCAGACGTTGTTGGTTACCTAGAGCGAAACCATCCACCAATTGACGCATGGCCCATCTAGAGGCATCCCGGTAGTTCGTTGATAGGTATTAATCCGAGCTGAAAGTTCCCCTACATTAACTAGGCTATGGCGCTCTTCATTTCGCCGTTGGCTATCCTCTAGCTACTACACACCAAGTTTCCAACACGGCTAGTATGGAATGCCAAAATCAGACAGAAGCAGGCTCTCAGCAACAAGAGAAGCCTCTCTTAATAACTTCATCGCTTCTCGGCCCCCCTCCTTACGTGCTTGATCCCCAAGACCTCCCAGACTCATTCGATCCGTTTCCTGGCAAGATTGGCAGCCAATAGCCAATTTCGGCAGGTCGACGAAGACACGCTGGTCAAATATGGGCCCAAGGTCTCCCTAGCCGAAGCCGAAGCCATGGACTACATTTCCCGTCATACCAGTATTAAATGCCCCAAAGTTCTCGGCGCTTATGTTAGGTACTCAACGGGAGAGGTCATATCATCATGTCTTTCGAGCATGGTAAATCCTTACAGGAATTCTGGGAAAGCGCCTCCGAGAAAGAGAGAGAAGTAGTGACCACGAGATCGTATTCACGCATGGAGATCTGAATACCGGGAATATACTCGTACGGGATGACATGACGGTGGTTATCTTGGATTGGTAAGGTATACAGCAGGATTCTACCCGGCCTACTGGGAGTGGTATAAAGCAACCTGGCATGGCGTATTTCAGCCAAGTTTCATACGCCAGGTAGAACGGTATATTTCACCTTATTGGATTGAAGCCAATATTATGAATCAGATATTCAATAAGATCCTCGGCTAGGCCATCTTGAAGGTCACCACCGACTACCCCCTAAATAGCATACAAGCGAAAATTAGTAAAAATAGTAATTTTACCTAAGATAATTCTAGTTGAAATACCCTGACTAGGTACCTAGGTACCCAACCTATACGGCGTATAGTATACGCTACTAAAATAGCCCCAAAACCTTTTCTGGGTATTATACATATGTGCGTCCCTGTTTGTAGGTACTCTGTTCATATCCTCATTACCCGCATATCAAATACCCCTAATAAGTGAATACCCCCCCCACTCAACCCCTTTACACCTACCCAGAAAAAACGCTCACAATCCCGAAAATATCTGGTTGTATTATTACAGACATAGCCCCTCAGATATCCTCCTCAACAACAGATTCAAGTTCGTCAAAGTCGCGGATCACCGGCCCCAGTCCATCAGAACTATTTAGACTTAGGATGGGTGCGCCGCCTACGCTTGACGGGCTATGGCCAGGATCAAGGAAGCCATCCATTCGCGTAACATCTAAATCTAGGTCTAGAAGTGCTAGCGCCTTCGTACGGCGTATACCCATGCTAATACTCATGTCCTGCGGCTGCCTGGCGTCCTCAAGCCTACCGCCGCCCAAGCCAGCACTACCCGGCCCGAACGTCGCGTAGCTACGCTCGCTCCTGGCACCTCGCGAACCGGCATAACTCCTGCGGCCTTGATAGTTCCCCTCTGACGAAGATGGCCGGGCAATACTCGAGGCAGCATCGTCCGAACCACCCCACGTCGTAGTAGGTGTCAGGGGTACAGCAGTGGTTTGGGACAGCACGCTCCGCGGAGTATAATGCCCACCGCTACTAGAACGGCTAGTCACAGTTCTAGGCGGTCGCGGGAACATATGTGCCTGTGCTCGCATCATACGCAATACGGGATCACCCGAGTGCGCGTTGGAATTAGTGGACGTGTCAGAGTCGGCACTTTCGCCGCCGCTAGCGCTGCTATTCTGCTGCCACGTCCGGGGCGCGAGCCAGCAGTGCGAAATATCGTGACAGGCCTCGGCTGCTGGGGCCGATGCGCCCTTCCATGGCGGGACTTTGGTGCCTTTGAAGCGTGGCGAGAGATGGTACGACACGTTATCTTTGTATCGGACATTGGGCGCATCGACTGATACGCTGGCCAGGGTTTGCAAGATCACGTAGATAAGTACCCAGCGGCCGCGGCGGGCGACGAAGGGGTCTACGCTGCCGACTTGGTCTGCCTTTTCAAATCTGACGAAGCTTTCGATTAGGTCAGATTGCGTAAAGTCAGACCCCAGGATGTATATGTTGGTCGCCTCAGTATACGCTAGCTGCGCACGCCTCTCGGCAATGCGATCGTCGGAGGCTTGTTTCGTGTTGTTACTACTATTATTTTTCTCTTTTTTAAATCTTTCTCTACTTGAGCTGGACGAAGCTGGAGCATTTGGTAGGATTGACTCGGGAACAAGAGGATAAGGGTGCGGGATATGAGGAAATCGCATGCGGTTGTCGAACTCGATCAGCATATCTGTGAGAGGCAGGTCGGGTGTATCTGAGTCGAACGACTTGTTACCGCTCTCGGAGACCATCATCCATTTTCGACTACTGCGCGTCTCCGACTCGTCCCATACAATATCTCGGTTAACCAAGTAGTCGTAAAGTGCACCGAAATCTTTTTGCATTTGCTTTGCCAACGTCCTGCTCAGCCACGTCTCCTCGCCTTCCGCGGTTCTCGCACCCGCTTCAGGCGGAGGCCAATAGCCATGAATCTTTGAGTAATGCGATATGAAGAATTGGCGTAGGCGCTCGGCGGCGTCCCTTGCAGCACCCTTTGCGGCCGGACCGGCAGTTGGCCAGATATCTCCGCAAGAAAACTCAGCGAGACGCTCTTCCGCGGCTTGTACGCGAAGCTGCGTCTCAAGGCAAGCTCGTTCCAGAAGAGCCCGCGTGATAGGTGTGATGATTCTGAAATCTGCGCAAGCCTCTAATCGGGAGTACATCCCGGTGCAATGTACAAACGCCTCGTACCAACCCTCCTCCCACCGTACCTCCGGCGTTTCTGACCACGCGAGAAGGGACACGGCCGTTTCTGGGTCGTTGCGAGAGTCATCAATACCACGAGCGGATAGGTAATTTAGAATAGTACCTAAATTATCTGCCTCAGGAGGCATATAAGCCGTAAGACGTGTTAGCAAGTCGGACAACGCTTGAGAAAGCGACAAGCCAACTAGGGATGCGTGGTACAGAAGCGCGAATACGTTGCGAGTTGTTATAGCGTACCGGTGCGCTTCAAGCTTGCCCATGTTCGGTGGTGTTGGAAAATACATCTCGTAGGAGATCTGGCCGTCAGCGTCTGTAAGACTAGTATCCTCGGATACTGGGGGTGTGGGCTGACCGTTCCGGCCCAGGTTGTAGCCAAGTTGCGGATGTGAACCATGCGGTCGTAGCATCGGTGGAGCGCCGATAGGTGATTGGAGCGCGTGCATTCGTAAGTCATACTCATCCTCCGTGGACCCTTCTCGAAGAAGAGTAATGAGGAAACGAGATTCTGTCGCTTCGATAATATGAGACGACAAGCGGAAAGAAGGGTTTGGCCGTGGCTTTTGCCCTTTGCGACCGAAAAAGATTAAAACATCACCGTTAGGATCCCATAATTCAGGGTCTTTCCGGAGTTTGTTCCATCGTTGAACAGGCCTCCCAGCACCGATCCAACGCCTGATTGGGGGTGTCGTAAAAGGGGGAGGGACTGGGGGCAGTTTGGCAGACGGAGGCGGCGAGACTATCTGCTGGTACTCCGGATCCCATACCAATTGCTGCGGGCTTTGTATAGACGTCGAAGGAAGCTCATGAACGTCGAAAAACTCGGAATCGTGGTAAGATCTCATGACAGCAGAGGACTCGGACCTAGCAGTTCCTAAAGCCTTCTTCTTCTTAGCTCCGAATGTGAAGGCCTTCGTAAGATTTTTACGGAACTCGTTGCTCTTCTTGTCTACTGCGCTTCGAAATCCCGAGCGTTCTATTCCCGACACGTCCTCTGTCCTCAAAACCGGCTTCCTCGTCCTAGCGTACGCAAAGTCAGGCATCGGTCCCTGGTGCGGCATACTATTATTACCGCCACCCTCTTTCTTGCCGGACTCACTTACACCACTCTGGCTTCCACTACTGGGGTTGCCAAAGTTTGCGATCCGGGCGCGATAATTAACCAGATCCGCTTCCCTTGACGGTTCGGAGAACTTGAGGAATCGCGCATTCGTTGTGCCATATCCGGTACCTTGTGGGAAGCCGGGGTCATTGATTGATATGTCATCGCTCTCGGAATAGCGACTGTTTTCTAGAGACCGTACACCCGACTTCGTGTCAGTGATCTTTTTCCTGACGTAGGCACTACGTCCAGACATTGCACCGGGGGTGAGGCAGATGGCCTACTCGTCCAGTTGTCAATACGTTCAACTTGTAGTTGTGTAACGTAAAGTCTGCTACCGAAATTGTTCAGTTGAATAGAGTCTATTCAGTGATGTAATATAGGTCTGTTAGAGCCTCATGTAGCTCGCTCGATTCTAGTGACGATACGTCTCGCAAATGTAACAAGTAGAGGGTTATTGGGAAATCGCAAAACGCAGCGTTAGAGGCTCGACCCCGGTTACGCGTATCCGGTACGAAACGCAAAGGTGAGCTAGAGGATCACTCGCGACTATACTTAAGCGTAACTCCGCTATCAGGCCGCTTTGGTACATAAATGTGAAATAGGAGACGAAAGGTCCCAAGCCACGCGAGAAAGTTCAGCTGTCTTGGACTCGTAGGCACGTATTCGAATATCTAACCGAGAATAAGAGCCCGAAATACTGAATGAATGAATGAATAGGGGGGAATCGATAGTCCAGAACACAAGGTCTCGGAAGGGTGGGCAACGTTAATAGCTATCGATAGTCAATGAGCCTGTGGCGTTTATTATTGCTTTTTGCGATATTTGAGGACCCCTCTTCGGTTTAGCTGGAACAGGACTCACACGACAGGGCTAGTCATGGAATCGTAGAAAGAAATGGTTATGTCGAATTTTCTTCTACGATCCTGCTTCTCTGGTTAATCCACGCCTCTAAGGCGACGTGTATAGATATGCTCGTCATGTGTTATTGACAATCAAGGAGATCATGAAAGGTATGTACGTTAAGATAATATATCAATGTGGGGGATGTCAGGGGATTATCAATACCGGGATCTTGACTCTAGAATATTGTCCGTGGTGTGACTGGCCTATAATATGATTGGTTCTCCTTCCCTGTGCAGCGGTGCATACCTACCTTAGCTGCTTAGGTACTGATATCCCTGGATTTGTTTTCTTATTTTTTTCTGTTTAGGCCTCCTAGATTGGTTGTTAGTAAAGGTGCCGGGACTATAATTCAAACTGAGTACCTACGTATGTGTTGAGCTAGGAAAATCAGTGAACGCCTTTGGGACAAGGGAACCGAATTTACCAAGGTACATAGCCTACCCCGTTCCATCCAGCCTCTTCTTGTAATGCCATATCTTGCGAATTTCGAAGGGAGAAAAAAGGCTGAGATGGGCACAACGGACAACAAGGCGGAATGATCGACAACCGTTAAATATGGTGTTCAAGGAATGCTCCGTCAAGATCCCACGGGTTTAGAATGATGTAAGGATGGATTGATCAGGGTTGATCAGGCAGGGTGCCCTACGCCTAGGTCCATAGCTGCAGTCATATCGAAGCTTACGGCTTGGCACTTTTTCTCGAAAGCTGTGGTTTGACATTGATGATATTGGTGCAATAGTAGTAGCGTAACACGGAACCAAACGATATGCTACCTAGGTACGACTATGTAGTCATTAGGTAGGTAGTCTGTATATTGTCGTGGTGTTTTGGGTAGATTATGTTGTAATGAAGCACCTCTTAGTTGAGGTAGGTACCTACCTAATGTACATAATACCCCCATGCAGCTCCACAGCGGCAATCGCTAGGTTATGCAGAGCTAATTTAGCGTCTAGCTAGGGTCGAAGTTAATACATGCATATCCTAGCTCAATGTGTTACCTAGGTACATGTGACAAGGTACCCGCGAACTAATACATTGATGGAGGTATTGACCTGTTTTACAATCATATAACTCTCTATTAAGCCTCATATCCAACCCCTTATCAGGTAGCTTAAACGTATTCTTTTGGTGCACCCCTTGCCTCCTTACAGCATTTTGAACCCTTCTTAGAACCCTTTTCTGTTTGCTTGCCGTCTTTCAGCTTCCATGAAATTACGCGCATGCACTCGGGAACCCGCATGGAGCAGGACCGGTTAGGCCGCTTCTAACAAGACATGTCTCTATTGGCCTATTGGCTGCGTACGACATAGTAGTTGTATTTTTGTCTCGGACGCCCCTCTAGATCTTGAACATAGAGGAACCTCAAACACTTCCTACTCTATGTGTATGTACCTAGGTAGGTAAGGTACCTAAGGTAGTGTTTGGTATTATCATATCACCTAGCCGAGTCGTTCCATCAGAGCAGCCATGATAAAACTTGGAAAGTTAGCGGGACATATCTTCTTGCGTAACTCTACGTTTGTCGTTTAGTTTTGTTTTTTTTAACCTTGCTTATGAAAAGAAACTAAAAAGAAACACTCCTAGACATTGCTGGTCTATGGACTACCCCGATATATATTAGGATAAGGCCTTGGATTGATGCCATGTTGATAGGTTTTTTGGATTATCAACGAAGCTGTGCGAATAGCATACTCACTTCTTGTTGCAACGAAGCCGGTTTCAAAGCAGGAAAGATATAAAGGGCATAGGCAACTTCATTACTTAAGGTAGTAGCTATCTACAAGTGCGACTGGTTTCAAAAAGCTAACAGCAATAGACACTTCATGTTCATCTCTAAGTAGTCAACCTCCACATTGCCGTTGCTTATTCAGGACATAACGACGTGACTATAACATCTCTACTTCTTTGCCGACGCGATTCGTAGTCCACGTTTCTTGCATCGCTCCTCAAAGCTTGTGAGTCGGGCGTCACTAGGCTTATACTCGGCAGGGTGCTGTTCTTCTTCTGAGATAGACTTCGCGGCAGACTTCTCCGGCGAAAATTCAGGGGCAAGAGGGCTGAATCTAGCTTGAACGAGCTTGACCGGGGTGGGAGGCTCCGTCTTAACTTCGGCTACAGTCTGGATGCTGACATAGGAGATTTCTTTAACAAGAGCCTTGAGGATCTCAGGCTGAACCTGCACCATGGTCTTAGTCTTTTCCTGATTGAACTCGCTATTAAGCATTCCTTATGTTGTTAGTATGCATAACTGGATGTCATTTCATACACGCGTTTACACTTACTGCCAGTCATCTTTCTCACGGCCAACAAGTACCACGAATACGGAGCTGTCGTGCCTTCGATATATCCAGCATCGTAAGCATCCTTCCATAGCCGAACCAGCGGATTGCCATTACGCACGTGGTACAGGATTGTCTGCTGAACCAAATGCATGAGAGGCTCCCGGTTTGCGTGGGTGGCCAGGTTGAGAACAGCTGTAAGTGTGAGTATGGTTAAGGGAAGGTCATTTGGATGTGCTGAGGGACTACTAACCAGGGTTTGGGGGAAAGAACTTCGCTAATGGCAGGTTAGTATATGATACAATAGAAGCAGTTGAGTGAAGAAGGCATACATGTATACTTGCTGCCGTCTCGAGCTGTATCCACCTGGGAATCCATGTCTAGAATGCTTGGATAGCGGTTGGTATTTTCTTGGGTGTGATTTGTTGCAATTTAGGTGTCTATACGACTAGAAATCAACCAGGAAGCTCTAGATAGTTGGTCAACTATAGAGAAACTGAAATCGAGAAAAGGCAAAGAAGAGAAGGCAATTGCTATAAAATAAATACCTACCTAAAGCAGCACGCTTCTTGTAGATTAGAGGTATTGAAATTATGAAGTTGCGTGAAACCAAGAGGATAGGTGACGGTGTTTGCACGAAGCAATCAAAAAACATTGCGCGTCAAGGACAAAGAGATGTCCGAAGAAGTTCGAATGCCTTCGATAAGGCAGAACATACATCAACTCACAGCATGGGAAGTATTGTTGCATGAAAGAAGTAAAAAGTGTAAAAAAGTTTAATAGTCGGCAGAATGATGATTCAAAATTTAGTAGGCGGCAATACATAAGGGCGGTGATAGACGGAGTGATGCCGATTGTGACTATGTACGGGCTAATGCTGCGATGCGATGGCGGAAGCCTAAGACGATACGTGCACCTACCTTATCTTGATATTAGTCAATGCCTAAAGTTTCAAGTGCTAAAGACAAACAAAGTTCCAAATAGCGCTAATTCAATAGGAGTGACTACTACATGTACTACATACTTGTACGTATCAGGCTCCTTCCTCATATAAAAAGAGAGTATTCAACAAGAGATGGCTACTTCCCAAGCCGACCTTATCACGAATATTCCAACTTAATTCTAGTCTAAGACCCAAGACGTACTGTTTTAGATGATTCAGGCAAGTTCCATGCATGTAGGTACAAATACCTTGTGTATTATACTCTACATAACCTAAACTCTAAATATCCTTCCATATTGTATGAGTTGAGTTAATACTAGAACTAATTCAGCTAAAGAAATTCATCACACCGTGCCTATGACCAAGGAGCAAGTGGTACGATTACTTATATCGGATCACTTAAGGCTCCTAATACCAACACAATCTACCCAAGACAGAATCATGCAATGTATTTGTATCTAGGAAGGAAGAACTTGATCTATGTCTACGGAGTTTATATTGTAATTATGTACTTGTTGAAATTATTTGTTCGCAACCTGGGTGTATAATGAGATATATATATTGTATTGGAGAACCAAAGCTCCCATGACTTATTTCAAGCAGTACCAGCTCTACTTAGACTTCGATTTTCTCTGCGTCGATAATTTTGGTGGAATCCGTAATGGATCCAGCATCGACAGCCTTCCCAATATCAATATAGATGTTTGCGCCAGCAGGCCCAGCGCGCTCGAAAGATCTGCCACACTTCTCGGGACCTAGCGCAGCTGTTACTGCAATGCCGACGGCGACGATTGCGAGCGCAATTCCCATAGTTGGGCCGTACCCATCGACTAACTTTCCGCTCTTGCTGGTAACAAAATTGTTCTCGGCAATAGCATTGACGATCTGGGCTGCTGGCGAAGATACTAAGTTGCCTAGCTGATACGCGAGGCCTGGAAAGGTAGAGCGGTAGGCAGGCGGTGACAATTCGTTGAGGTGAATAGGGACTACGCCCCAGGCCCCCTGTACAAAGAACTGAATCGCGAATCCAGAAGCAGAGAGTCCTGATTCTTCTGAGGGCAGGATCCAGGCCGGAACAAGACAGCAGCTGATAAGCGCGGCACCAACGATGGCTCTACGACGGCCGATAGATTGAGAGAGGTAGCCGATAATTGTGCCGCCAACACAAGCTCCCGTGTTCATGAGGATACTGGCACGCGTAGCAGCATCGTTGGGGAGCTCCTTTGACTCTAGCATGAAAGTCGTATAGCTATCCTGGCTAGTATGTGCGTAGTAGTTAAACCACGTCATCAGAAAAATGCAGTATACGCACATACGCCACTCCTTAGCGAGCATCGATTTAGTTTCCTTCCAGAAGTCACCGGCTGAAATGTGATGACCGGTAGCCTTCGCCTCTCTAAACTGGTTGGACTCCGGGAATAAACAGCGTAGGAGGCCAGCGCCGATAGAAAGGCCAGACGCAACCCAGAAGACGGTCTTCCAGGTATCCGTGCCACCGCCAACGCCTAGATTCGCGCACGCAGCAAGAACATACCCAAGAGCGTAACCCTGTTGCAGTATACCACTCATTAGACCACGTGATTCTGTCCTGTTAGATGGCTTGTTAGCATCATATACCTGAAGATGCGAAAAGTCCTATATCATACGGGCAGTTCTCAAGAGCCATGGCCACGGCATTGCCATACACTCCCCCCATAAATAAGCCGAAAAGAGATCGCACAGCAAGGAACTGCTGAAACGTGGCGCTGTAGATAGTCGCAATTTGCAAGAGACCTAGGTAGTTAATCAAAGTGTTAGCCCCTCGGAAATGATTAAGGGGTTAGAACTTTACCGAGAAAAATCAAGTTGCCGACCATTGGCCATTTTCGACCGAACCGATCGCCGAGGAGGCCAAATACGGCAGCACCAACAGATCTCAAGAGCAGTGTTAAGGTGATGGCGGTAGTGATGTCAGTCTTGCTACGCTCGTAGTAGTGTGATAGCTTGACGGTTTGTATCGCCAAGGCGTGGAAGTCGAAGGCATCAGCAGTCCACGCGAATAGACCTACAAGGAAGTAAGTCCAATCCCTCGCGCTTAAAAGCATCAAAAGTGAGATGGGATTTCTAAGCTTCTCGGGGGACTGCCATTCCGTGTGAGATTCGCCCAGCTCGTTCGTAACAATGACCCTTTGTTTCCATCGGAAGAGATCGCCCCAAGATTGCTTCGCCGTCGCGAATATACCTTTTGCGAGGGGATCCGCGGACTCATTACCAACTGCCATTTTAAATAGAAGAGCACAACTGATTTACTTAGCTCTTCGTAGGTTCGCAGGACTCAGGCGAGGCCACTTACTTAGGCCACTGGCGTCTTCAAGAAGACGTAAACTTCATGGCCTTCGAGATTGGAGCATACCCATTTAATATTCCGACTATAGTCTCCAAAGGGGTTTAGATAAGAATAGTGGAGGGTATGTCGGGTATCATTCTATGTAGCATTAGTGAGTCCTCGTTTAGTAGTTCCAACTGCGTCGTAGCGACTCTGCACAATCATATTGCGACTGCATTCATTATATGGCCTCATTCACGCAATACGACTCAGTTATAGTAAGCATAGGTGATTACAATACTCTAGGGGCGCTTAGCATCGATCTTACTGGCGAAGGGAAATGGTTGAGTCGTACTATCAACAAGTGCTCGCTCATCCAGAGGCAAGAGACAGGCGTGAGTTGGCATGGTGGGTAGGCTAAGAGTTCGAAGAGGTAATTCCTCCCGTATAATGAGTCTTTATCCCCTGTGTAATGATTTGTAGATACCGTAACTTCTATAGTATGATAGGTCCATAGTTGTTTACATGAGGTAGCAATTCAGGTATTTAATTATCAATGAATACCTAGGTAGGTAGGTAAATGTAGGGTTACATGCAGATAGCCTAGAGCTGTGGCAGTTATAGGGGAGCCATCTAAGTAATATTGAAATCTCCATGGGCGCAGAAGTATCTCCGATAGCTCCACGACACATAGAAAGTGGAGGGAGCTGGAATTCCCGCGGAAGTCTCGTACATAAATTCCCGTAACACAAGGTGTTTATAACAGGAATAATAAGCGATTAGAACCAGTATTCGCTTTATAGACCAGCCCATAACATAATTGTGAAATATTGCAATATCGGAACTTAAGTATGACCTGCTTCAATGGTTAGAAGCCAAATTGTTCGAAAGGTCCTGAGGAGCTCATGAAACGGTGTCGTAATATTGATATTAAGCAAACTCGGCCATAATATCATTCTATGCATCTTACTATATTATATGGCTCATAGAACTTTCCTAATACATAACAACTTTATGTTTCGAAGCTAGACGACGACGAGGTCTCTCGACAAATAGTGGAAACTGTGTCACGAGGTGGAACGAAACAGTATGGAAACAACTTCGTTGTTCCGCAAGGAACTCTAAACTACCTATGAAGATCTATCGTCTATACATACTGGACAGTTCCTTTGTTCTAGATGTCTCATCTAGAATCCTGACAAACTGGGAAACACCTAATCTTAAGCGAGCGAGCCCAATATTATATTCAGATTGCTGTAAAACTTCTGGCCAGTATAGGGTTCGGTATTTTGGGCCTAACTTATGTTATACTAGTCAATAGGTACCCCTACGATAATATTGAAAGTGTATATCCTAAGGCACAACTGTCCTATTCCAGCAGACAATGTAGTATGAATTCATGCTTTGTAAATGGCCAAGTTAGGAAAGGGGTTAAAGAATCATGCTGTAGTAAGAGTTATATACCTACCTAAGGTAGGTACCTCAGGTATCTATCTAACCTACATTAGGTAGCTAAAATCTATAGACACAATCCTAACACCTTTCTTTGAGGTATCCGTGGCATCATCCAAATCCCAAAATGCTACTGCAATAAAAGAGCCGTTTTGGTGGCCTTTAAATAGGTAAGTATAAGTGTTCTATTGTCGCCCAAACTCTTCATTCTGATCTCTCGGCTCTCCCAGCGCGTTCTGGACGTCGTCACGGCTTTCCTTTTTCTCGACCTGTGTCTCATGTACCTCCTCATCGGTCATCGTACTAGACGATTCTAATAAATGCGGCGAAAGTTCTGTACTAGGCGCTACAGACTTCTCCCCTTCGATTCGCTGCGCCTCCTCGTCGTCGGGCTTCTTGGGGCCGGTGGGTGCGAACCTCGAGCGGGCACGGATACGTTCGCCATACTTATAGAAGGCGAATGGAATCACTGCCAACAACGTCGCGACACCACCGATTAAGGAGCCTCCACCTCCAACGCCGAGCGCTTCGAACATATAGTTGGTGAACAATGGTGCCGCAGCACCGCAAGCCGAGCGACAAACGGTATTTATCGCGATAGCCGACGCGGCGTACATCAAATAGGAGTCGACTAGATAATTCAAATACCCGACAAATATAAGCATGAGCGAGGTCGCCAAGAATACTCCAGCTATCGTTGGGACTATCCAATGAATGGAACTGTAAAATCTGTTAGTCTTGGTCTAACATGAATCATATGCAGTTTGCCTTACTTAAACTCAGCGGTCCATGCGAACCAAAACATGGTAGCTGGAAAAAGAACGCCGCCAATGAGAGCCAGAGTTAACCTGTCCTCAGGTTTTAGGGGTATCCCGTTCTGCATCTTTTTGGTCTTATGTTTGGAATCGAAGAAGACGATAATAGCACCGATGAAGGACCCGATCACGGATCCAATCAAGGGGAGCTCGCCAACCCCAGCGTTCCACCCTCGTTTCTGCTGGAAGACTATTGGGTATATGGTGAATAGCATGTAGAGCAACATGTACACGACAGACATGTATACAGCACATAAGAAGGAGATAGGGTCAAAAAGGATAATCCACGGCCTCGTGAGAGCCACGCGATAGATCCCTATTAATGAGCGGTCACTCTCCTCGACCGGGGCCTTGACATTTTCGTAACCCGGGATCTTAGCCTTCCTTATGCGACGAGCTCGATGGACCAATATCATAGGGCCGAAGGTCTCGGGGATGGTAAACATGGGTATCGCCGTAGCGCCGCCGAGCCATAGCAAAACATAAAAACTCCATCTCCAGTTCTTCGTAAGCTCGAGAAATCCTCCGACAACCGGTCCAAGAGCCGGCCCTACCCAAACCACTATGATAACATTAGCCATTAGCTACGACATTTAGGAATTTTAACCGCAGCTTGGAAGCGACAATTCCTTCATCACAGTCAAGATGCTTTAACTTCCGAATCATGTTATAAAGGAGAAGGTAGCTGAACGTTACATACTGCATGAGAAAACAGCCATCGTGAATCCACGCTCAACGGGGCCCCATAGGTCCGCAAGCACACCCGGGCTATTGCTGAGCGGAGCGCTCACGAACGTGCCCGTGAGAAATCTGCCGACAAGCAAGCCGCCGAAATTAGGCGCGAAAGCACAGAGGAAATTGAATGTGATATACAGCAAGAAGGTACTATAGAAAATCCATCTTCTTCCGTAGAACTATTTAAATCGCTTCATTTAGCCCTTTATTCACTCTTAGGGGTAATACCTTGGGATTTCATACCTCCGATAGGGGAGCAAAGATAAGAGGACCTGCGCAATAACCTAAGAGGAAAAGGGTTATAGTGAGTCCAGCCGCTTCTTCCGAAATGTTGAACTCTTCAGATATGCTCTGCAGTACATTGTGTCAGTTATGCTGATGCCATGCTATAAACATGACTGCAAGAAAACAAGACTTACACCAAAGCAACCAGAAGGAGCCGACGATGCGAAGGTGGCATTCACAACAAGTAAAACCGAACATATCGTCACGTACCAACGCCTAGGGTTAGACCAGTTATGTGGGTTCTCGATGTCGTCGGGCTTAAAATCGATATGCCCATTATCATTTAGGTACGGTCGTTCTTCGAATTCCAGCTCGGCAGTCTTATATGGCTTTGCCGTAGCCCGCGACAGGATACGAATAAGCCGTCCCATATTAGTCTATTCCCGACTCTACTCTCTGATATCTGAGGCACGAAGTATTTGAATAAGACATATTGGTAGACAATTGGAGAGGATCGAAGAGGATAATAAAGGAAAATACGATGAACTAAGCAAGCTGAAAGTTCGCGTTTAGTGTTAAAGGCGATGTTATGTACAAGACAGGTAGCGTAGCATTGAGACGAAGATGACAACATTGCGTCAACTTTGGTAGCTACCGGTGTGAGATTCCGTATCGAGTGTTATTACCGGTGCTTAACTCCTAAGGACCGAGAATAACTCTAGATCTTATCAATCAAAATTGCTAGATCAACGGGGGGTGATGATTCGGTTCTGTCCGTGAACCTATGATCTACAAAATCGACCTCCTAAAATCGTGTCATTAGAGCCGCTATGGTGTATTACATATGCCTACAAGGTATAGTTCCTCGAGTACCGGGGATAAGGCATATCCCGTTAGTATATATACATCCGCTATACCAACCTGATTCGGAAATAAGAGATCGCTGGGCACCCCTCCCCCTTCAATTAGTTCTGGACACCCATTGGAATTTCGCATTTGTCAACAGCATAAAAACTACTCGAGTACCATGACTCACGTCGGGGAGATTCAAACACTGCTTACAAAACACTACAAAAGTCATTGGATCGTCAGCTAGCTGTCGCCGTAATCTTAAACATACACGTAATATCTAAAATTGTATGTGCTTTGCGTTGAGAAAAAAAAAGAAGGGGGGAGGGGGGGGGTACTCGAAAGATGGATCCTCTTATTCTCATCTATTGGAATGCCTTCGAAATCCGGCGACGTCTCATTTAGGAAAGGTTAGGTAGGTAGATAAAGGGGTTTATTCAGACGAATATGTAAGATAGTTGGTCATATGTCTATAGCCCAACATACCCACGTATAACAAATTCAACACTTTTACAACAGAGTTGCATTAGACGCCTTAATCTTCTCGGATGAAGCGGTACCCAAACCCTTCTCTGCTCCCGCATCATCCTGCGCCTGCGCCTCGATGATGGTGTCGTCTAGCTCCCAGATCATATCCTTTAGTAACGTCTCCTTTGCTGGTACAGCGTAGCTTAGTGCCGTGTAAAGAACGGCCGAAGTTACGAATCCAAACAGGAAGTTAAGGGTGTAGAGGTTAGTAACGCCGTCGTTAATATGAACAACTTGGGGGCCGCTGATGCTCAGGGCTAGCCCGGGTAGAAGAGGCGCGACGGGCACGATGAAGGCAACCGCCGCGCGCCAGTTACATCCACCAACGTAGCGATAACGACCATACGGATCGTACAGGCTCGGTATGTCGATCTGCCTCTTCTTGACAAGCCAGTAGTCAGACGCCATGACGCCAGCTATCGGCCCGAGGAAGACGGCATACCCGCTCATGAAGGCGAGGAAGGTCTGCGCAGAGCTGAGGATCTTCCACGGCACCAGCGCCCAACCACCGACAAGCGCAGCGACAACGCAGCCTCGCCTGATATTAATCCAGCGAGGTAAAAGAACGGTCAGGTCGTTGGCCGCCGATATCGAATTCGCGGTGATGTTTGTTCCAACCTATTCCACGCCACCTTATTACGAAGAGCCCCTTATGAACTATAACCTTGGGCTGTTGTAACGTACCTGTGCAATATACCACGCGAGGGCGGCAAAGAAGGCGGCACATCGTCCACCAGAGCCATAGTCGAGCCAAATGGCTATGATATCCAGGGGGTTCCAGAGGTAGTCTCCGCTAAATACTTTGCTCGCGGACGTTGTCACAATACCCAGAACGCCACACAAAGTAAATATAATGGGCATCGCTAGGAGTTGGATGTATTGACCCCTAGCAGACTTCGCATAGCGAGTGAAATCAGGTATGTTTACAGCCAAAGTGCTCCATTGACCTGCCACGCTCGACATGCAAGTTAGCCATAGCCAGACATATTGTTGTTCGTCAGCTGTTGCTCGCAAGGCAAAAATATCACCACCGCCTCCAGCCCTCGTGATACACCATCCCATCGTTGCAATGGCAGCTACCGGAGCGGCCAACAGTTTGACCCAGAACAGAGGACGTAGCTTTGTAGGGTGGATAAGGAGTAGTGGTAGTTGAATTATCCAGAAAAGAAAGTAAGAAAGCATCCCTTGCGTCGTGATGCCGGCAGATTGGGATAGTTGGTTCGGAATGTCGTTGTACGACGGCGCCCAGGCACGCAGCATGATCGTGATGCACTGAGCTCCGTTTGCGCCCTAAATGTTCACGTTAACCTGTGATGCATTCCAGTCGAGAACCATCCTCTCTAGCTTCTTTACCTGTATACCCAGCCAGAACATAGCTAGAATGGCCCGGCTAACGATGCAGAAGTATCTTAGGTAGTAACCGAAGCTACTAGTCGCAATCACGGAGAAAGGCACATGAAGTTTAGCGCCAATGGCGCCGTTAAGCACAAGAGGCACAGCGACGCAGAAGGTTCCTACTATCATGATAGGAATAGCTTCACGCCAACTCAGGCCAACCGCGAGAATTGCAGAGGCCGTCTGCCATGTAGCCAAATTAATCGTGTCGGTAGCCCAGTAGGCCAAAATTGTCCACGTATTCCACGTCTGATCCTCGATGGGCGTCGGGTCTAATCAGTTCGCGTTAGTATTCAACACGGAAGTATTCCGGACAGGCAACTCTACCCATATCGCGATTCGTCCATACGTGCGATGGGGCCAGCGCGCCAGATTGCTTAGGAAGTTCCCAAGAGTGGAGGGAGGTAAACCTCCTCTTGAGCTCAGCGGCCGACGGCTTCCTTGAGGAAATAACCATCTTGCCAGACTTTAGTGCTTTCAATATGGCAATGGGCTCTTGAAGCAGGAGACGCAAACCAGCAGCTCCGTCAAAGGTAAACGTATTTTATGTAGCTGCACGTGAATTACTCGAGGTAACCCTATAACGCCGTATATAGATATGTACCTGGAGCATCGTGGTGATACGGAACGATGTCAGATAAGAAAGCTGCAAGATGCAAGATAGCTTCCCGGTCATCCTGGAATATCATCCTGGAATCCAATGAGGAACGAGTTCCTTATCAGCCTCGCCCGATTCACGTATCCGAGCTATGGACATTATACAAGTCGAAAAGCAGTTAGTTTGCCCAGGTGCAGCTTGACCATCCATCCTTAGTAACTATTATGGTAACTACTAAAGGCTATACTTTAGAAAAGGCCGCCGGAGTCCTTTTCATATATTTTCGTCTTTTGAATGAGTATAGCATTCTTCGAGTTCGACCCCCTAACCTGCCTAGACATAAGTGTAAGATGTGTATGATTTAGCTGTGGTACCAACGTGGATCCTAGGTATGTAGACCCCTGGAATGTCTCGGAAGAATGCCGCGGCAAGATAACAGGGATCAATTTCTGACCCGTGTCACAAACAAGACTTATCTCCTAATGTTGTTGGTGTACGAAGTACCATTTCACTAGATCGAGTTCCCTAGAGCTCCCAATCGTATTTTATCCATCAATTAGGTACCTATCTAAGATATCGTGTAAAAGGCCTTCATCGTCGTGTTAGACCTTCTAGGCCATCCTGCTTCTCGCAGAATATGTTGATAGCTTGGATAATCTTGACTTCACCCTTACCCTCCTGGCTCCGAGTGAAAGCTAAGCGCCAAGCACTCTCGTCCTCCACTATATCGCTATAATCGACCGCCTCTTCCTCTGCTTTGCCCTTAAAAACACTCCCAGTTTCACCTTTCCACGGGTTAGCCGGCGTCTCCGCTAACTTAGTCAACAGATGCGGCGCGACGGTGATATGGTGAGCACCCGCGAGCTTCATGACTTCTTGGATGGATGTCAAACTAGCGGGTAGAACCTGGGTCTTGCTCCCGATCTTCTCGTAGTATCGCTGAGCAGAGCCGCAGAAGTCGAATGCTTTATGCTGGTCGACGTAACTAGACGTCGCGCCTAGATCAGCTTTTACACTCACTTGGTGCTACCGGGTAACATATACTTCTCGTCAAAGTGCACTCGCAGCTCATTGATGTACGGTGCGATATAGGTACAACCCACGTGAGCTGCTAGAGCAGCCTGTTCAAGACAAAACATGGTTGTTGCTAATGTGGAAATGCCTTGGTTTTCCAATTCGCGACATGCTTGTAATCCTTCCCAGGTGGATGGTATCTTAATGCAAACCCTTTGGGCGTCGTACGCTGGGTCCAGATCCTTAAATATCGCCACGATGCCTGACATGATAGTTTCCATTAGCGATTCGACGACCACAGTTCAACATCACCTCCGTCACGTTAAGGATGCTCACGTACGCTTCGCATTCTCAATTGTCTTCTGCTTATTGTAAGAGTACTTTGGATTCGTCTGTATATGAGAGTATCCCTTCAAGTAAGGTACTATTCTCAAAGCCAGTTTCACCATCATAGTCTCTACCGCCAGCTCCGCTACGGCCACGTCCGGGTATGACGAACGTTTCGCCGACGCATAGTCGACGGCATCTTCAATCAGCTCGGCGTGTAGAGGCTTTCCGTCTTCGTTAAGACGTATCAACTCGTGGTATGCGATTGCCTTGTATGCTTTTAGCCCCTTGCGTCTCGTAAGGAGGTTGATCTTAAGCTGGCTCACCTGGTTTGACGTACAATCCACGAACGGACCAAGCTGCCTTCTCATACAGCTCACCCCTATCTATCAGTTGATCACTCACCTTCGATATCAAAAGTATCGCAATCCACAGCACTGTATGATCGCAGTACATCGAGCAAGCTCTCCGGCGATCCCATCTTTCACTCTGTCTGGCGACAGTCAACAGCAGCAGTTATTGATATCAGGTTCAACCGACCACTACTTATAGTATAAAGGAATAATGATTAGGAAGCACGATCTCTCCGCTACGTACTTGGTTATTGGATGTTTTAATACTGCCCATCCTCGGCTCAGATACTCCAGAATAAGTTTTATGCTTGCATATACGGACCAGCGATCTCGGACGAGGTGGGGGAACCTACTTTCTATACAAAAAAAAAAGATCATTTGCTAATATCAGACCATTCAAATCGCGGAGATATGTCTAGTAGAAACACACGACCAGCTAGTAGTCTCAAGATGGAACTTGATAGGATATAATTATACTTAAAGGAGACAGTTTATAGGTCATGAGCTCTTACCCCCTCGTCATAATTATTCCTATTACCAACAAGCTCACTTATAACCAGTTGGAACTTCCAACTTGGAAGCTCGGTTGCATTAACCCCGGATTAGCTCGTCTGGACCCCTCGGCCGACATCCGCCTGTGGATCTAACGACGCCGAGCCTGACGCTATTTACTAAAGCGTGACAACGGATATAATTTCAATCTAGATGTTTAGGACGAAAAGGGACCAATCGAGGACTATACTAAAAATAGGGCATTGTGCAATGCGGTGGAATGCGACCTACTTCCTTTGCATGCGGTTTAACTATTCCGCGGCATGTAAATGCGTAGGGCACAGCGAACTCGAGTATTCAACTAATGGTCAATTCGAAAGTACCTGAAGGAGAGTCTTTAAACGATCCAAGGTATATAGATTACTGTTTCACATTCGACCAAGTGATTTTACCTTAAGGACGTTATATAAGGTACCTAGGTTTGCATCTAAATTTGGGTCGTAGAATTGCAAAGTTGTGTCAATAACGTACACTCGTGGCTAAAGTAATGTCCCGAAATATACCTACTCATCTACAGCGTTATAAGAGTCCTGGCATTAGCCCTCCTGTGGCAGTTTTGCTGAGACATCGCTAGGTATCGACGCATCCGGAAATGGATCCTGATTTCTTCGTACTACCAAAATATGAAAGACTCTTGAATGTATATCAACCGAATAAGGCTAAAACATGGTCTACATCTTTTGTCTTCTCGTTCAGTCCACATGAGGAGTGGGTTCGACGGCCGAAAAGAGGTGGAATGGAATGCGTTCGTCTCCGAAATTCTTTTCTTCTCGATGCATCGAAAAGCAGGAATGCTAGTTCAGTTCTCACACAACTAAAATAGGATACTTGGTGAGGATTTACATGGCTAAGAGAACCATCTTTGTCCTTTCTAGATAGCAGTTCAATCATTTCCTTCTTCTCTCGTCGCTTAATTTTTCTAATACGCCCTAAGGCACGCTTTTACACCACATTGCGATACGTCAAGCTATACCAGATGTCGTGAGAATAATCTCGCAGTCGGTATCCAGCTGTTATTTGAACGGGCAACGAGCCCCCTTCCTCTTCTTTCGTAAAGTGCCATCGTGCGTGTTGTCGCCATGCAGAGTTACACAACCACCGCCGTATATCAGCAACCATCTCAACAACTACTTCAGCAACCGCTTGAAGAACAATCTGAACAACCACTTCAGCCTCCAGTTCCGCAGACAGTACCTCAGACGGCACCTCAGCCAAGGGACTACTTCCAACGCACTCCGCCGGTCTTTCAGTCGAGCGGCTTGGCAGCTAAAGTGCCTTTCGAGCTTCGAGCAAATCCTCTCGTCGATAGGAACCATCCGGATTTTATGAGGATAGAACGGTACTTCTTTACATTACTCCGGAATACCAATCTTACTCTTCAGGAGATACTTGATAATACATTCGAGCCTCACGAGATTGACATCCTCGAGCCAGCCAGCCATCCGCCGGAACTGGTTAAGCTACAGAAAGCAAACTCCATTCGTTATCAGCAGATACTAGACACGCGCTTCAAGGGCAACGTCCCTACACTACAACTCAAGTTAACTTTTCTCTACTTCGGGTTACCAATTGCTCCAATGAAGCCCGGGGCGTCTCAAACGTTGGTGATTACAGACCTAGACTTCTTAGAGGACAAGGTCCAGATCGCGACCGACCCTCTCGGGTTCCTAAACGAGTACGCCGAGAGAGCGTACGGCGACCCCCACAAGCATGTTCCTGATCGTCATTTTCTTCAGCTTCCGCCAACACAGGAGTTTACGTCTTTACGTATCCGCCCTCAGCCATATGATGACCTTTCGGCATTGAGACTACGAGGCGGCGCGTTGCCCTTGAAAATGGACTGGGAACCGGAGAGAGATGACACTTCTGAACCACCCACTATTTCTATAAGGATTTTTGGATACCAAGGGTCGATTCTAGTCCAAGTTCACTCCTCGGCATACGAAAGTTTCGTCGAGGCCGTAGACCAGCTCCTGGGAATGAGATACAAATACAACTATTCTATAAGACTTCAGATTTGGCACCAAAATGGCTCCGACACCGAGCCTGTCGCGCAAGCAACAGGCATGATCTACCAGAAAAACAAGAGACCCAGCGGCGTCGACGATATATATTCATTAGTTGAGAAATTATTCAGCCGAGACAATGAGGATGGAAAGTACTGTGGTTTTGTATGCTTCGACAAGGAGGAATCTCCCGAATCCTACAAGCCATCCTACGAAGTTGATCGACAAATTATTCGCGTGTGGGATAATGATAAAAAGAATATGGCATATATGAAAATTCCAAAGTCTCTACTGTCAATCCACAAACCGAATCAATTCAGCTATGAATACTTGCGTGCTATGCGGGTACTCTTCCCGAAATCTCCTCATACGTATTTCAGGTTCTCAGCGAACGGTGAGGAAATAACGTACGGACTGCTCGACCCACCTCGAGTAGTCTGGGATAAGGTTATCCAAGATCATACAACGGAGGACGGATTACCTCTTCTATCTTTTGGCCGAATTGCCGTACCAGACGATGCCGTGCCGGTTTTCGTACCGGGGTTCCACTCCTACGACACCGACTTCTCGGGCGGATTTCCGGTAACCTCCTTAAGCAGAGACGATCTTAAATTAGACGGAGGGGATGACGAAAAAGCTGGGCTATCGAAGCTGATTAGCGCGGTGAACGCCGCCAACCCATTCGCGATCAGCAACAAGAAAAAGATCGGCATCGAAGTCTGGATTCCGGGAGATGAATTCTCAAACTCGTTGATTTCCGGCCAGTTCATCAATCTTGTGGGTACCGAGATCAACGAGCAGACAATATATAATTGGAAGACTGCCGTGCGCAGATATCAAGGGCCAAGAATCCATGCCGAACCTGGAAAGATAAGCATCGCAGCTCGACCCGTGTTCAGCACTTACACAATTAGTGCGAAGAACGATCCTAAACGCCAGTTCTCAATCGATCTCAATGATATAAAACTATCAGAGTTTAAGGAAGAGGTCAAGTCTAAGCTGTTCCCTAGATATCAATTAACGTCGAAGAACCTAGCTCTACATCTAGTGCAGTCAACTTGGTCAACCAACAGGATCGACTTCGCCGTCACTGTAGATACGGACGAGAACGGGTGGAGATGGATTGTGAGACATATCACCGAACCGGACATAACCATATCCCTTGAGTATTGGGTCAGCAGCTGGGGTGAGTTTACAATAGGTCATCTTCGAGAGTAACAATAGCTAACATACAAAATAAAAGCCATAGAAAAGGGATCTACATGGGGACCACGCTACGACACTACAGAGCCCTTCACGCTAACATCGCAATTCGATTCGACGAACAAGGATTTTGCGCCGTATGACCCGCCGGTACGGCGATTGTTTGAAGAATCAAAGAACAATTTAGATGGTGCCGTGAGGGCACAGAAGCTGAGAGAAAGGCTGTTCTGGGATAGCACAAGCATGTTCGCCAGTCCGACCAAGCCCGCATTACCGCTTCAGGGTCCGCCTATCGAGACTCTCATCAGGACGGGGCCCAACGTGCCGGCGTTTACCACCGCGATGCGGACTCCTAGTGAAGTGGCCCGACTCGAAAGAGAAGTCCACACGCTGCGAGGAAATATTCTCGACAGAGTTAGGGAATGCCCTTATAAAGACTGCGGGCAGATTTTCCGCTTCCAAGATGGGAGCAAGCTCGATCGACACTTGCGAGAGGATCACACTACTCTCCAGTGTTTCCTATGCGACAAAGAAAAACATCTACTCCGGTTCTATGATACCCAAAGTATAAGGCAGCACTTTCTTGACAAACACTACAATAGCATTAAGGAGGAGCTTCTCGGGGTCTCTGGGGACCAGGAGCATGGTATAGGGGAGCCCAGATATTGCAACCGATGCGGGCGTGATCAGACCGTCCTGAACAACCCAACCGATAAAGCATACCATAATAGTGTATGCAGGGTTGGCCCGCGCAGTCATGCCGTATTCTGCGGATTCTGTGGACGTACCAAGGAAAACGCGTCGGAAACATGCGAATGCGCCAAGTTCACGAACGAGGAGTCGACGGAGGACGATATAGTAAACTGTATAACTTGCGGTATCGAATACGATTCGACCATGAGTCGGTCTTACCGCGACCAACACCGTTACCATTGTAGGCTACCTGGTGGTAGACCAAACGATTGCTGTCCCGGCTGCGGTATAGGTCTCGCCGACAAGAACGAGGGTGAAAAGTCGTCGCACATGTCTACATGCACCGGATCATCACCGCCACACAACAAACCTACTGATCCCTCGGGTCATGAAGTGCCTCCAAACCCTCCCGTCCCTTCTAAATTTACCGATATTCTCAAGCCTCCTCGTAATGACACTAATATCGTCCCTCCCCCTAAGATTAAGACAAAGAAGTCTATTTCGAGCGAAGTAGAATCGCTTAAACAAAACATCCCCCCGCACCACCAAGATCAACAGGATCCTGTTGATCTTGTTGATCCTGCGCCATCTGAAACTATAGAAGATCTTCTTAACGTCCTAGGTCAAGACGAGCCTTCTATCGAGTCTTCTATCGAGTCTTCTGTCGAGCCTTCTATCGAGCCCGAACCAGCGGAACCGCCCTTACCATGGAGAGAAGCAACAACATCGGACCCACTCCCATCTCGCCGATCCAGTTCTCCTCCGTGGGATGAATTTCTCGAACCGCAGTCGGAACCCTGGGCGTTCTATCCGGAAGCCGACTGGAGATGTTCCCGATGCTTCAGGGCTGCAGGAAAAAGCATGGATCACATAGAGGTAAGTACACGCCCGACGCACTCAAGGTTGGCGAGACAAGCTCACACTGAAATCGTGATAGATGCACATGTATGAGAAAGGGTCTTGTAGAATCCGTCGCACCTTGGGCACCACAACATACGGCCCCGTGCCTAACCGTAGCGGATGGATCCTCCCTGACGAGAAATTTGACTTTAGGACGGCGTATTATAAGTTTGTCAGCGAATATCCGGCATACCAACACACCATGTTCCCGGTGCGCAAAGAGAGCATCAAGTCGGTCTGGGAAGACCCTTACACCTTGAAAAACGCGACCGGTTCCATCGAAGACGACCCGAACTACACAAGACTGAAATACACGGAGACTCCGGGCGATGAGCTACCATGGCCGCCGTATAAGGGTTTGGCAATACCGCTAAACGGACCGGAACCGGAACCGGATTCACCGAAAGTTAAGATCTTCGTACCCGTAGACAAGGAGGAATCAGAGAAAGTAAACAAAGACGATAGTAAAGGTATTGAAGAGCTTGATGAAGAGCTTGATGAAGAACAAGAAAAACTAGCCGACCCGGAAGAACTAGATAGTAACTCCAAGGTCACGATCCCACCAGAGGACAACATCCTGGCGTCGACGGAAGAAGATGACAGTAGCCTAGTAACCTCCTCAAGCGAATTTGAGGAATCAGATGAATCAGAGCAATCGGCGGAAATAGACGAGGACTACGATCCGACCAAGCAACCGGCTGAGACAGGAGACGAACTCGAGGAGGAATATTCGGAGAGAAGCGCCGTGGAAGACCCTATTCAAGAACTAGAAACAGTTCCGCCCGAGAAGTCTAAGAAGCGTGCCACACCTATAACACCGCCTTTTGATGCTGAGGACCGTACCTCATGGCCGTCTGTTAAAAAGCGTGTCGTGCCACCGCCTCCAGAGGTTAAAGCCGAACCTATTCCCATTAACCTTGACCCTCCTTCACCCCATGGGATTGACTACGTCCCATGGATCACCCCGCAACCGATCAAATCTCCTCGGTCGGAAAAGAAACGTATTCAGTTACCCGAATGGGATCCCGTCATCTCGGTCCCTCCCATCTGGGACGAGATGAACGAGCTTGCCCGAAAATTTGGACGGGGTTCCCAGCCGCCGCTTATGAAACCATTTATATCCAGTGAGCCACATTTCAAGCGATCTGCATCTGGACCACCTTCAGCCAGGCCCCAGACTCGAGGGAAAGATTCCTTTGGCAAGGGCAGGAAGTAAAGAGGTAGCTAGCATTCACCACCTAGCGGGAGGAGGCGAATAGAATTGAGATGGAGGTGCGTGTGTCGATTAGAGAGGATGAGATGTACAAGAATAGAAGCGCATTCGATCATTATGGCTTGGATTCACGGCTTGTATTTTCTTTTGTCTTTGAGAAAGGGGTTTGGCCCGACCCAGAGTAGCTAACTAATCTTCATCTCAGTTTATAGTTAGCCCTCCGATAACAAATGTGTTAATGAGTAGTATTCTGATTCGCAGACTGTCTTTCCGTAGTGTCCTCGCGTGATATACCGTTGACGTTGATTCTCTTCTCAATAGGATAGTGCTTAGACTCGAATTTCCATGTTGTTTAAGTACTTACCTAACTTATATTGTACTATTCGCTATTAATTCGATATCTGACTTCTTAATTCATATATCAGATCGTCTATAAGACAAATACTACCTCTTATTTCAAGGAGATCGATCTACAAGCTTCGCCAGAGCGATGAGAGCGACGGCATCACTACAACATCAAGCAACGCACAAACCTCAGCAAATCCTTGCCGTTGCATTTTAGCACGTTAGTTCTTGGGTAAAATAGTAAAACAGAGCACCTCTCCTTTCGATTCAACACGCCACGGTATCAATGTTATTGGTCTATATGACCCCGGCCTGATCCCCGATGCCCAACCTTGAATTGGTATCATGTTCTGAAAAAAAGGGAAACGAGAATGCATTCGCGTAGCCTAGAGCATTTCCTACTAGCCTTAGAAAATAGACAAAGTAGAATAGAACGACCACTTCCAACTTGCAAGTTATGTAAAAGGTAGCTAATGGTGGACATGCCTCATTCCCAACTAAGAGGCGTTTATGCACAAGTCCCTTCCGACGTAGCTAAGATTGATTATGATGATGCGGCGGTGGACACCGTCGCGCTAAGAGACGTACGTTATTAACGAGGCCGTCGACTAGATCTTCGTATCTATTCGGTTTCCTTTGCATGAGCATACGTCCATGCTCAATTAGATGACGCGCCTCTAATTCCACCTCGAGCTCGTGCTCCTTTGCAGCACCAGCAGGTGCTTGGCAGGGTTGGCTACCCGATGTCGCGGGTCCCTGCTTCACCTGCGTCAAATCGACCTGGTAGAAACCGTGCTTATAACTGAGTCGATCCTTAATACGGTCCGGGGGTCGCTCCTTGTTGGGGTTCTGGCCGCGCTCGATCTCTTCGACCGGGCCGTCCCAGTCCCATTCTAGATTGATACTTATGCGGCAATCTAGGGGTAAGTGAGGGAAATGTATGTTTAAATCGGCAATTCGAGCCTTGACGATCTTGGCTAAAACATTGTTGGCATTCTGTTCGTGGGTGGTGACGCGAGCTTTTATAGGCGCGCCTTGCTGCAGCAGGCCAGAAATGCAGGCTGGAACACGTTGACGCATATGGGGCGCGAGTTCGTAAAATCGATCAACCTCTCGGCGATGTACGTAATGTACTTGTACGCGAGAGGCTGCAGCATGGCTACGAGGGAAAGAGGCCTTCACCTGCTCGTTCAAGAATTCATTGAGCTCGCGATGCTGGTTCTATCGTAGGAGTTAATTAACAAGTCAACAAGATTAGATGAGCAGAAAAGCAACTTACCTCGGTCATGGAGCTACGAAATGCAACCCTGGTACTGTCTAGCACACACTCGCCGGCCCTTGTTCCGGGATAGTAGATGCGGTCATTGGTCATCTTGTCGATGATAGTACCGAGCTTAGCTTCGATCTCGAACACCGCGCCCCGGCTATGGATTTCTTCGAGATGGGGGAATTGAAGCACGTTGATGCCTAAAAAGTCAGCAACCTCGCGACATACAATATTCTTTGGTGTCTCGTTCCCAATGCTAGGCTCCCACGGGAACGGCTGGCCATTGAATGTAAAGGGGTCCTTAGCAACCGCAGGGGTAGGCTCTTCTGCCTTAACCCCAGCTACAGATCGTACTGTTTCGGGTGAGGCGTGTCGAGAAATATGATCTGACTTCACATGTCCGCCGACATCGTGTTGATTGTTTCCGTTGGCTAGCCCGGGTGCGTTGGTCTGTTGGCGAATGTATTGTTTCAGAGCAAAATTACGACTCGTTACTTTGGGTTGATCGGGGTCTCTACCACTCTGCGCCCAGATCGGCGGCCTGTCGTGTCGGACACGTTTTCGGTGTGGTGTCATCGGCGGTACTGACGGCTGCACCGCAGCAGCTAGCGAGACAGCACGGTTACCATTTAGCTGAGGAGGCGGCGGAGCCTTCCGGCCGTTCTCAAGCTCGTCGGGTCCGAGGTCTCTATGCTCCAGTTTTCGCTTCGCAGGAGTGCCGACGTGTTGGGGTTCCATCATGTTATTAACGATAGGAGCTTGTGGAGGACGTTGGGGATTGTAAGGATTTACGTCGCTGCTAGTAGAGGAAGGGCGATGGCCACCGTTGCTGGGTAGACTAGGAACACGTGTTTTAGGTGAGACACTGACGCTTCTATCACGTTCACTCCGAGACTGTGACCCGCGGTGTTCGGCAACAACGTCGTAAGTGCTGTGACTGCTGCCACTTGGCATTCGCTGGATAGGAGCCGGAGGCGGCGGTTTAGGCGACGTCTGCACCGGCTGAGGAGGGTAGGCAGCAGAAACAGTAGAGGCCCTTTTTTGGTACGGACTGGGAGGCTGCTTATAACTTACGGCAGGCGATAGTCGCGGAGGCAATGGTTGCCCAAGAGGTGTTAGAGGTTGAGATGGTTGACGTTGGTGCTGGGTTTGTTGTTGTTGTTGCTGTTGTTGTTGTTGTTGGTCAATGAGAAGCGGATGAGGATGTATAGTCGCAACAGGACTGCCTTGAATATAAGGGGGCCCATATGGAGCCGATTGGCTATGCGCAGACGTGGGCGTAGGAGTGGATTGGATCGAATGGGATCTTTGATGCAAATATTGAGAACTACCACCGGGCGTACCTACAGGAGGTGTTTGTGGCGGTGGTTGCGCTTGTTGCTGGCTGTGTGCGTAAGAAATGGAACCGTGTTGTGGTTGGGGATTGTTGTAACTATCACGAGAATAAGCACCCACAGGTGCACTCGGACCAACACCCGGACCAGCGCTAGCACTCGGTGGGCCGTATTGGTGTCTTTGCACAGGGCTCACGGGTGGCTGCTGCGTTGGAGGGAACGGATAACCTCCGCTTACGGCACTAACAGACGAGGTAGGTGTTCGTCGATAGGGTGACGGTGCCGATATTGAAGCGCTTCCCGGTGACCGTAAATCGTGAGAGCCCGGTGGCTGGAGCGGAGGAACAGGTGGCCTACTGGCAAACGCGTTCGTCGGGGGGTTAAATGAGGTTGGGGATTGGTACGGGCCAGCAGAACTCGGAGTACGACTTGGAAGATGAGGAGGGCCGGGGGGAGGATATTCGTGGGGATGTTGGCCTGGTGAGGCGCGAGTCGAGTGGCCGTAGTCTCTAAACGACTGAGGATGTGGACTAGCTCGAGCTGGTGTCGAGGGCGCGACTGAGTTCGAGTTCGAGTTCGAATTCGAGATCGGGTTCGGAGTCGATATAACAGACGGTGATGTCTGTAAAGATGTTTGTAAAGATGGTTGTTGAGGTTGCTGTTTTTTCAATGCGCCTCCGTCTGGTCCATTTAGTACGTCGCGTAGATCCATCTTCGCAATATTGGCTGTTTGCTCTCTTGATGATAATCTTCCTTGTTGGTTTTGGTTTCGTCTCTTCTTTTCTTCGTCGCACACTTTTTCTTTTCCTACACCGGACGATCGAGTTCGCAACAATATACATATACACTTATACCACTTCCACACGCATGCAACCGATAATATATGCGCGCGCTATCTGGGCCTCTCCTCTCTCTTATCTCCCTTCTAACTCTTTAACTCTCTTCTCTATCGCGCGCGCGCACACAATTACTCTTCGCTCGTACTCAAGTCGGCGTACTCTAGCGTTATCGATACATTCAGGTGACAATATTCGGTTATTTCGGACGAGGCAACCAATGCGACGGATTGTCGATGATGGCCTTGTATATGCTATGTGGCATGTAAAAGTCGGTGGATGGTGCAAACGGAGGAGATGTCAGTTTGTCGGTTTGTCGGTTTATCGGGTTGGGTTGGATGTCCGCGCTTTGGAGCCAATATCGCGAAGAAGAAAAAATATCAATTTTGCATTTCCACCCTCTCTCTAATCGGATCTACCCCCCCAAAGTAATAACAATTCGCCTACGTTGCTATCGCGGTGTAAATAGATATTATAAGAATTATGCGCAATAATCGACGGCGGTGATAGAATTGTCTGATGGGTATTATTCCTAGTTGTACAAAATTGGTCGAATTATAACAAAGATTAGTTCCAGGGATGAATGCGAAAGCGTGCGTGACATGATGAATCGATCAATCAGTAGAGCTTTGATTTTTTTTTTATTTTTTTTATTCTCCTATCCTTGCATTGGATATCGAAAGTACAAGTACGTAGGGTGCGGCGTTGCAATAGTGTATATCTAAGTACCTGGTACTAATAAAAGCCAACATAAAATAGGTATAAGGTACCTAAATTAAGGCAGGAAGTTTATAAATACAGCTTCTTAGATATGCCATGTGACTGCTCTTTCTATAGCGATAAGAGAAAGGAGCGTCGAATCCATCGAGTCTCGAGGAAGGATCCGCCTCAAAGGATACCTATGTATCCAAACTCCTAACTGCACGACGAGTTCTTGTTTAAGACTCTTACCCCCTTCGAAGATACGCCATCGTCTGATTGGCTACCTCTCTAGGTTCTTAGGTATAGAGCCACTTGCGGCTTATCTCCTGGGGCTGGTGTACTTCATGTTAGGTACCTACCTTAGATAATGGGTATTAGGTAATCTTCAGGTTGCCAAGGCAGGCAGGCAGAGCTGCGCCTGACGTGGACGTGCTTCTATCCAAGCTTCGCATCTGTTACATCAAAATCCATTTGAAATAACTTCACAATTAACCTCTTGAATAATTCACCACATAAAAATAGATACAGCATCACACCAGTCGCATTGCACAGCACGGCGGACGTAACCGCCGGTACAATCCCGTAATCGGCTCAGTTCCGTTCCATATATTCTTTTATTTTCTCCCATTTCCAACCGCCGAAAACAGTCGTCTGCTAAACGTCTCTCATACCTCATCACCTATACACAACCGATTTCAAGATGCCTGGTTTGGTCACGGCTACTGGCGTGCTAGCGTTCCTAGCCGATGAGGAGCCCGAGCTTAAGGTGTTCGCGCTACAGACCCTCAATGACGATATAGACACTGTTTGGTTCGAGGTCGCCAGCGCTCTAGGCCAGATGTAAGCAAACTTTTGCATACCACCCAATATCCATCTTCGTATAATTAGATTCTAACCAGCGGGGATCCTAGCGAGGCTCTCTATGAGGATGAATCCTTTCCCGAACGCAAGCTGGCCGCCCTCGTTCTCGCCAAGGTCTACTACCACCTTCAAGCCTACGATGAGAGCATGTTTTTCGCCCTAGCCGCGGGTGAGCTATTCAAGCTCGACAACCCCGGAGAGTTTGAGGAAACCATCATCTCCAAATGCGTTGACCATTACATCGCTACTAAGAATGAGAATCACACCGTCGTCAGCAAGAAGGATGGGGACGCTTCTCTGCCTGCCCTCGCTACGGCTTTTTCGAGTACTACCACCGACGGCAACGCCTCCGCCCTCATCTCGCCCACGACTCCCTTCTCCCAGTCCACCCTGCCGTCTAAGTCCCTTCTGTCTCGCGCTTCCACCGACAATACAATTCTCGAACCTTCCTTCGAACCCCAGAAAAAGCAGCACCGGTCGTCCTCTATCGCTTTGACCCATAACGAACTTGACACCCGACGTGCCATTGACAGCGTTATAGAACGATTGTTCGAAAGCTGCTTGGCAGAGAGGCGTTACCAGCAAGTTGTAGGTATCGCTGTCGAAGCGAAGCGGCTCGATGTGGTCAGCAAGGTTATCCAACGCGCGGACGATGATTACAAGCGCAACAAGGGCAAATCCGCGCAGGAAGACGCCATGGGCCCTGCCGAGGAGCTTCTCGATTACTGCTTAAATATATGCATGGACGTTGTGCAGGAGCGAGCTTTCCGGGATGACATCTTGCAGCTTATCCTCGATATTCTCACTAGCGGCCGGGCTAAGGATCCTGACTACTTCTCCATCGCTAAGTGCATTGTCTATCTTAACAAGGACGAGCAGGCCCGCACGGTCATACAGCATCTCGTCAAAAGTGAGACCATCGAGGCTACCGCCATAGCTTACCAATTTGCTTTCGACCTCTACGACAACGGCACGCAGGAGTTTCTGGGCAAGGTCATCTCAGGCTTACCCAAGGGCGAGCCACCTGCTGAGAAGAAAGAGGACGAGCCCACCGGCGAATCCGAGAGAGAACCCTTACTCGGAGATTCCGATGCTGGAGAAGTCGATGAGAAGAAGGCCGCGATCTATAAAAATATTCGCTCCATCCTCGACGGCACCAAAACCATCAAGCTCAACCTTGAGTTCCTCTACCGCAACAACCGTACCGACTTGAGTATTCTCAACAAGGTTCGGGACAGTCTAGAGGGCCGACATTCCATCTTCCACACAGCTGTCACTTTCTGCAATGCCTTTATGAACCAAGGCACGACCAACGACAAGTTCTTCCGAGATAACTTAGAGTGGCTAGGCAAGGCCGTGAACTGGTCCAAGTTCACTGCCACCGCGGCTTTAGGCGTTATCCACCGCGGGAACCTCTCCCAATCTAGGAAGCTCCTAGAGCCCTATCTCCCCCGAGGTGCCGGTGGTATTAGTGGCGGCTCTCCCTATTCGCAGGGTGGAGCCCTCTATGCGTACGGTCTTATCCACGCGAATCACGGTGCTGACGCCTTGGACTACCTTAAGACCCAGTTTATTGCTGCCGAGGAAGAGGTCATCCAGCATGGTGGCGCCCTAGGTCTTGGTCTCGCTGGCATGGCTAGCGGAAACGAGGAGATCTTCGAGAATCTCAAGGCCGTTCTTTACGCCGACTCTGCTCTGAATGGTGAGGCTGTCGGTCTTGCGATGGGTCTGATCATGCTGGGTACCGGAAACGTGAAGGCTCTGGAAGATATGGTTGCTTACGCGCACGAAACATCCCACGAGAAGAGTGTACGAGGTTTGGCTCTAGGTATGGCCTTGATCATGTATGGCCAGCAGGAAGGTGCGGACGTCATGATTGAAGGTCTCCTGATGGATCCGGATCCATCGTTGCGATACGGTGGTATCATGACTGTGGCAATGGCTTACTGCGGCACCGGCAGCAACAAGGCGATTCGAAAGTTGCTACACGTCGCCGTCAGTGATGTGAACGACGATGTTCGGCGAATTGCAGTCATGAGCTTGGGTTTCATCCTGTTCCGCAAGCCCGGAAGCGTGCCTCGCATGGTCGAGCTCCTCTCCGAATCATACAATCCCCACGTGCGTTATGGCTCCGCCATGGCGCTCGGTATCTCATGCGCGGGAACAGGACTCGACGAGGCTATTGACCTTCTAGAGCCTATGATGAAGGATCCCACCGACTTCGTCAGGCAAGGTGCTCTGATTGCGCTGGCCATGATCATGATCCAGCAGAACGAAGTGATGAACCCCAAGGTTGCGTCGATCCGCAAGACACTGAAGAAGGTCGTCGGCGACCGCCACGAGGATGCGATGACCAAATTCGGCGCCGCCCTCGCTCTAGGTATTATCGACGCCGGTGGACGTAACTGCACAATCGGCCTGCAGACCCAGACGGGCAATCTGAACATGGCCGGCATCGTCGGTATGGCCGTGTTCACGCAGTACTGGTACTGGTTCCCCTTCACTCATTTCCTGTCTCTGGCCTTCAGCCCAACCTCGATCATCGCTCTCGATCACGAGTTGGATATCATCGACGTCAAGTTTCACTGCGCTACCAAACCAAGCCTGTTCGACTACCCACCGGAGCAGGAGGTTAAGGCGGAAGAGGGACCGGCCATGATTGCTACCGCCATTCTCTCCACCACTGCCCAGGCCAAACGCCGAGCCCAGAAGAAGGAGAAGGCGCAGCGACGAGAAAGCATGGATATCGACTCCACTGCTACCCCGACCACTTCTAAGCCAGGTGCCACCGGTGATAAGATGGAGGTCGACACGAAGACCAAGCCAGGTGAGGACACTAAAGACAAGAAAGACGGCGATACCCCCGCGCCAGGAGATAAGGAAGGATCAACGCCTCCTGCGGATATCAAGAAAAAGGCGGAGAAGGAGAAGCCGGGCTACGATATTGAAAATATGAGCCGCGTCTTACCCGCGCAGCTCAAGTATATCAGCCTCGCCAAGGGTCGTTACTGGCCCGTCAAATTAGTGAGACCTGGTCCATTAGTAAGACGATCGACAACTTTTACTCGCTTCATAATGCTAACTCTGTATGCAGCCTACCGGCGGTCCTATATTACTACACGACACGCAGCCCGACAAGGAAAAGGCGCTTATCGAAGAAAAGCTCAAGAAGGTAGCAACAGAGAAGGCCCCTGTCGCCGGTGCTGGTTCACGCAACCCGCGATCCGTTGAGGAAGCGCTCCTCAGCCGGCTTGGACGAGACCAGCTCGCTACTCCAAGCCGGAACACGAGTGGCGCCGCTGCCGGTGCCGGTGTACTGACTGCCATCGATGAGGATGGCGAAGGAGACGAAGAAGCGCAACCTCCTCACGATTTTGAGTACTATACCGATGAAGAGGAGGATGACTAGACGTCGCATTCTAGATAACGACAGCCGTGTGAACTTGTATCTTAATTGTAACATAGATGATCCAGTCCCGCGAAATAATTACCATGGCGTCCTAAGCCTAAATACTCTGATCTTCAAACTCTGATCGAGCTAGTACGTCGACATCTGTTACTCGAGCCCGACTGCTGTAGGCAAATTGTATCATCTCTACACTAGATACTAACTACGCATTCTAGTAGTTAGAGTGCACACCAAGGGGGTTTGCTCGAGTCTCATCTACTTGAATAATTTCTCGTGTAGGTTCTCACTATACCTAGTTCTCTTAGATAATATAAGAGATCCCTCTCGAATCTAGCAGCTTTCTGCCCCCTTTTAAATATGGATAGCCCCGTTCAGAGTCACATGTTCCTCCGTCATTATTAATCGGCCTTAATCATTTTATGAATTTCAGAAGCGTATAGGTACCCGTTCCATGGATTCTTGTATTCGTACGCGCTACTAATGAACAAAGCACCCTTACATCCCATCAGCAAGCATAGCATTAACCAGTTGAACATGGCGGTCCCCGTTTGTCTCGCTCCACTCGCTCTCGTAGTTTAGACCGTAAGGCCAAAAGTGACCGCCACCACAGCTTATCTTAGCACTAGAACCATCCCACGACCGAAGCAGCGGCGTCGCTTTCGGCCAGTTGTTAGCCGCGCAGTGCTGATCGAAAGCAGCCGTCTGTCCGACTCCAAGCGTGTGAGCTATCTCGTGCATCGCCGTGCGCTCAGTCATGTAGGACCGGTCCGAGCCGAATCGAAGGTCTCCGTTGTAGTTGGCTTCGGCCGTGGGTACGCCGGGAGAATAATAAACTCGGATAGTCTTGCTAGCGCTCGTGAAGCGGGAGTATCGCGCAACAGCAAGCTTCATGGCAGATTCGATGCGAGTATACGCCTCCGATTGGTCAGCCGTCGGGTTGGAGGCTTTCTGCAGCGTCCATGTTATTGCTCCCGACACGGCGGAGGCGTAGGTCAGCATTGCGGCAAGGATGGAGAAACGCATGACGGATGGCGATCTTGTAGTGTTGGTGATATCGATGGGATTTGTGTAAATCAGTTCGGAAACGATCTACACCAAAAGTCTGGCAGTTTACATCTATATAACGGTTTCTTCTTCCCCTGTCGATCCCCATGAATATGTTGATTTTAATATAGCATTATCTTGTTCCTTGATATGCTCTTCGTGGATTAATAGCCCCGGTGGGCGTTTTGATAAATGCAAAGAAGCTCGTATGGTGGTATTAAGCCGCGGAATAATATCCAGTTCATCCACTTGGTATCGCTACCTTCCTAGGGTCCTTATGATTCTCGGACGATTGCCCTCCGATAGAGATCATATTGAAGCAAGCCTCGAGATCTTGGCATCTCGGGCTAGAAGCCGCTCTTGTCATGGTTCCTTGGCACGTATATGCCTTCTTTTACGAATGTAACATATTATAAGTGAAGTCCCGAGGCTAAGATCTATCCACATCAACCATGGCTGGGTTTCGGATTGTTGGTATGGACCTCACTAGCTTACAACCAAGCTACAGCTATAAGGTCCAAAACCACCGTGTTAATACCAAGCGTTTGTTCATTTTTAATTTTACCGCGTGATTAACCTTCGAGCACTTGAGTATAAATACTTATCAAATCTTAAACACTGTTGAATATCTTTAACCATAGTAGATTCAAGACTATTTAGAGCTAGAAGGGATATGCTATCGATAGTCTAATCTTATAGTCATGTTTAATAAAATACAGATCGAGAATTTGTTTAATAGAGGATACGATACGACTAGAGCCTTTATGCTATTTCTAATATCACGACCTTAAAAGTATTTAAACCAAAATATCCCCCCGGTTAACATATTGTATAAGACATGTAGATGCGTTAAAAGAGGGAGGATATCTGTAAGCTCTCACTGACAATTGAGAGAAAACAAACCTTATGAATACCGTAATAAGCCAGCTACCGGCTCGGGACCGACATATCACAGGTCCCGAATGCCGTGAGACCGTCAGGCTGTCGGGACTCGGAAGGAAGCGAGACGGAAAGGCGTGGGTAGCTGTATAGGTAACGGTTAGGTACCTACCTTACCTAACACTAGCGGTATGACCTGACCAATTAGGGCTAATTATACAGGTAGATGCAAGAGCTTACAGGGGCAACAGGGGATTTCTAGCGGTGAACGACTTCCACTAATATTCTTCGAACCTTCTCCTTGCGCCGTCATCCCTCATTCCATCCATCAGCCAACCATTCGTCATCCAATCCTAAGCCACCAACCTACAATCTTCAACCGACCTTTTCTTTCAACCGTCACCTACGTGTGTCCCTACTGCTCGCTTGTAAAGTAGCATCAATTATCGGTGAGTACCAAGGTAAGTGAAGACAGATAAAGCATGCGTGTAGAGACGTAGTTCGTCTTTCGTAAACGCTGCGAGATCGGACTTGATTGAATTTGTGGTAGGCTTCGTCTCTTATCGGCCATGTGCCCAACAGAGTTCGTCTTCGCTTTTCCGTCCGGCTCGCAATGTTTACAACTCGTCGTCTACCCATATATCTCCCTTTTCTCTTAACCCGTCATCTTTTTTTTTTTTTTTTTTTCACTTACATCGGTCATCGCCTTGTATAGAATCACAGTTTGGCGGCAACCGGCAACCGAAAGATTATTGATTCCCGGCGGTTTCTATTTTCTTGACTCACGTTTATAATTTTTTTTTAAGATTTAGTCCTGTTCGTGTCTTGTTGTTTCTCTTCGTACCTCTCTCCTTTAAGGTTGTGATTAGATTTATATTGCACTCTATTTATTATATATCGAGGTAGTTCCTCCTAAGCACGTTCGCCATCTTTTCTTACCTTGGTGTTTGTGTTTGCTTTTCTAGTCAAGGCACAACATTTAAATTTTGTTAGAGTGGAGAGAGGTTCCGTTCTTCGTCGCCTTGACAGACCCACGAGTTGAGGAATCGCCTCTCTAAACTAAACTGACGCTACGCGGCTTGTCTGCAGCACGCTGCTATGGACATAACACTGATACGTCCTGATTCAACTTCACCTTAGGGTAAGACTGGCGAGGTCTCTAACTTACGCCATGTCGATACCAACCTCACGGCAATTTGGCCTAGAGTTGTTCAGAGCGGCAAGACGATATCGACCAGCTCTCCGGTATCTTCAAAAACCCGAGATTCGACAACCGGCCGATTCCTGTGCCAGATTCTTTAGATTCCAATCCGCTTTTCGAACTGCGTCGTTCAAGCCGGCGCCGAAACCGCCTCCTAATGCTCGTCGTCTGCGTCCCTTCCCCGTCCTCGCTGCAGGCGGTGGACTCCTCACCGTACTCTTCTCCGTCCTCCAACCTGTTTCCCACGAGCCTCTTGAGGTGCCCCGAGACGTAGACCCACCTCCCGACTCGGCTTCTAGCGACGATGACGACGGTTTGCCACGCTATAGGCTTTCAGAGGTCAAAGAGCATGGGCCAAAATCCGAAAGGCCTTGGGTGATATACGAGGACAAGGTATACGACATAACAGACTGGGTCCCTGCCCACCCTGGTGGTGAGGTTATCCTCCGTGCCGCCGGCGGTAGCATCGAACCGTACTGGAACATCTTTTCTATCCACAAGTCGCCGTACGTCCGCGAGATTCTTGAACAGTATGTAGTTGGAAAGGTGCATCCGGATGATCTCGAGAATGGAAGACCGCTGCAGGACCATATCGAAGATCCGTTTGTGGCCGACCCTGTCAGGGACGCAAGGCTGATGAAGCTAACGCAGAAGCCGTGTAACGCGGAGACCCCTGGGAATGAATTGGCAGAATATTTTCTCACTCCTAACGAGGTTTTCTACGTCCGTAATCACATGTGGGTTCCTGTCGTGGAAAATACCGAAGCCGAGGATCATAGTATCACCGTTGAACTACCCGATGGTGACATCAAAACCTACAGCATCAAGGATCTCAAGGCTCGATTTAAGCAGCATACTGTAACGGCTGTTTTGCAATGCTCTGGAAACCGACGTAGCGATATGACCCGCTATGCGAAAAAAACAAATGGTTTACAATGGACGGTCGGCGCAATCAGCTGCGCAAAATGGGAAGGCGTGCGACTACGAGACGTCCTCGCCGACGCCGGCCTGTCTCTCGAAGACCCGGGAGAGGATGCCCAACACGTCCAATTCTCAGGACTAGAAGCATATGGTGCCAGCATCCCTATCGCGCCGGTTCTCGATCCCATGGGAGACGTGCTCCTCGCGTTCAAGATGAACGATGCCCCCCTTCCACGCGACCACGGCTTTCCGGTTAGGGTGATTGTTCCAGGTCATGTAGCGGCTAGATGCGTCAAGTGGGTGAACAAGATCGTAGTGAGCGACGAAGAGAGTAATACGACATGGCAACGCCGCGATTACAAGTGCTTCGGACCAAACGAAGTCAAGCAGGATTGGGACAAGTACAAGGCTATCCAAGTGATGCCCATTACGAGCGCGATCACGCGTACGAGACTAAAGCCTTCAGAAAAGATACCAGGCGAAAATACCGGGGAGTCAGCCGAGAGATCTGTTGTTCAGATCGAAGGGTACGCCTATTCGGGTGGTGGGCGAGAGATCCAGCGTGTCGATATAAGTCTTGATGGTGGGGAGACGTGGGACCAAGCACAGCTGGTTGACGATACCAAACTCGAAAGAGGAAGTAAAGCATGGTGCTGGAAGAGGTGGCGGTACGAGGCCGGACTGTCCGAAGTTGCGAAAGGCTCGAAGGGTGCGTCGAGGACTACCCTCGTCGTCAAAGCTACGGATGACGCATATAACACCCAACCCGAGACCCACAAGAGCATATATAATATACGCGGTAACTTGGCTACAGCATGGCATCGCGTAGATCTCGACTACGCCATCGCCCCTAAGGATAGAGAAAAAGGCAGGAGTAATGAATAAATACCATCTAGCCCTATGGTAGGAAGACATGGGCCTGTTGGCCAAGGTTCACTTATTGTATACTAACGGTGTAATAAGCTTTGGTGTTCAGGTCTTATGAACCGACGCGATTTAGCTCGACCCCGGAGAATGGGAGTTCTTGGTTGATACGACTCGGAAACACAGTGTAAAACTTGTCTAGCATTAGACTGATTTAATAGCTAACAGGTAATATTTTAATATAGATTCATATTTAGATGAAGTCCATGTTTGGTAAGAACCGTGTTTATTAGTGGTAGTTATATTTAAAAAGGGTATATTATCATAATCGTTTCCTTAACACAATCCCCACACCAACGAAACGCCTCCCAAATACCCGAGTTTACATCCTTATTCCAGATGCGCGAGGCGGGTAAAACAGTGTCATATTACTGATGGAAAAGCGAGATCCATTCATATATACCTAACCATAAAGTGAATTCAAAATCGTAGTAGCCAGGGTAATTATGCGCCAGGCTGCGCGTGCGGCTTGCTGACGTTGTGACCACGGCTCCGTAGAGAGTCGATGGCATCGATGACGGTAAGAAAGGTGAAGAGAGCCCTATATAGTATATTAGTTAGTTGTTTCTTCACTACTTCATTTTATTGAATTGTGCTTGATCGTGAGAGTTAATAATAAGGGTACCCAAAGTCAGAAAGCATACCAAAGGAAGAAGCCAAAAGCAACGGCGGCCTCGGCGGAACCACAAAACGAGTCCGATCCACATTTGTAGGGCCCGCCGACGAAGACGGCGAGTGCGATTGAGCCGGCGAACCAAAAGATAGTGGTGATGGCATTAAGGGCGAGGGCTGCCAACCGGTGGAAAACGCTCGTCAGGTATAGCGGCGTCACGCCCACGTAGATCAGTACTAATAACGTCCATACCGAGTTGAATATCATGAAATTGACGCGCGATGGTGAGTAGCCGCCAAAGCCAAACCAGCTATCGTACCGACTGGCCACTATAAGATACGAGAAGTTAGCAATTCCATCTTTGTTGATTCTTGTTTTCTTTCGCTTCTTTAGGTTAGGTAGGGTATTATGTCTGGCTGGATACGGTTTATTCAAGTGCAAATAACATACAATATGCTGTTAAGCCAAGTTCGATGATGGCGAAGACGGCTGCCACGATGTGGACGATGGGGACAAACCCGTACGCCATTAGGACCGTGTTTATGGGGTTGGTGATGTAAGAGGAGTGTTAGTAGAAATAGTAGTAGCTAGTATTCGAACCTTTGTTATATACAAAGGATAAATGTTGTTCTTCTAGATAGTATGGGACTATGCGATTATGGGATTATGGAAGTGAAGCTAGATTGTTGGGTATGTTTGATTACAAGAAGCAGAGCTTTTAAGGCAGGCGAGGTTTATATGTATGAAGTATCATGGCCATTCATAGTCTAGCATGAACAGGGACTTACATGTGGCATGGCGTGGCATGACGGGGAAAGCTGGTTACGGCACATCCAAGATGCGATGACGATTCGTCCAAAGTGTGCGCGATTCGCAGCGGAAACTTGGAACTATGCTACGGAACAAATAGTGCAAGTGATCTAAGTGGTATATACCTTGGCCACTGTGTAAGTGCCATCATGTAAGTGACATGGATCTCAAGTTCTGAAAGCTCAAGTGGATGACGTGACGTGGACTGAACCAGTCGTATTTGTCCTAAGCGGCGAATAAGACGTAGACTTTGAGGCTGGGTTTAATTAGTAGACTGGTAAACTCCCATGTCATTCTCATTCGGCATTGTTATCCTAAGTTTGGAACTGACTTTTACAAAGAGAATATGTAGACAAAAAGTGCCAACTTAATGTGTTTGTCTTTCGTCATAGGGCGAAGAATATTATGACGTAATTGAGTCGATATCAAGCTTTTAGATCTGATTGCCTTATTGCCTTATTGCCTTATTGCCTTATTGCCTTATTGCCTTAGGTAACCGCAAGCAAAGTCTTTACCATATTCAGCCAATAGCTTGGCGCGTGACTAATTTGATTGGCCGATTAAGATTTAGCGGCTTTCGGATATTATAAGAACTTGAATAAGTACTGTGAGGCACGTGATCGTGATCCGAGATTTACCCATGTATTATTAAATTACATATAGCTGAGCTATGCTTAGCTTCACTGAATGTAACTTAATCAACCTATTATTTGCCTGTGGAATTTACCAATACCTAACCTAAGGTATATACAATTAAGTTGCCATATAATAAACTAAAGGTATTGAAACAACTTTGTCTTACATCTCAAATTTTGAATAGCCTAAGATCCATTTAGATTTGATACTGAATTGTGTGATGCCATTATGTTCATAACTATTAACATCTCGGTCAACGTATGAATCAAGCTATAGCTTAATAAAGGGGCCAATCCACGGGTGACAAGAGTTATCTTAAGCCCTTGAAGCCAACAGGCTATCCGGGCTGCATTATACTATATGTCGTATTGCTTTAATGGCATTATATTTGTTCTCGACGTCTTTCTCTTATAAACTAAACATATAAGTAAAACCACCTGCTCGATGCGTTCCAGTAGCATAGTCACGTCCTAATTCCTACATCTTAAAGTGAACAGACGTTTAAGAAGTATGCGGTAGCAAACACATAGAACATTAAATATGTCTAAGGACAAATACTAGATAGATCGGGTAAAAGTTACTTTCCCTCATCTCACTCGTTCTTATCAGTGCTCCCATCCCAGCTTTCATTCGTTCCGTCTTGTCCTCCCCAGCACGAACTTCTATGGTCACATCATTTGCCGTTACCAGCCTCGCTTGCGCCGAGGATCCCAAGGTCGTTAACTTCAACACTTTCATAGACGGTTTGAGAGAGGCTGTTCCTGATAAGTCGATACTAGAGTTACGGGAGAAACACCTCTTTAACTACAAAGAGTTGCTAGATGATCGTCTGTCTCCAGGCTGCATAGCTTTTCTCACAGCGCTATGCCTTCCACGTCTCAATAGAATGTTCTTCAGCGACCACTTCTCGAACTCGCAATGGGACTTACTATGAGATATCTTAGAAGAAAATACGAATCGAGGGGAGAAAACCCTGGTACATAGTGTTTGGGCTAGGCTGGACTCAGTCACTATACACGGTGAGGGGATAATAAAAGTATAGCTGTCTTACAGAACTAATTTTCCATATAGACATGCGTCACAATTATTACGCCGGCGATTATACTGCGCCACTGGCGGTGTTCGCTCTGCTGCCGGGAGTAAAACGGCTCCAGGCTTCCTGGCAAGTTGATCCCGAGGTGGTAAAGCAACCCTCGTGCCTTACGCTGCTTCCACCACATAGCACTGAGCTCGAAGAACTTATACTGCAGCCTATGTGTTGCCTCCATTCTTCCTGTTTAGATATATTACTGCGAGTACCCAAGAATCTTAGAGTATTTAAATTCGAAGTCAGAGCATTGTAAGTAATCCTATTAAATGGGTTATGGTCTCAAGCCCTGTTCTCCTTATATCTCTGGTCAAACTTAGCTCACATCACCATCAGGGCCAGTGACGATGCTCCCTTCGAATTGAAATGGCTAGAGCGCTTACTTTGTCACCAGTCCCACTCTCTAGAACACATCTCGTTTACGCATAAGTAGTATGAGGAAGACCTCAGGCTCGCCAGCGAAACCCAAATCGAACCCATGTCCTTTTCCAATTTCATCATTTTGAAGACGATAGAAATTTCACCAGCATTCGTCTTCGGTAGCTACGTGCTCCAGCTGGAAAGAAGGGGATTCCTCCGTTCGGTTGGAGTTCCCGACCCTTCGGCTTTGAGCATCGAATCTACAAAGTCGTATATCATAGAGACGCTCCCTAGGTCGATAGAAATCTTATCCCTGGTAATATGAGGGGGATTATGGGGCTTACCAAGCGAGGGAATTAGATGATTCAGATTTTCAAGGCCGAGAGGAGGAAGATGACGACGACGATGATAGTGGAGAGGATGATAGTGAAGAGGGTGAGGAAGACGATTACTAGATAATTCTTAGCATTCGGCTTGCTGGAATTTTATACTCGAGGCTTGCGGATTTGCTTTGCCCCTTGATCATACAATTTAAAAAAGAAATATTCCCGAGGCGCTTCCCGGGGCATTATTAGCTTTAGTTATTATGCCGATAAAAGAGCAGCGAGCCATCATATCATTTTCGTTACAAACCTTCGTCTTTTTTACGCGGCGTGTATTCCGTCGATGTAGTAGCTAATAGGATTTGACTCTTACGAAGCTGGGTATATAATGAGATTAAGTGTTCATAGGCCTAAAGCAGATACTACTGTGCTGACGGGATCTTGGATTATTTAAGTTACTAGAACTCCCTCCATGTTGGGGAGTAGAGGCATTCCTTATTTAGCAGCGGTCCGTTAATACATGTTGATTTTAAGCATCGATTATTGCGGTTTTCGATCATACGCTAGAATTCAGTACGTTAGCCATGAGGAACATCGAAGGTCTCAAAGAAGAATACCAAGCCTTTATGTATGTCGTATTTTTTTTTTTTTTCATTTTTTTCATTTATCTCTTTCACATGAGATGAAAGTAGGTAAACAACAATTTTGTCCCAGCGAATCATAACACGACATTGCAGCACGACCGTACTAGGATGCCACGTGCTTCCATACTGAGCTTGGTATGGTCGAGTTGAAGCATCCTGTCATCGATCTCATGTACTGTACATTGGTAAAGGGCATTTTGCTATGTATGTACTTCCTTACAAGTTAAAGCAAAAGACAAAGCGGATTATGTAGATTCTTTTAGGGATATGGTCCACTTTAGGAAGCTATCGCATTCGAAATTGTACCTAATGAAATACCTAACCTAGGCTAATCCCTGGTACGGTTGACCAGACAGGCCACTGTGCCAAAATGAAAAAAATCTGTAAGCTTAGCTTAAAAGGGGTAGTCAGCCACAGGTTAGCGCAATTAGCTCGATTTATTGCGGTACTTCGCACTTTTGTATGGGAAAAAAGGATTGTTCTTTTTAAATACATACGTTATAACGTTATATATAATATGCTTTAAAAGGATATGTTTATTTTTAATCTTTTATTTAATCAAAAGATTTAACTATACATTTAAATAACTTTACAATTCCAGCAATTACAACATTATAATTGATATCATTTTATAGCCTCAATTAAAGCGAAAATAATTATCTAAGTTGCAGGCTTATACGATGTATTGTTGTTAAGATAGGAGGTATCTATGTAAAGTCTTTTGAAAACAGTCGTCTCAAAGGGTATCACGTGTACGTACAGGTCTCTGGAATGATAGGTGTCATATATCGTTAAGTACCTCCCCCACCATACAAATTTACTACTATACACTTGTACTTTTGGAATAGTCCCAACCTCTTACTCTTTTTAAGATGCGCGCCCTTCTATTGGCTAAATCTTACACCGCCCGTCTGGCAATATCCTTATCCTTATCCTTATCCTTATCCTTATCCTTATCCTTATCCTTATCCTTACACCACATCTCTGTTACAGCTTCATATTCAATTCAATTCAATTCAATTTAAATGACGATGCAATGGCTATCTATCCTTACATATTGCTTTTACTTGGTCGCATACATTGGTTAAATACTATACGGTCGCATACAGTCATTCCGAGGCAAAAAGGCTGAACACGAGGTCTTTTTGAATGATCTCTGATATATGTATGTATGTACCTATGTATGTATGAGGCTTGCTGGCCAATCAGGAGGCTGTATTGTATAAGGCTATTTGATTAATACCCTTTGAGACGACTGTTTTCAAAAGACTTTAGATACCTCCTATCTTAACAACAATACATCGTATAAGCCTGCAACTTAGATAATTATTTTCGCTTTAATTGAGGCTATAAAATGATATCAATTATAATGTTGTAATTGCTGGAATTGTAAAGTTATTTGAATGTGTAGATGTGGTAGTTGACAATTGAATTGACAATTGAATTGACAATTAAATCCTTTAATTTGATTGGCCAATCCTTTACATGATATTGGTTAAATCAATATCTCTATTACAATAAGCCGTAATAAGGCTTGGAAGTACACATTTAATATTTTTTATATTGTGGCAAGTGACCTCCTACCAACTTTAGTTTAGTGTGCGATTACTTTTTTTCATTTTGGCACAGTGGCTTGTCTGGTCAACCGTACCTGGTACGCCACAGATAAACAGACATGCATCGTACTTCTTGATCCTATGTTTCTATTGGACAATGGCTAATCAGTCAAGGATCAAGCTGTGAGTACCTAGATATCATCTCAGCTTCGGCCGATCTCTACATGTATCATCTAACAACGCCTACTGCCTACTGCCTACTGCCTACTGTTGTTGATATGTAAACCGTGTCGGTAACCTAATAAATAGTCTTGTCCTCAGCTTTACGACCCTATTGAAATCTCAATGCTACATTCCGGGACCTCTTCCCGTAGTTTGTTCGTTTTGGTCTGTTATAAGCTTGTATTAATTGCTCGCTATGTACGTTAAGACAGCTTTGGTCGTTGCGGTCATCTTTGCTGCAAGCGAGGTATCTGCTTTGCCCAAGGTGCCCGAGTGGCGGAAGCCAAAATCGTGGAAACCTCCGGCCCAGCACCGTTTCCAGAATGCCGAGCTCGGACCCCGTCCGCAATACCTTGTGGCCGATATGGACGAAGGATGGCTGAAGAACCGGCTGTCCGCATGTTCTGACGTGGAAGCCCGGCCATCTAGGTTCAGTATCGGCCACCGCGGCGGTGCCTGTCTTCAATTTCCCGAAGAGACTCGGGAGTCCGTCGAGGCTGGCACGCGTAGTACTACACCCTATACGTATAACCTAAAGAGAAGATTACTGACTTGCTATTCAAGTGGGCGCTGGAATTCTTGAATGCGACGTCGCCTTTACTAACGACCGCGAGCTCGTGTGCCGACACGACCAATGCGATCTCCACACGACGACTAATATCGTCGCGACGGAACTGGGTGCTAAGTGCACGACACCCTTTACGCCCGTAGGAGACGGCACGCCGGCAACTGCTAAGTGCTGTACTAGCGACATTACGCTGGCCGAGTTCAAATCCCTGTGTGGGAAGATGGACGGCTACAATGCATCAGCTACCACTCCGGAAGATTTTCTTCATGGGACGCCCTCGTGGCGGACTGATCTCTACGCTACTTGCGGCACGGTTCTCTCGCACAAAGAGTTTTTGCAGCTGGTCGATTCGCACGGCCGGGATTTTACGACCGAGCTTAAGCAGCCGCGTGTGCCGATGCCTTTCGACGGTGATTACACACAAGAGAAGTACGCGCAGCAAGTGATCGAGGAGTACCGATCGGCGAGAATCGATCCATCACGCGTCTGGCTACAGAGCTTTTCGTTCGCTGACGTAGCTTACTGGCTGCGCGCTGATCCTGCGTTTGGCAGGCAAGCGGTGCTATTAGACGAGAGTGGCGATCTTCCGGGGTCTTTCCCGGCCGCCGTAGCCAATTTGTCGTTTTATAAGGATGCCGGCATACAGATTGTGGCGCCTCCGCTTCCGTACCTTGTCACGCTCGGAAAGGACGGCGAGTACGTGCCGTCCACGTATGCGACGACGGCGCGGAAGCTGGGGTTAAAGATCCTGACGTGGTCTCTCGAGCGCTCAGGACCACTCGCTCAAGCGGCAGCCGCCGGCGACTATTACTATTTGACTATCGCTAACGGTACGCACAAGGATGGGGACATGTATAAGCTTGTTGACGTTTTAGCGCGGCAAGTCGGTGTCGAAGGCATCTTCTCGGACTGGTCCGCTACTGTCACATATTATGCCAACTGCTTTGGGTTTTTCTGAGCACGAGACGGAAACTAGGGACGAGATGCTTGCAGCTGCGATTGTTGGTATGGCTTGAGGGGTCTACCTGTCTAAACGTCTGGCTAGACACGGCAGTAGAATCCGGCCTGTGTTTCAACGGAATTATGTAGAGAGGTGTCTCAGCTGTAAAAACAACGTGCTCTTGTATTGCGTGTCCTAAACGCGAGCATGCATCTACCTGTTAAGCAATAGTAGTTTAATAAGACTGCTGGTATAAACATGTAAACCGAAAGGAGGGCCATTCTCGTTTAGCAGTACGCGAAATAGAAAAAACTTATAGCTCCTCTTTTCTGATGGATAGTTGCCTTACTCCGGAGTTGAGCGCCTTAAGATGTGCCCATTTTGGCGCGTCCTCACCTAATCCCCATGCGAATACGCCGCCTAGCTTTTCCTTTTCAACGATGCGAGGGAACTTCTTAGCGACGGCTAGCGGAGTATCAAAGGTCCACCAGATAGCTTCATCTTGATCCCAGTAGTAGTAACCACCCCCAACTTCATCGTAACTCCCTTTTGTAATGGCTTTGTTGAACGATGACTCGACGTCTTCAGGGACGGTATCGCGCCACGAGAAGGACCCCGCTCGGCCCAGGTCAACGCCCGTGTCTGGGTCTTCCATATAACCGGTAGGACAGCCGATTGGGTTCTCCACGCACGGCGCGAGCTCAGTGCGGAAATACTTTGCGTAAAAAGCAAAGCCGAGGTTAATCTTGTCGCGTGTTGCACCCCTTTCCAAGTACGCATGCACAGATTCCAAGCTAGCTTGAACGCCGGTGTGGTGTTTCGTCACATTATCGCGGCGGTTCATCAGGTCGTAAGTCATGACGTTCAAGAAGTCGAGAGATTCCATAATACGGGGGACGGTCTCAGCTTTAAATGCGAGCATATCTCTTAAGAGACCTGGTACTGCTGCCGATATAATTTTATCCGGGCCCAGAGCCTTGCGTATATCGGCGAGAAGCTCTGGATATGCGGCGACTTGCCAGGTTCTCTCCTCGTTGGGAACCTTCTTCCAGTCTTCGCCGTTGCCTCTTTGATGTGTATTAGTTTCACACCATAGAAAACGCTTGGGCTAAAGGTAAAGTGGGGGATAAGACGTACGCCGGATACTCCCAATCAATATCGACGCCTGCGATGTGCTAAGCGTCAGCGGGAAATACATTTCTATAAGCGGCACTAAGTAAGGTTCGTAAACTAACCATCAGCACCCGTATCGTGAACCATGGCCGCTACATTTTGAGCAAATCTCGCGCGGCTCTCATTCGTACGTGCGCCGGTATCGAAACCGGCTGAGTCACCCCAGCCACCGATGGCTACTATCACTTTGGTTCCGGGGTTGAATTTAGAGCGAGCTTCACTAACGGTCATGAACAGAGGCCAGGCAGAGTTGCCGAGGGGACGGTTGAATAGGTCAGGGCTCATGAACGCCATGGCTACATGAGTGATAGGCGAGCTAAGAGGTAGTTCGGGTGTAATGGGATGTTGTCTAATACACTATCATTAGAACGAGAACGGGAGCTGGCGAAGCACAGCCTACCCTGTGAGGTACATGATGTTCCGAAGAGGCGTAGTCGCAGAAACCATCGCAGCAACCGAGAGGAGGCATGTTAGTGACTTTTGAAAGACAGTGGGAATCATGTTGACGGTTGACTGAGAATTACAAAAATGATGTTGAAGGGAGACGGATCATATTCTTTTTGGGGGGTTTAAAATTTAGACTACATGTACCTAGGAGGTAGATACCTGCCTAGGCAATGATTAGGTAGGTAGGAGGTGGATTTATATTTAATACGCACCTCCTTCTTGAATTATTATGTAGGTACCCGTCAATCTTGAAATATCAACGGCGTCGTAGCTGCCTTCTAAAGTTTCTCATCGTTTGTTATTTCAGAGATACATGTAAGTATAGGTACCTCCTAGGTTAGTGGATTTCGGCAGCGGGAGTTAGCTCTTATACCCTTGCACGATATGCCTCTAATGCAGGGGCAGCCCCGGAAGATATTGATCAATTGAGGTTTCCCCTATTAATAAGCTTTTTCGGTTACCAGTTTAAGGTCACATTGGAGATCTCGGGAGATCGTCCTTTTCACCCCCCAAATATCGTCAGAGGCCGTCGCCTACTTGGTTGTCATAAATCCTCACATCCAGTAACATCAAGCAGATAATAGCGGTTCTTCATCTTCTCGTCTTGATGCTGAAGTATCCTGTGTGATTTCTCTTGTCTACGTATTTGTCTAACTGGAATAGACTACGTCTAATATACAGATGGAAGACCCAGCCGGATGGTTCAAGAAAACTAAACGAGTGGTAGGCTACCGTAGTAGAAGCCCACTAGGTATGCGTATTGATAAACCCCCCTGCAGACTCACGCGTATCCCAGTGCTATTTGGGTTTAAAATATAGGTATTTATTCGATTTTCAAAAGCATCGAGCTATTCCATATCTTGCGGTATTGTGTGACGATTCCCCTCGTTGAATAGTTTCCCTACCTTTTTTACTTATCTTAATTCGAAATAATCTTAACTATTAACATTCTCTTGGAGTCGAGTATGTTGTCGGCCATTTAACTCGACGAGGATGGAATCCAGCCTGGATTTCAATGACCCGTGGTATTCGGAGATGACAATAAGCAGTAGTAGTGAGATCGTTGTCGCAAGGTCGGAAGATGTAGACGACGGGTTTGAAGATGCCGGCTTTGATACCGCGTCCGCAAGCAAGTTTGGGAGTGTTCCTTCGTCTATATACCGTCATGCCTACGAGAACGGCCGAAGAGTATTACCAAAATATTCGGATCTAAAATATGGATTACTAACCGTCTCACGATAGTATCATAAGTATCGATACGGAGCTTGTAGGTTGGTTATTCCTCCGACCGTTTAGTCTGTCATCGGTCTTTTTACTTTAGAGGATAAGCCCATGCATCTTATTACACCATTGCGCCTACAGCTTCATAATTGTAAACCGCTCCTCCAAGTATCCACAGCTAATATATGCTATAGATCTCATACCAAATGACGAGACTGAGCAGAATAGGGATGACATCAAACATGTAGCAAGCTTAGAGCTCACGAGGTAAGACTTACTCTATAACGTGACAACGAGAAGGATCCTATTACTCACAGATGGTAAAGAGGCAAATACTTTTTTGCGCCAATCGGTGAAACCCCCCAGAAGATAATAGATTTAGGTACTGGAACCGGGTCTTGGGCTATCGAAGGTGAGTTGAATCCTTAAATGTTACAGGCGTCGCTTAAACCTGTTTTGCTAAGTTTTATCGTTGGAACTTTTGTAGTCGCCGATATGTTCCCCGGCGCCCAAGTTGTCGGGTGCGACTTGAGTCCTATTCAACCTTTCTGGGTCCCCAGTAACGTCAGTTTCGTTGTCGACGACATCGAAGACGAATGGGTTCATGGCGACGATTGGGATCTTGTTCACATTCGTCAGGTCTTCTCAGCGATTAGAGACCCCCCTGGAGTTTGCAAGCAGAGTTTCAGGTAAGTCCGGTCTCGAAGACATCGCCTCTTATAATTTGCGTAAGCTGAGGAAAGTGACCAAAGCCATCTCAGACCTGGCGGTTGGATAGAAGCCCAGGATTTCGGCGGCATTTTGAAATGCGACGACGATACACTGCCTACAGAATCTCTACTCTCTGAATTTTACGACATGACAAATGAAGCGTTGTCTAAGCTTGGGTTAAGGTGGTCTATTGCGAACGACATGGAAGAAGTGCTTAGGGATGCTGGCTTCATCAACATCCAGTGCAAAAGGTTCAAATCTCCCATCGGCGTCTGGCCGAAGGTAAGTGAGAGAGTACTTAGGCCAGTAGAAATATGCGTCGTGAGTTGATCTGACCTAAATCTATAGGCCAAGAGGCTCCGCCTGATCGGGCTATATCTAAGGCTATCCTTTGCGGACCTCATGGATGCTCTCGCGCCCAAGGTCTTCCCAACGCTTTCGAAGTCGACAGAACAGATGGAGGAGTTCCTTGCGAGCGCGCACGACGAATTGCAAGAAACCAATGCCCATATATACCTTGATTATTATTTTTGGTATGCTCAAAAACCTTTGAACGATTAAGACAACGATGAATTCTATATCGTTATAGGTAGAGTCAAATAGCTATAAAGCAGTGAATATTATGCCCTGAGAAGGTCAAACAAAACTCTCAAGGTTCCATGGGTATATTTGCAGGTCGAAGTAGAGTGCCATGATTAAGGACTCCTTAATATAGCCCATTAATCAGCTGGTATTAGGTGGATCTAATGGACAATGAGGTTATAGGCCTGGTCAGAAAAAGGAAGCTTGCCATATTTGCGAGTAGAATTAGGGGTTGAGGACTTATACACTGTTCCGTATACTTTGTACAGTACCTTTTATTGGCATATGCATATAAACACTATCTCGTAAAACTTACATCCTACCAACTGCATATAGCTTCCTTATCCGATATCAATTTCTAGTCCTTTTTTTATTTTATTTCTTGCCCGTTGAGTCCAATTCCACATATTCCATCTTACACAGAGGTCCTTGGAATATTCACCCGATTTACCAGGATATGGGAAATATGAAGCAGATCTTTAATTAGAAGAGTTTCTGGATTATGTCAATTGCCATGTCAATTGACACCCGCCCATCATGTTCGAAAATCTCTGCACCTTACCTCTAAGCGCCGATCTCTTCTCCCAGGCCTTGCATCCGACAGAACCTCTCCTGGGAGTCGGCCTCTCGACTGGACACGTCCAATGTTTTCGCCTACCTTCTGCCGACCGATCGACCGAGGATGATGCCGACGTGAGTGTCCTGTCAGACGGTAAAGGCACCATTGAGACCGTATGGAGAACCAAAAGGCACAAGGGCAGCTGCCGTACACTGGCATTCAGTAACGATGGCTCAGGTTAGTCGGTTAGATTCTGTACTAGAATTGATAACACAAAGTTAACATGCAAGGCGGATAGCTCTATACTCAGCTGGTACTGATTACCTCCTCAAACACTTTTCTCCTGTAACCGGTCAGGTAGCCTCTAAGATCGCTATCCCATCTACCAAATCGGTCCCGGATTCACCTTCTCTACTACACGTTCTCTCGCCCCAAACGCTCCTACTTGCATGCGACTCGGGCGCCCTCCACCTTCTCGATCTAAGAGACGGCGCGCTTGCGGCATCGAAACCGCAACAGACGCATTTCCCTCACGATGACTTCGTATCGAGCATCACCGCGCTTCCCCCGTCCGCCGAAAGCACGAGCGGTTACAGCAAGCAATGGATTTCTACTGGTGGGACGACACTGGCCGTCACCGACCTGCGAAGAGGCGTTCTGGTGCGTAGCGATGACCAGGAAGATGAGCTTCTATGTACGGCCTTCATTCCGGGCATGGGACCTAAGAAAAACCGCGAAAACGGTGTCGTGGCAGTGGGAACTGGTACCGGGGTTCTTACTCTATGGGACAAAGGAGCTTGGGACGATCAGCAGGATCGCGTCGTTGTCGATCCCGTAAAGGGAGGCGGCGAGAGTCTCGACTGTATCGTGCAGATTCCCGAAGATGTAGCGAGAGGAAAGAAGGTGGTCGTCGGCGTAGGAGATGGTAGCTTGCGCATTGTTGATTTGGCAAAAAGAGAGGTCGAGACTTACTTGCGCCACGACGACATCGAGGCGGTTGTCGGTCTAGGGTTTGACTGCCAAGGCCGCATGATTAGTGGCGGAGGACAAACGATCAAGGTTTGGCAGGAATCGCCTTCGCTAAGGCCGGACGCCGACGATAGCGACGAGAGTGGCGATGTGGACGAATCGGACGACGACGACGACGATGACGATGACATGGATGAGAGCATAGTGGTCGGAAATGGGGCTAAGCGCCATGCAAACGGAGACTCAGATGATAGCGACTCAGATAGCGACGATGAAGGACCGAAACGAGGCAAAAAGAAACGGAAGGGAAAGGTGAATGTCGACCTCGGACCTCACGGAGCCCATGGGATTTTGCGATTCAAGGGCTTAGATTAGGTGATGTTATGTGCACCGTATATGCCATACAGAATATAAAGTAGCCTTCATTCTAAGTAACTAATGAATGTAAGTACGAATACTATGTAGAAGGTAGGTATACACGGAATACATTTACATATATTTTCACAGCAGTATCTCTCTTGGTTCCAACCAAGAAGGTTCTTGGTATGTCTAGGTATTCTTGGGGGACCTAGGTACCTATTGCCCCTTGTTACCCCGAACCAAGTGTGCGGAGTAGCTCCGCAATTAAGCACCGCAAGCTAGGTACTGCGGGGTACTCACAGTTAAGTACATGAAGTAGTGTAAGCTCCCGCCAAATGATGTAATGTAAGTGACCGGTGAGGGCCAGTTAAATTCCTTGTCATCAAATTACCCCTATCCCCCCCAATCATAGGTACTTTCCAAGCATTTCTCAAAAGGGGAGCCATCGGTTTTAATGATATGATCTAATATAATAATATAATATATAATATATAGGTAGATACCCGGCCAGCCTTCGGTCATAGAGACGCAGCAACCCTTTCGGAAACGGGTACGTCAACCCTCAACTTCATATCCTTGACTAGCTTCACCCAAGCAGCAGCACCCCGGCTTGCCAATTCTTGAGGCACCACCTCGTCTGTATCCGACATCCTCTGGTTAAAGAGCTCCATGCTTACCCAACCTTCAAACCCGAGACCTTGGAAGATGGCCCGCGATATCTGGGCAACGGGAAGATAGGCACCGCGTTCCTCCTCGCCGTAGAAGAGCCTACAGTTTCGAGACCAACTCATTCGTGCGGGCTGTGACGCGTCGTAGAATTCGTGGCCTTCCACTAAAGGCTCGGCAAGCCGCGCAGCATCGACCACCTGAACATAGAAAACCTTGCTGACATCCACTGTAGTTACGAGTCGAGCTATAGAGTCCCGTACAGCTTGGTCGCAATTCGGAGTGCGGCCTGTCGGCGAGGAGGGATCGGCATAGATACGGCCAGCAATATTGAACGTATCGAGGCAGAGACCAAAGTTGGGCCGGTCTACAGCCTGTACTATGTCCCAGCTCTGCTCCCACAGGTCGCAGCGAGTGCCCCAGCATAGCGCTTCATATACAAAGCGTATCGGTGGTTGCTGCGCGAGGCCCATGTCAGCCACTTTTCTAAGGTCGGCGACCGCAATGCGAGCATCTTCTGAAAGTTCGGACGACGGCAGGAAGTTGGACGGGATCTGCACGGTATCTGTACCAAGGACCCTTGCGAGTTGAAACCAAAACGTAAGCTGCTCTATGCGCTTGAGGTGCGCTCGGCGATCTAGCAATCCTTCGTAGTGTGCAAACGGCTGCAAGCATACTATTGCGAGTCCCCTCTCGTGGCAGAGCCTTCGGATTATTCGAGCCGCTTCGAGCTCGTTATCAGCTGTCGACCCTCCAGGTAGTTGCTGGGCTAGGTGTAGCAGGTCCTCATGGAAGAGCTCGATGCCTCTATAACCGTACAGCCGAGCCATGTCCAGCTTATGCGCGAGCGGATGGCCCGCACAACAGCGTCCGAGAGACATGGACGTGATGGCTAATCTGCAGGGCATATTGCTACGCATGGTGTAAGGGAAGGTCTGGTAGAGAAGATGGACTCCTAGTAGCATTCTCGAAGGATCTAACGATAGGCACCTAAATATTTAAGTAAAACTGGCTCCTAAAGCATGTCGATGAGTGTAGATCACGATCGACCGTCGAATCGATTATAGCAAGGACCGTGACATCCGTTAACAAACTGCGGCGCCTCCGAGTCCTGGAGACGAGAGTTAGGAGCGGGCCCCTGCGTCAGATGACATAGCACTTCCGAGGAGCCAAGTGGCGGAGATGATTTCTCTGAAGTAACAAGGGCGTCGCGTTCGATACAGGCTAAAGCTGTGGCCGCTCGTTCTGGTGGATAGACAAGTCACCAGTAGAAGGGATAAGCTACTTAGACTACGATGCTTTTGGGACAGCTACCCTTAGCTTTTCATAGCTAATACCACGAGGGGCACCCGAACAATGATTAGCCATAGTTAACATTATATATAAAGCGATTTCTGCTGTATTTGGGAAACGATACAGGTCGCCACGAGTAACAGCTGGCTCGGAGGCTGAGATGCAATACCTTCGTACGTACCAAGTCACGCGCCACTTAGGTGATTAATTAGCCCAGGTGAGACATGTCTCCTAGCGGGTTGAAATTAAAGCAAACGGTCCACGGGTGATTACATATGACAAGCGGCATTCTAGAGATCTGGTTACATTGCACGTTTTGTCGGTCGTAGAACGAACATTCTCTGACACGGAAGTGAAGAATAAGCGAGGAAAAGACTGGAAGTGCAACTTGAGCACTATGAAGTAGGCTTGCTTGATATTAAGATCGTACGAAGCGTTCCGGGTATGGTATATCATCTTGATCGTGTAAGGAGTAAACAGAGAAGACAGTTACTTCTACGTCTATTTACTAGACTCGATTCGCACGTTATGTTTCATTATTGTTCTCGACGCGCACCGTCCTTGAAAAGTACCCAAGACTCGGTCACGGCATATAACCCAGACAGTTATGTCTTACACAGACCCGTCGTCAGTGTTACCTAGGTACCGAGGCTACTAATGTCCCACACCGTATTACTGTGAATTATTTATGTATACATGTTGTTTTTGGGGGACCTACAAAGTACCTCTTACCTATAACACTGTACATACCTGTATCAGGGAGGCGAATAACAGTGCTACAGTAATAATCTAGTGTAACATAGCAGTTTAGAGTCGTCTACCAGATCTCTACTTGATTTTGAAGCGAGCAGGAGAAAGCACATACGTCGAGCAGCCGATTATGCTGAGTAAAAGGTAATGAATTTATCCTGTAGGATTTTTTATGATCCAAGCTCCAAGCTTTGGTCTTAGGAGTATTGCGGCTGCTCTTAGAAAACGATACCCTTCGAATTGACAGCCGTTAAATCTAAAGTTCGAAGTGGCTTCTCGAGCTCTTAAGGCACGGCCACTGGGATTTTTGTCATCTTTTCCGGACGACGCCTAGCCCTATGTAGAGGTATTAAATAATGATGTATCATTTCATAGATAATATCCAGCCCTGCCTAAATTAAGTAGTTATATAGTTCCTATGTTGAGGTCGACATAGATAATTCACCTAGGTAATTGAGAATGACGGATTAATAGTTGGCTGGGAGGCAGGTATATAGCTAAGGTATCCCTTACGCCGCGACTGCTACATATAGCTCTCGAGTATAAGCATAAAGTATATCGTCAAGCATATAACGCCTTCACAAAATAAACCCAACCGCAAGGCGGCGAAAGGCGACGAGCCCGGAGCACGGCGTCATAGGCCGGAGACACCCGCACCGGAATTCGCGGTGATCCTGCATGTCTCGGGTGATTCGCCGTGGGAGCTAAAACAAAGAGCCGCCTTCTTAACAGAGCATCTACTGTCCTATGGCTGTCATGTGGGCGTAAGAGTAGAGGGACACACTCAATACTAGGCTTAACACTAATATCAGTTCTTGATACAAAAAAGTAGCCCTTATCTAGATGGAGAGACTATAATAAGGCGTATTGTTATCATGTGTTATTACTATCTGTTTTATGTAGGTACATAAGGTAATTCAGCCTTCTATCAACTGTTCTATCAGATATGTATAACTATCAGATATATCAGATACCGCAGAGCCAAAGTCGACTAGCGCAAGCCGGGGGGCGACAGGGGTTTATGGGGGTGGCTCTCCACTTTGTTCCCTTCTTATCTATAACCAGTCAGCGTTTGTTGTCCTAGCTATCAGAAGGATTTTATCAATTCAGCTCTTTTCATTCCGGATTATGAATGGCCAATTGATTCGGATATAACATCCGAGATGAGCAAGATAGAGGTAGCTACCTAGGTAAGCTACCTGTAGGCATGGGGTTCCACTGACTGATATCTCTGACAAACGGAAGCGTCAAAGTCTCGGTTTTGAATTTCAGCTACACCAAATTTTTTTTTTTTAAATAAAAATTTAAAGAGGCGTATTCCTTGAGCTGCAGACGGCCTACAGCGTAACTAGTCAGATGATAATATCGGTTAGCTCCGCTATACCATCTCGCTAATATACTCTTTTGCTATCAGGCGCATACCGTGAGATCAGAGTTAGCTCTAGATACGCGCGGCGTGGTAAACAAGATAAAATAGGAAAATTTTTGGCACCTCCATGATGATCCTTGCTATTTACTAATAAAGCAGCCCTGCTCCTCCAGCAACTTTAAGTTCCAAGGTTAGCAAGATTGCTTAAGTGCTTGCTTAGCTTTCATCTCGCATTTAATAACGTATGCGTATGAGGCTTTTGCCCTGTCAGACTTTGCTCGAAATACCATCTCGTCTGCGCACTCGAGCCTCCGAACGTAGTATCGCCCGAAATAATAAGTTCGCCGACGACGAGCTCCGATTACACCGGTGACACTAAACCGGATAATGAGACTCGAACGGGATCTGTATACCTTGACTACCTCCTACCTTACTTAGGCAATATCTTGGTATCTACTGTACCCATCTCTGGTATACATACCACTTCTCGAGTTTTACTCTTAGAATTTCCTCCCTACTTGCGTCCTCAATTCCCAGTCGTCCAAAATGGACGAGGATCAGGGCCCATCCCAAATCGTGCCTCAACACGAACCGAAAAAGACCTTGAGCAGCCGACTTAATGGAGTCAAGAAGACGTTCTTCACGAAACAAGGGCTTGTGGGCGACTACGATTATGCCTTTCTTCTCAGGCCAAATCTACCGTTTATGAAAAGGTCTCGACAAGCTTCACCTTTCTTCGGCCTCAACGATAAGATGCCAGTCGTTTTGGCACTTGTCCTTGGCCTCCAGCATGCCCTAGCGATGTTGGCTGGAATTATCACACCTCCCATTCTCATGTCGGGATCAACCGGTGTTAACTTCCCTGTCGATATGCAGCAGTATCTAGTCTCCACAGCCCTGATCGTCTCTGGTATACTCTCTATGATCCAGATCACTAGATTTCACATCTACAAGACGCCGTGGGTAGCCCTACTCCCCCCCCAGTGTTGCATTTGTTATCGCGACAGAATTCTCTTCCACGCTCACGTAAATGAGACTTACTAGCGCATATAGATATTATATTGGAACAGGACTTATCTCCGTTGTCGGTATCTCATTTTCCATCATCCCCGTCGCCCAGGGGGCGTTTGCGCAAATGTACGCCAATGGTTTCTGTCCGACTGACGCGGACGGCACGAAGCTCCCATGTCCCGATGCTTACGGCGCGCTTCTCGGGACCGCGGCGGCGTGCGCTCTCATCGAAGTGCTCATCGCTTTTATACCGCCTAGCATCATGCTGAGAATTTTTCCTCCCATCGTTACCGGTCCGACGGTGATGGTAAGCCTACTGCGCTTCCGGGTTGAGCATCTCGCTAATTTTCTATAAAGTTGATTGGAATCAGCCTCATCGAAACTGGTTTTAAGAACTGGGCCGGAGGCAGCGGGCCTTGCGCGGACGCCACGCACGCAGCGTTCTTTGATGTCTGCCCCAATGTAGGCGCCCCTCACGCCTTGCCATGGGGGTCGCCAGAGTATCTAGGTAGGCTACTATACTCATCAACGTAAAGAGAATTATTAGTATTGATATGCATACTACTAGGTCTTGGTTTCTCCGTCTTTCTCACAGTAATTCTCTGCGAACGCTTCGGTGCTCCGATCATGAAGTCTACGAGCGTCATAATCGGTCTCCTCGTCGGCTGCATTATCGCCGCTGCGACGGGTTACTTTGACCGTTCGGGAATCGATGCCGCCCCGGTCGCCTCTTTCGTATGGGTTCACACGTTTAAGCTTACCGTGTATGGACCCCTAGTCCTACCTGTGCTGGCAGTTTTCATCATCTGTGCGTGCGAGTCTATCGGTGATATTACGGCTACATGCGACGTGTCGCGCCTCGAAGTAGAAGGAAGGATGTACGAATCCCGTATCCAAGGTGGTGTGCTGGCCGACGGCCTGAACGGCATCCTCGCTGCTCTTATGACGATTACGCCCATGTCTACCTTTGCCCAAAATAACGGGGTCATCGCTCTTACGCGCTGTGCGAATCGGACTGCCGGATACTGCTGCTGGTACGTCTTCTTTGATTTTGACTTTTGGGTTTTTATCTTTTTTTTATATCTTTCTTCTTTTTTATCAATCTTGGTACTAACGGTTGGGTGGGAAAAGCTTCTTCCTTATAATAATGGGCGTTTTTGCGAAATTCGCCGCCGCTCTCGTCGCTATTCCTTCTCCCGTGCTCGGGGGTATGACTACGTTTCTATTCTGTTCGGTAGCCGTATCGGGCATAGCAATCATATCAAGAGGAGTCCCGTTTACCCGTCGAAATCGATTCATCCTGACTGCCGGATTGTCGATCGGATATGGAGGTTAGTTTCGTTCCCCTCGCCCCTCGCCCCTCGCCCCTCGCCCCTTAACCTCTCTTCAGCCCTCTATATGGGGTATGTTTACGGAGTATGCTAACGAGAAGAAAATAGCGACTTTGGTTCCGACCTATTTTGCAAATGTATTCAGCTATAGCGGCGACAATAGAAGTCTTCAAGGATTCCTGGATGCTATCGTGTTGATTATGGAGACAGGTTTTGCCGTTACCGCGTTCGTCTGCATCATCCTCAATCTCGCGTTAGAAGAGGAGATAGAAGAGACGGACGAAAAGTTGGTGGCTACCGACGAGCCCATAGCGTCTAAGGGTATAGTCACCAATCGTCAGAGCCTAGATAGTAGCAGGAATGCCTCGGGTCATGAGAAACATGGTTGATCAATACCGGCGGCGTGCGTTTTTATATTGTACCTGAGATATCTAGGTTAGGTAGGTTAGGTACCAATGTATAATGGCGAATGTTTGAATACATACGAGTATCTTTTTTATCATTTCATGAATATGAATAAACACCCTTATCAGCTATGTAATTAGGTACTTCACGTATATATGTATGTCCATTTTATTGCTTTTAGTTGTCTACCTCGTATAAGTTCGAATCTTGGTATAAGTGGATCGTACCTAAAGTGTGTCGATGTTCATATCGAGGTTTATACGCTATCGCTATCGGATAGCCTACAGAAAGGCCCCCTCTAATCGGTATCGGTATAGCGGGAAAACGGATTAGCCGACCTTTCATTTTCTCGTATCAAATCGTTCCATCCCACGATCCCGCATCTTCAACAATCGGCGTTGACTCTCCACACCGGCACGTTCGAGACCCATGCGCCTAGCTCTGTCCCTTGACCAACGCAATTGGCGACATGAGCTGCAGTCAGTATGCGCCTACGGCCTCCCGGATATCTACTCCGTCCTTCCACTCTCGGTAATGTCTGCTGGCGGTGCAGTCAACAGCTAAGCTATGGGAATTCGCAATTTACAAGGACCTTCGCCCACGCCGCCCCTGTAGCACCGAAGCAACAATCTCGACTAAAGGCCGGATACTTTTTGTCTAACAAGATTCTACCTCGATCCCATGATGGTTCAAGTCCCCAGTCGTTTGCGGCCTCAACCGCCCCCGACGAAGCCAGCAAAGCTACCACTACGAGCCAAGTAAACCAACATCTCCCTCACCGGCGACGTCAAGCAGCAAAGCGCCACGCTGCCAATTTACCTGATTCAGCCCCGCCAGCTGATGCTGAAACTCCTCTCCCGCAAGATGCCTCATCTGCGCTTACGACGGAGTCTACGAAGCATCCCGCCAATTCTTTCCGTCGACAGCTGTCCCTTCTCCTTTCCCTGTCGAAACCTCGCCTTACCATCCTAGTCGTTCTCACAGCTATGGCGCCCTATGCGCTATACCCCGTACCGGCCTTTCTCTCTCCGTCTATCGGTCTAGACACGCCCTCCCTCTCGCCCTTAACCCTGACCTTTCTCACGACCGGCACCGCGCTCTGCTCCGCTAGCGCAAATGCTCTTAACATGCTCTACGAACAAGCTTGGGATGCCAAGATGACGCGCACGCGAAACAGACCCCTCGTTCGGGGCCTCTTATCCGAACGTAGGGCTCTCGTCTTCGCCGTTCTTGCTGCCGTTGCCGGAGTCGGTAGCCTTTACTTCGGCGTAAATCCTACAGTCGCCTTCCTCGGTGCTGCTAACATCGCACTCTACGCCGGAGTTTACACGCCAATGAAACGTGTCTCGTGGCTGAACACTTGGGTCGGGGCGGTCGTCGGAGGCATACCGCCGCTTATGGGTTGGGCTGCGGCGGCTGGTGAATCCGCGACGGGAGACGGATCATTCCGCGAACTCCTCTTTACGACGGATGCGATCGGCGGTTGGCTGCTTGCCGCGCTCCTGTTTGCCTGGCAGTTTCCTCACTTCATGGCTCTGTCGTGGCCTATAAGAGAAGAATATAAAGCGGCCGGCCACAAGATGCTATGCTGGATCAACCCTGCTCGCAACGGACGCGTAGCGCTAAGGTATAGCTTGTTATTCTTCCCGCTGTCTATCGGACTTTGCGCTGTAGGAGTAACAGAGTGGAGCTTCGCGGTGACAAGCCTACCGGTCAATTTCTGGCTGGCGCGAGAAGCGGTGCGGTTCTGGCAACAGGAAGGCTTCAAGGGGAGCGCGCGGGGGTTATTTTGGGCCAGCATTTGGCACCTACCAGTCATCATGGTACTCGCTCTCGTTCAGAAGAAGGGGATGTGGGGGCGAGTTTGGAGAAGCATCGTTGGAGAGCCAGATCTCGAGGACGAGTACGAGGACTGGGTCGTAGACCAAATCAGCCAAGAAGCTGAGGCCGCTGATGGCGAGGCCCAAAAGGCAGTGCCTCCTATTGGATCCGAGTGAGGTACCACCCAAGTCGGGCTTCTGCAGAGCTACTCGAGACGGCGGCCTAGAACGAACCAAAAATTAATATGTAACATATCTTGTCGAATGTATAAGATGGATACTAAAACGACGCCTGGTCAAGCATATTGCATTATTCAGATGCGTGCAATCGACACGAAGTCAGGATAATCACTCGAACTAAGGAACGGGCGCACTATCGCAATTCCTACGATTCCCACGTAGCTGAATGATCTAATGATTAATACTCTTATGTCTGGCTATACCTAAGAACCCCTTATGAGCTCAACAAAGTAATCACCGCCCTTAATCCTGTGGTATCTATGCAATAAAGATCTAGTATACAGTGCATTGGATAGTCATAAGTTTTCCGGCGCAGAAATGCAGTCATTAGCTGGTAGACAAATACCTCGGGCCCAGCAACCCCAATCCCCTGGTTTTGATCCGCGATAAATAAAGGAGGGTTGCCATAGTCGATAGCACGACAAAATTCCCCCGAACAATTATAAAGGAGCGTAGACTCGTTCTTTTAGCAGTCCAATCTTCATCCGCTGTACTCTCTGTATCCCCATACCGCCCAGCATCTTCCTCGCAACGACGAGCTGCTCGCCGGCAGTTCCCTCGCCTTCCCACCCTCCTTTATATTACCAAGACTCGCCATGCAATGCTTACGCCGTGAACGCCTAGGAAGCAATGCCGCAGTAAGTAAAAAAAGAAAGTAAATAATAAGCAGTGAGGTTGACAATGAGCAACGTTGGCCGCGCCCCGATCCGCTAGAAAGTCGCAAGTCCAGATTTTGTAGATTGGGAAACCCGTTACGACGGGATAATGAAAATGAATGCGCCTCAAGGTAGAAAGTAGATAACGAGCAGAAAGCTGAATGCGAGATTATGAACACCGACCCTGATGACGCCAAATTATGTCTTATTCACATGCCGTGAGCATGACCGCCGTTGTGACCCGGTCGATTAATTATGGCGTCGATGCCCATGTCGACGCTGGGGAGCCTCTGCCCGTCGCCCATATAAGGAGAGCCTCCCTGAGAATGAGAGCCGTGCATCGCGTTGCCGTAATGAGCGGCCGCGGCCGTAGAGGAGACGGAGGAGCCGTAGCTGGAGGAGAGCCCGCCGGCGCTGGTGGTGTAATTGGCGCCGTACGGGTTGCTGCTGAGAGCCATGGGATGCATGGCACCGCCGTAACCGCCACCGTTACTGCCGCCCGAGTGCGAGCTAGACGCTGTCGTCTCGGGGCTGCTGTAAGAGGCGTCGAGGTCATCTACTGGAGTCAGACCAATGCCTGAAATGCCGCTATCGTCGTCATACCCATGCATTGGATGGCCAGATTCCAGCCTCTCCCGTCGCGCTGCTGACCGAGCTGCCGACTGCAAGTTCTTCAGACCGTTGTTCATGCACTATAGCAAAGGGTGACCTTTTATTAGCCGACATTCCTAGCAAATCCGCCGAAAGAAAAGAAGGGGGAATAAACTAACCTTAGCCTCGACAACTATCCACTTCTCTCCCGTGCGCGCTGCAAGCGGCTGCCAGATTTCTTTGCGCATGCTCATATACTCTTTGGCCAGGCGTTCCAGCTTCCTGTTGTCCCAGTCGTCGGCACCCTTTCGCTCCATCAACCGCTCGTGGCGCTTCCGGCAGGCGTTAGGCGACTTGTTCGGAAAGTAGCTGCTTTGGATCTGAGCCCAGTTGAGGCCCTGCTGCCTTGCCGCCAACAAGTTCTGATCATCCTGGACCGTCCAGGCTCCGGAAGAAGGACGATTAGGCATCGGGGCCTGAGTCACTACGTCCGCGGGGTAGGGATCGTACGGCTGGGCCTGCATGGGAGGCTGCGCCGACGTTGAGGCGATATTAGGGTAATATCCTCCTGTATTTAAGGGTAGAGATGGTCGTGTGCTGTAGATGGGTACCGGAGCCGACGGGGCGAGGGATACAGGCATGGCGTTCGGGTTCGAGTAGCGGTTATGGCTCGAGCTGGACGAGCGAGTGTGCTTCGGCATATTCATTGGTGGTAGGCGTAACGGGGAGATGGCACATAAAAACCAAAACGTAAAGAAGCAGGGTTACCAGGCAAAGGAAAGGGTATCAGTTCCGAAGAGACGGGCAGGGTTATTATGATTAGCGATATCTGGGTTGATTCCCCACGTCTGCTCGAGAAGCGGTTGGATAGGTAAAGCTTCTTCGTATCTTTAAGCCTCGCCGGGAGGAGAGGTAGTTACCAGGAAAGGCAATGGCAAGAATTTGAGGCAGCTAGGTCGATGACTCGTATCAAACGAATGATGATGAAACGAACGAGGCTGTCAAGGGAAGATAGAACAAGGAAACAAAACGAGAACAGCTTTTAGTTAAGAGAAGACGGAAAAGAAATCGGCCGTTTGATGCTGTAGCGAGAGGGTCCGGGAGGAAAAGGTAATAGACGAGACTAGGTCGCGAAATGGGCGCCGTTACTTATAAGGATAGCGGCCGCCTCGGACGACTCGGGTCCAACTAGACGAGTGATAGATAGAGATGGGTAGAAAGACAAGTGCCTGGCCTGCTATTGCAACGCGGGACCCAGGACTGCGGATCTGAAACAAAGCTGTCATGGCGACAGAGGCAGATCTGGAGCGATTGTCAGCTTGGGGGGGCCGACATGCAAGCCGTAGTCATGAAACCTGGGTTGTGTATCTGAAAGAGTGGATAGGCTCTGTGTAGGCCGTTGATATTGGCTGACGAGCTTCGGGATGGCGTCTGTCTGGAGTTGGGCGGCTACGGAAAAGTGGCCTGGTGTGGAGGGCGGCTAATGGGTATAATGTATAATGGTACATCCAAGGGGTTTTTGGGGGCACGTATCTGCACGTATCTGCAAGCATCTACACTATACCGAGATGGAGATGGGCCGGAATTCCGGTCAAAAATAGCAAAGAGGGCGGATAGTATCAGTAGGCGCCAGCCTTATAGGGTAGCTCTAGAGTTTAAGCGTTCGAGTATTCCTAGTTACCTACCTAGGTACGTGACTAGTGACAAGGTTAAGTATTATGCGCGCGCGCGTGCGCCATTGCGACTATGCGGCGGACGACGTTGAAGACGACACAAGAAAAAGAGAAAAAAAGAAAAAAAAAGAAAGAAAAAAGCAACGGGGGTGGATCAGATCGGTATCGACACGATTAACCATTATCATATCTAACTTAGTAACAATCTGCCCACAATTTTATACCATTTGCTATCATCTCCTTGAGATGAATGTCTTGCGGCTCGAGAGGAAGACTAGTCGAGTGCCATAAGATACCTTGTACAATACGAATACAACCCCTCTACTACCACTTACACGCAACGGTCAAGACTCGTATTCTCTCTCTAAAAGATGAGAGCACGTAAGCATCTATACCGGGAAGCGGAACGAACTGTTGGAATTGGTACGATACCCTCTTGCTGGTTCATAGTATCACTTCAAGTAGCTTAAGACGCACGGCGGCATAGCCAGGCGGAACGGTACCTTGCATATTGAAACATTACTATTCCATATGCCATCATAATAAGATGAGGGGACTAGGTAAAGCACGGCCCCCACGAATAGACGCATACATACGCATGTGGATATGCAGCTGTCGATGTGGTTCGACTCGCCCTTTCGCCCTTTCTGGACATGGTGACAAGACCGATGAAAGGTCGAAATATAGTTGTACCAACATCGTAAACATTAAAATCTCAACAATCTCTAAGTAATCTCAACCAGGTTCACACGTTGCAAACATACAGTAATAAGTGACGTTTTGAAACAAGAAGAACTGCTGTTTCGATGAAGATGGAGAGGCGGCATTGGACAAGAGGAAGAGAAGGGTAAAGACGACCCCTGAAAAAGAGAAGGTCGGAAAAAAAGATGGAGGCGCGCGTCTAAGATTTGACGCTAAAATAAACAACGATCGTCGTACCCGGGCGACAAAACACCAAAAAAGATGCCTAATCAAGCTTAGTCTCTCTAGGTACATATGTACGTCGGTATTCTACCTAGCATTTTGCCGACGATAGATGCAGAAAAATGCAAGACAAATGCAGACTCTGCATATCATTATTTTTGTCGGTGCTACGCTATCAGCGGTACTTTGCATCTATTCGCATCCACCACGGCGGGAATATCACGTGTATCTTCTTGGCCATCCAGGGTCGGTCATCTCTTATTCGTCGGATGTTTTTAAAATAGACAAACCACTCTTCTCTCCCACTTTGCGCTTAGATGTATGTACCTATGTAATGTCGACACGCAGACGGTAAACATCTTTGCTACAACATCAAAATTACCAACGCACGAACTAAACAAATGTTTGCGCGTATGAAGCCGGTAGCAACACTCCCTCAAATACTCTTTCGCTGTGCCTCGGAACTGTAGCGGTTTCTGATGCAATGCAACGGCCCTGTCTTAGTTTAACAGGTAGGTTAGGTACCCAGCTAGGTTAATTATCAACCTTGGGGGTTACGGATGATGCCCGTACGTAAGAGGCAGTAAACCCCCTTTTTTTTTCTTCGCCAGTCTTACCCTAGCTAGATTTGTCTATGTTACATGAGCTCTTCGTCTTCCTGCAACATTTTCCTTGAGGAAATCTGGTGGGGGCGAACCGGTAGTTGCAGCTGATAAATGACATGACTATAAGCTACCAGTACGTTTCGAGGCGGCTATCATGTCTCCCACTTAGCTCCTGAATCCTTCCCGCCACGCGTTTCAGAGAGCGTGATAACTCAGCTATACCAGGCCACCTCGGCCACCTTCGAGTTGACAGCACGCAGAGGGGCAGATGCGCACATGGTAGCAGAGACCTGCTTGCCGGCCTTGAGAATCTACAACGCCATGCGTGGATTGGATGTCTGAGCACGACTGCTGAGACGGCGGTACATCCTTCCGAAGAGTGCCGCTCGACAGGCGCCTCGTCTGCATACAGCCTTACCAGAAGACGTTCCCAAGTTATCCCGAAGTGACGGCAGGTCGGATCGCGTCTATCGCCTTGATTTGGTACCGTCCGGGCCGAGAGTCGAGACGTCTTGGCCGATGCGAAGGCCATCCCGCAATACATTAAGGGATAGCGTTGAGGCCTGACTTGAGCAAAGTTGGGCGTAGCTATCAGTATTCAATACCATATTTAGTACGGGTAGCTCGTATGGAAACTACCAACTCAGCCGAAGTTTTGGTTATGGGCTGACAGCGGATCTTATCACATCGCAAAATTATCAACTTATGCTCACATCCAACCATTAAGCGTTGCCTATTAGTCATGGGTCAGTATATACCCTATATCTTTACCCAACGACGACCATAGGGAAGCGTACTCAAAGTAACCCACGTCATAATACATATCATGTCTCGACGTATATATCCAATAATTCGACCAGCTACGGTCACCTAGGCCATCTCTTAAATTTACCAGACCTCGCGGAGACAGGTTGACCATATTAGAACGCGGAACTATAAGAGACCATCTCTAAATCCTAGGACGAAACTACATCACTACGGAGTCGAATTCGTTCCACAACGGGAGAAAGGAATCTCGACGTTGAATATAAGCGCTAGTACGCTAACCCGCAAGCCGCACTTTGTTGCGAGACTACTACCTAGTATCATTTGTGATAAAGGTAGCAGGTAGATCACTCCACATTGCTTCAAGTTCCAGCCGGATCCCTCCCATGTAGAGTATCAATAATCATGCCAGACCCAGGCCGATAAATCGATACCAAGTAAGCGATGCTGTCCGAGATATACCAGCTGAAATGCTCATCGATCAACCTCACGTGTAATTCTCCAATCCCAGACGGTCCTCTAGCTGGGGCAATTCAGGCTAAATTCACAACCCCGGTCAAGCTAGGGATCTTCAAAAAATTCTTGGAGAAGAGAGCTACCCTGTGTGGGGTATCTCGGGGTAATATTGCCAACAGGCTGGTTAGAGCTATTCGCCATCTTATTGAAGGTCGTGATCTCGTATCCAAGTCGCGGAAGAGAAGCTTCATACAAGCGCGTCTATCAACTCGAGCGAGACGGCATCATGGTGAATATCTCATAACCCGTTCAACCTGTCATCTCGTAACTCGCTGACGACAAAGAGAACTCTGTTAGCTACAAGTCATCATCCGGGAAACATACAACGGCATAACCGGGAGTTGCTCTCACCAATCATCACCAATCAACCAGGATCTCGGCCGTAGCTCGGTACCCCAAGCTTACCTACCTATTTATCCCGCACCCCGGTAATATCTTGAATGGGGTCCCCAGAGTCTTTACTCTGGATCTTTCTAGCGCGTGGGTCGGATGCTATTGCGCAGCAGCCTTCCCACACGTCGCTTTCCCGGAGTATGTAGGATAGCCTAGCCTATCCCCATGTCCCATTTACCTGTGTGTCCATGGCATTATTTATATCGGGACGTCCCCCAGGCACCGCCGATGCACCGCTATCGTCTAACCCGTGTGCTGGTGGGCTGGATTGCTACTTCGATCTCGAGACTTCTTCTCTGCGCGACAGTTTTCATCCGAGAAATCGAGGTCGACTTATGCAATAATAGTGCCCTTTAGAAACATCCGTATTCGGTCACAATGGTTGCTGGAGGCGACTCGGGCGCCGCCGCGTACAGTGCGGCCCTCAAACGCCGCCAGGAGATGATGGGCGCGTCCGGTCCCATGGCCTTAGTAAAAAATTTCAAGGTGTTTAGGATCGCTTTGTTCGCTTGTATCGGTGGTATCCTGTACGGTTACAACCAGGGCATGTTCTCGGGCCTTCTCGCCATGCCTGCCTTCAAGTCTCGTAAGCATTAATCAAAAATTTCAGGTTGTTAGCTAGTTAGTTGGTTGGTGGTAGCCACATGCTAATAAAGTAACTATAGATATGGGCGAGTATGACCCGTTTGACGACTCGGCAGACCAGACGAAGAAGGGGTGGCTTACAGCTATCCTCGAGCTCGGAGCTTGGATTGGCGCGCTGCTGTCCGGGTTCATCGCCGAGGCCATCTCCCGCAAATATGGCGTCCTGGTAGCGGTAACAGTCTTCGTCATTGGGGTCGTCATCCAGGCGACGGCGCAGTCCGGTGGGCCCAACGTTATTCTCGGAGGCCGCTTTGTTACGGGTATGGGCGTCGGTTCCTTGGCCACGATCGTGCCCATATACAACTCCGAGGTCGCACCCCCCGAGATTCGAGGTGCGCTCGTTGCTCTCCAGCAGCTCGCAATCACCTTCGGTATCATGGTAAGCTTCTGGATAGACTACGGTACTAACTATATCGGCGGCACAACTCTTGGCTTTCAGAAAGATGCTGCGTGGCTTGTGCCTATCTGCCTGCAGCTTTTCCCTGCTGTGATCCTCTTCGTAGGGATGATATTCATGCCCTTCTCCCCGCGTTGGCTAGTTCACCACGGCCGCGAGGACGAAGCGCGCAAAATCCTAGCCAACTTGCGTGGCCTAGCTGCTGACCACGAACTTGTCGAACTTGAATTCCTCGAAATCAAAGCCCAGTCGCAGTTCGAAAAGCGAACCGTGGCTGAGCATTTCCCCCATCTGAGCGAGCTGACAGCGTGGAATACCTTTAAGCTTCAATTTGTGGCTATTAAGTCTCTGTTCCAGACGAAAGCCATGATCAAGCGCGTTGTCGTTGCCACAGTCACAATGTTCTTCCAACAGTGGACGGGTATCAACGCCGTCCTGTATTACGCACCCAGTACGGAATTTTTATTTTAGTTTATTCAGTTTGCCCTAATTTCCTCAATTTTACCAGTTGATATAAAATCATTCTTACAAGTCATATTATAGGCATATTCACTTCCCTTGGCATGAGCAATACCACTACGAGTCTGCTGGCTACCGGCGTCGTCGGTATCGCCATGTTCGTATTCACCGTACCCGCCGTACTCTATATCGACCGCGTCGGAAGGAAGCCCGTACTGACTATCGGCGCTATCGGGATGGCTACCTGCCATATCATCATAGCCGTGATCGTCGCAAAGAACGCAAACCAGTGGGCTAGCCAGCCTGCGGCCGGTTGGGCTGCTGCTGCCATGGTCTGGCTCTTTGTAATACATTTCGGTTACTCCTGGGGCCCTTGCTCGTGGATTATCGTGGCCGAAATCTGGCCGCTCAGCTCCCGACCCTACGGAACTTCTCTTGGCGCTTCGAGCAACTGGATGAACAATTTTAGTACGTCTTCTAGAGCCTTCAGCTCACTCTCACGCTTTCAGTGCTAACCTATCCTTCAGTTGTCGGTCAGGTCACGCCAATTATGCTTAACAAGATCGGCTACGGTACCTATATCCTCTTTGGCCTTTTAACATTTATGGGAGCCGGGTTTATCTGGTTCTTCGTGCCCGAGACTAAACGGCTAACCCTTGAAGAGATGGTGAGTATCTGCGGAGCTACCGAGAACCCTGGTTTTATTGCAGTGTATTCTAACAAGATCGACTCATATTAGGACGTCGTATTCGGTTCCGAAGGCACAGCACAGGCCGATTTTGAACGCATGGAGGAAATCAACAGAGAGATCGGACTGACCGCGATGCTTCATGGCCTAGTCGGCACTGCTAGCAACGGCGACGTAGTAGATGAGAGAAAGGATAAACTTGAAGATAACTAAGATGTTCGATCTACCTCCAGGGTGGTTATAGAGAAATCTGGCTGGTTAGGTGTACACGTTGGAATTACTAGCGTCGGTGGGCATTCATGGAGAAATCATTCTCAGATCTTTAAAAACTCGAACCTAGCGAAGTAACCTATATGATGTATTATTGCGAAAGCATAATGCTCATCCTAAAAGGGACATTCTCGTTACAACTACCAAAGGTCACTCCAGGAGCCAGTCGTTATCTATTCTCTATGCCTACATCCTCAGTAAGCTCTAGCTCGCAAGGAGTTGTAGCCTTTATGTAAGACCTTTGACGCCTATCTGCAGGTAATAAGGCTCTTTGTCGATCAGCTTTCTAATCTCTCCACTCCTTAACTCGTCTACATCCCAGGCGGCCCACACAAAGCGGCCGTGGAGAAACTCGGCTTCGCGAGAGGCAGCCCAGACCGCAAAGTGTCCGCAAAGATCCTCTATACGTAGCTTTCGTTAGCAAGAAAACGGGCCAACACAGAAATAGGATCCTACCGTCGTCAAAATCAAAGCCGTCAAATCTATTACCCATAACACGCCGAACGGTTTCCGTGAGGACGCTCCCGGGGTGAAAACTGAGCACCTGCATGTCCTTCGGCGAAATGTCTTTGGCCATCTGCTGGACTAATAGGGTACCTGCGCTCTTGGTCAAGCCGTATCCAGGGATCTCGGGGACTATGTTATTCCAATCCTGGATAGCCATCGTTGACAAATTAACTAAAAACTTGATGGGTTACCTAATTAGCCGGCATCCGTACGTATTCTATTCGGGAGTATGCGACAATATACCTTCTCTTTCGAGGGTTGTTTATAAAACTTCTCGGTGAACACGAGCAGCGTTTTTACAATTGGAAACTTAGATGCCATCTTTGTGTCTGGAGTACGATAGGGTCATTATGCTAATATATACCTAAGTTGCCCGCCTATATACGACATGCGTTATGGCTCTGTTTTCCGATCAACGTGGCCGGCGGGTTTTCATACGGGCAAAAAGGCCGCCCGCAAGCTTCCACCGACTATACTACCGACTATACTACCGACTATACTACTAAGAATCGACGGCTTCGTCTGGCGTCAGCAGGGCAATGAGAACCCAGGCTATGCTGACTAATATACGGGCGCGATGACCAGGTATTGATTACAAACTAGTCTTATGGCGAATCTTGTGCTTAAGAATGGGATTCTATATGCTAACACCTACCGTTGTGGAAAATTACTCGTCGGGTTTTCATCCGTCTGCGGGAAAATCAAGAATAGAGAGGACGCCGAATAAATCATGTCGTCGGCAAGAAACCCGCGGCTTAAAGCTTGTGCCGCTTGTACTAGAGCGAAGAGGCCCTGCTCTAAACGGCAACCCTGTTGCGACCGCTGCAGACGGAGAAACATCCCGTGTAGATATCCTCCGCCTAACCTGACCGCTCGAGACTACGCAGAGGCGGACAGCGGGTCGGCAGCGACGGAAGTAAGCCTAACCCGCACCGGAGCGGCACTGCCGATTCACGTAGTCTCATTTGAATCCTTCTACCCTAACACGAGCGAGGCGCAACCTGGAGATCCCTTCCATCCGTGTTGCACAGGGTTTCCGGAGAATACGAAGACTCTTCCTCTGGGGCACGATTGGTTCTACAGCTCCGACTCGTGGACAATTTCACGCAGCAGCACCATCCCGTCTCCTACTGAAGCTTTCGATACTAGAGCCTTGAAGCAGCATATCACCACCGTCCAATCATGGCTGCGCCTCTGGGCAACGACGGGCAGGTCACCATTTATCCACCACCGCTTGTACAGCCAAAAAATGCCTCGCTGTGTTCAAGACGCCTATACGGCCTTGGCGGCGTATCTCGCGCGCACTCCTGAGAACTCAGACCTCTGCTTCCAAATCATCCGAGAGCGAGCCCAAGAACTTGTCGAGCAAGCTCAGCGCATGGTGCCCGCGCCTACGTCAGAGACAGGCTCGTCGGAACCGACGGGCGGATCTATGCCCCTAGATCCTTTTGATCACCTAGCCCGCGTGCACGCGCTTTTCGTTTATCAGATGATTGGCCTCTTCGATGGCGATATCGTGCTGAGGGTCGAGGCGGAAAGTCGCATATCGACACTTATGTCCTGGGTAGCAGAGATGTGGGATAGCGCAGAGCTGGATGCTAGCCTATACTCGACAATACTCGCTCTCGAACAGGACGTGAGCAGCAGCGAGGACACACCAGCTGTCGCCCCGGCAGATGAAACAGCAGCCTGGCGGCGCTGGATATTGTCGGAGAGCATCCGCCGCGCTTGGCTCGTAGTAACTATTACGCAGTCTATATATCAGCTATTTAAGACAGGATGGTCGCAGTGCTCCGGTAGCGTTAATTGGACGCCCCGCGCAGGCATCTGGGATGCACCTGACCAGTACAGCTGGTGCAAACTAGTTACGAGCGGTTCAGGGCCTCTGTTCGTCCCGAGCCTGCGCGCTGACGTGTTATATAAGGAGGCATCTCCTTCAGAAGTCGACGAGTTTGGGCACGCCGTGTTAATCGCCCAGTTCGGATCGGAGAGTATGACGAAATGGAAGGCCCATGCCGCATAGTATTTATTGAACAAGCTTAGAGATACAATGAAGGGACAAAGGTTGGATAACCTAACGAGATCGACGCGTAAAGGATCTTGAGTAAGACTTTAGGGCTGGCACACGGATGAGATACTTTGATGTTGTATCGTATTGTATCGGCTTAGCCCTCAGTCCTTGTAACGACTCTACTATCCGATATCTAGAAAGGCTAGCGATATATTTAAACACTTTCTTATTTTATAGATATGCGGTATTCCACGACGTAACGGTTCGGCCATTCGAGATGAAAGTCACACTACCATTTCCCGTCTTCATGTCCTACGTGTTCTAGTACAGAAAAATAAGCTAACATAGCTCGATAAATTTTGTACATCTGAATATTAAATCATATTACATTGCCGCACTGCCTTGCCCAAAGTTGCCACTGCCAGTCATCAGTTTGCATGTCGTAATATTCACAACATCCACTACCACCTTTACAATCTGGCATTCTAAGCGAGACAGCAGTTTGGCTTTCATTTATAGAATACCAGGCATGATGCCATACGTTTTCGGGATATATACGCCAGGAAACTCGAACCGATACCTCGCCTCCTTTTTATTAGCCCATGCTTTCATCTGCGCTACCGCGACGACGATGAATAACAACACCGACCAATTATGATAAGCGGCCCAAAATACTCTATCACGTAGACCGTCCTCTAGTTAATCTGGGGGCCTATAATCGGAAATATAAGCGGCCTAATTCTCAGACTGATACTGTGTTGAGAGACCTCTAATCGGCTTGCCTACGAGACGATTAGATCAAGATATGAGCAATAGGAACTAAATTTTCATTAACGGACCTCGAGATGCAACGTTGAGGCTGATAGGAGCCATGCTGATCGTGAGCTTTCTTGTCCTTTGCCGGAGAGGTTGTACGCAACAGAATTGAATAAGTAAGAGTTCTCAGGCAAGTCGGTGAATTAGGAAGCTGACAACATGCGCACGGTCCTTATAGAACTGATATTCTCGAAAGCACACTTGATACTTAAGGAGCCTAGGTAAACCAAAATATCCTCAGTTATGATTATCAAATTTGAATATATTCGTATATGATCACCAATAATTTAGAGTCCCCAAATCTTATCCATGGAGTTCTCATTATCCTCGTTCTATTTCCACTGGATGAAGAAACTGACCACGCCGCACAGCATATGGAACACGCAAGGGTAGATGTCAGCCGAGAGCTATTTCTTGCTACGCTGTTTTACCTGTTCGGTTAGAGTCTTCCTGAAGTAGGGCAGACTTAGCTGTCATATCTCTTGGCTAAGAACTCTTATATGGTACCTTGTTTGGCTCGGCTTTTTCAGTCCCTCGGCATCTCGCTAGGCAGTTTTGTCATTACAGGTCGGTCTTTGTGAGGGTTGTATTCTCTACTTGGTCGTGCTCTGGGTGGTCTACCACGTTCTAAATGGCTAAACACAGAGTAATATTATATAATAGTTTTGGCATCAGTTGTCACGGACATGTTTGAGCTCATGCTGGTTCGGTTGATTCAGGCTCATTGCTCATTTGATAGAGTACTGCCTGTTTTTATATGCTATATGATAAGTTGTTTAGCAGATCCATAACTTATGCCAACTTCAACTAGGTGGTTGCAAACATTCAACCTCTAACATGAAGCCGAAGCAATCTTGAATCATGTAAAATAACAAATGGATATGCTATATAGCCTTTGTTTTGTTTAGGTTGTAAAGCAGAAATTCTAAGAGTGAACCTAATATGATTCTAGTATAACGTTGTTCGTTCATTTCGATGGCCTTTATTCTTTAGTGACCAGATCTTGTCGTGAATATAGGAATTCTATTACTGTTGTTATTACAAATTTGCTAATGTCAGGAATACCCCTTTTTACTAGTATCTCGCTACGAAGAACTTTTCTGCAGTGTGATAGTGCTGCCGTGCGCATTGGGTCTTAAAATTACCCACAGATAGCTGGTGTACCGGCACGAAAATGCCAGTCAATTTGAAATTATATATTAACGTCGAATCGTCCTGTCTGAGAAGCCTGACAAGTGTTCCGTAACACAATTTAGGGCGGAATATGAGAGTGCTGTTCTCCCCTTGGATGCGAATCCCTATGTCCATTAGGCCGTACACAGAACGGCAGTTGATCCTCAGCCCGACCCAGTCTATCTATCTAGTACCTTAACTCCACGCACACGTGCGGCAACGCTTAGCACCGTAAATAGCAGATATCAAACGATGGGGCAGCTATGATACAATAGAATATCCCTACACGCTAAACAGTAGCGACGCCTGTCCATACGACCTTAAAGCGCCTCGATCGCCTTCGCCAGGACATCCATGCTTTGTAGACCGACATCGCTACTCTTCTCTTCATCGAGCAGCGCGGCAACGTCGCTCAATATACCCAGAGGAATGTAGCAGCCTTCGCGCGCACGTTCCAAGCTTTCCTTGAGCCTGCTAGTATGCTCCCACTCCTTAGCGGCCACTTCGGCTCTCTCGATAACACGGCTAGAAATGCCGCACATTGCTGCGCAATGCATGCCGAAGCTTCCTTCTGCTACGCCGTCTTCGAGCTTGTACAGGAAGGTGACACGCCGCTGCTTCTCGTCGACGTGGATCTGCATGCGCTTCGCTCTGATCTCGGGATGGTTTTCGAACTCGGTCGCGAGCGAGTGGTAGTGCGTAGCGAAGAAGCCGATACATCCTATATGCGTAGCTACGTGGTGCAGAACAGCCTGAGCCACGGCGACGCCGTCGTAGCTGGATGTACCGCGGCCGAGCTCGTCGAGGATAACTAAGGACCGCGGCGTGGCTTCGGACAGTATCTTCTTGGTCTCGGACAACTCGACGAAGAACGTAGATTGCGCCGCGAAGATATTGTCATTAGCACCGAGCCGCGACATGATACGGTCGCAGGGGGTAAGCTTGGCTGAAGTAGCTGGCACGTAACAGCCGATCTGCGCCATGATGACCGCGGTGCAAGACTGCGCACGGGGATTAGAGTTGGGTCTAACAGCGGGAGGGATTACAAGCTTACCATTCGTAGGATTGTGGACTTACCGGCGGCATTCGCGCCCGTCAGGAGATCGATCTTGGCCGAATTACCGCCTAACACGATGTCGTTAGGAATAAAGTCATCGACGGTGTTTAGCATGCAGGGGTGGCGTAGCTCCTCAAACTCGACGACGCTGCGCTCCTCATCTACAAAGACGGGGCGGCAGCTGGGCTCGCCTAAGGAGGAAGATGCCTTGGCGAGGCAGAGCAGGCAGTCGAGCTGAGACGTGATGCGGATGGCCTGCAACCAAGTATCATAGTCGACGTCAAACCGCTGCAAGAGGCGCAGCGTGACTTCTCGAACAAGCTGAGAGTGAGTCTCCTCTGCCTCCTGCAGCTGCCGCACGAGATCAGTCAGCTCCTTGAAGTAGTAACGCTTGACGCTCGATGTGGCAGACATCTGCTGCCAGTCCTCGGGAACCTTGACGGCTTTTGGGGCCTCGATCTGGTAGACTTCCTTACCCACGTCGGCGAACTTGAGAGATTTGTTCTTCAGCTCCGTCTTCTTCTCGCTAAGCAGCTTTTGGAGATCATCCTTAATCTCGAGGATCCTGTCGTGACTCTGGTCGAAATCTTCCTCGATCCCGCGCTCGGGGACCAGAATCTTCTCCTCTCGAGCCTTCTTGCGGTCGAAAGCCGTCCTCCAAAACGATAGCGGCTCGTTAAGGTTTGGCATGGACGAGACGAGGCGATCGATCAGGCTTTGTCCGCCGCCGAAAGCATCAAGAAGAAGGTTTACTGTGTACTCGATCTGCTCGAAGCCCTCTAGGACTTTAACGAAATCGTCGGGACGGCACGCGCCGGCGTGGATTCGCGAGATGAGACGTTCCAGATCGGGAATCCGCGCCATCTGCGAAGATAGCTGCTCCCGGACGGTTGTGTCGGCGTTGAGCATATCAACCGCATCCAAGCGCTCGTTGATCTTTTCGATATTACATAAGGGGTGGCATACCCACTGGCGGAAAAGCCGCTTGCCGAATGGCGTGACGCAGCGGTTTAAGAGTGCAAATAGAGTTCCCCCAGAGCCCCCGTTTACAGAGTTGGCAAATATCTCAAGGTTAATAAGGGTCTGACCGTCAAGAATCAACGTGCCGTTCTTGTGAATAGGATTGTACCAGGTGAAATTGCCTTGAGATAGAAGGTTCCTCTCGATCTTGAGAACTCTGAGATACTGAACGAGGGCGCCGAGAGCAGACATCAGCAGGTCCTTGTCTCTCGCTTTGGATAGCGTGTCAGGCCAACGCTCCTCTGCGCCTTCAGTCTCGGCAAAGTAGCCGTTGCAGTCGAGTTCCCTCCGGGTGAGATCGGCTTCCCAGAACTCGCTGCCGGACTTGAAGTAGTTCCAGATGGTCGTAGGTGAGGTATTGTTCTTGAGAATGCGCAGGGCTTTAGTCGAGATGCGAGACTTTTCGAGGAGCAGCTCCCGAGGACTCGTCTGCGCGACCAGAGTCTCGAATTTAGTCAGGTCGACGTCGTCCTCGAACTCGGATACGAAGAACTGGCCCGTGGCAGCATCTACAAAAGCGATACCGAACGCTGGGTGGTCATCAACGACAGACTCCTTGATAGCAACGCAGTAGGTTGCCATATCGTCTTGAAGCATGCTGCCATCGACAAGCGTGCCGCCCGTCAGTATGCAGGCTAGTTCTCGCCGGATGATCTTGTCTTGCTTCTTGGACTTGGCGTCTCCTCTCTCGCGCATCTCCTTGCCCAGTGCAGTTTCCATCTGATCGACTCGCGCGACCTTGTAGCCCTTGGCTATGAATTGGTTAACCCACATGTCTAAAGAAGTCTCCGGAACGCCGACCATGCGCATGTTGACGCGGTCGGTAAGCTTAAGGTCGAAGAGCTGGTGGCCGATGGTGGCATCGTTTTCGTAGAGCTCATAGAATTTGCCTTTCTTGAAAAAGACCACCGTGTCCCACAGCTTCTGCTTGATTTCCCAGTACTGCTTCTCGAAGGCCGAAAAGCCATTCCACGCCACGGGCGGAACGTACACAGTCGCGGGATCGTAATCCAGGTGGCCGGGCGGGTTCCGGTTTATGTCCTTGATATCAGCGAGCCAGGGATAGCGATCTTCGGGTTCTCGAGTGTGCGCCTTCTGCTTCGCCGAAGAGGGCTTGCGCGTAGATTGCGAAGCCGCCCTCGGTTTTACCGGATCGATCTTATCCGGATCATATAGCCACTGCTGGGCAGTCGACGTCGACGGCACATCATCCATCATCTCGTCGCCAGCGTCCTTTTCAGACTGCTCATCATCATCCTGCTCGGGAGAAGCATGTGTTCGCTTTCGAGCGCTTTGAGGTTTCGAAGGTCGCTTCCGTTTCCTGGCTGGGGCATCCGAATCGTCAGAAACTACGAAATCGACCATCTCATCTGCGATAGGGTTGTTAGATTAACATGCCGCGTTAGACTAATTGATACTGTTGCGGAAAATATACCATCTTCTTCGTCTACAGCGGCATCCTTGCTCTCCTCGTAATCACCCTCTTCCTCGTCTACGACTCTAGATTGCTGGCGGTTGCGGCGTCGAGACTGGGAGGCTTTCATGCTTACGAAAACATCCTCGTCGTCGTCGCCAGAAGACTCAGCGTAATTGACAGTCTTTCTAACCTATGAAGTATTAGAAAAAGCAGAAAAATAGGGCATCGTATTCCGCTACCTTGCGTGTTGGGCTACTGCCCATGACAGCTCGGGCGGAAAGGTGCTGCTTAGTGCGTCAGCAAAAATAATATGCGAGGGCGAGTCGTCGCTAAGTACCTTTACCGTAGCAGCGGAGCCACGGTTTTCCTGGGAGCTGGAAGGCTCTAAAGCATCGCTGCTGGGTACAGGGGTGACGGCGGAAGGCTTTCTATTTGACTTTGTCGTCTCCTTGAGACAGGACGGCGTAGGAGACGAATTCAGGGCTGGGGAGGCTTTCGTAAAGAAACCGAGGAGGGTCTGCTGCTTTCCGGTGGCCGTAGAAGTCGAACTGGGTTTCCTAGACGTAGAAGGCGTCTTCCTAGCCGGAGTGCGAGACTCGCCCATCTTGCTTCTTAAAACGCACAGGAGACAACCACTAAAATGGAGACACTACTGCGCCGAGGGCGGATATAGTCGAAATTTGGATCAATTGAAAGGCATACGCGGGTTACGAGTAGCTATAGTCACTAGGAATTATAAGACGGTTATAAAGTAATTGTTGTCTACCAGGACACCGTCTGCTCGTTGTTGAGTTGATGGTGATGGGAGCCGAAATATAGAATCAATCGTTTTCGCACTCGAATTTCAATTAACGGAAAACGCGACTTGGTCTAAGCTCCCCGCATGATCCGCGTTTAAACGCGTCGCGCATCCTTATCAATTAAAAAGATACAAAGCACATGTACTGTGGCGTACTTGAAATTTATGGACTCTAAGGTACTTCGTACTTGAGGTACCTACTCGATACATGATGTCCATAAACATCGACCATTTACAACTTACACAAACAATCAACTCATACACAGAATCACGTCAAGAAACTCAAGGAGCTATGCAGCCTTCAAGTACATTTTAAAATACTGTAATTCAAATTAATCGCCTCCACCAGTCTGTACTATCGAATCATCGTGCGAGTCTCTATTTACATTGCCTCGTCCTTGTTCCGGAACTCCAGTTACGCCGTTGCCCACCCCGAGATTCTAGTCCTCATCGTTAGGAAACTCTGAAAATCCTTTCGTCTTCAGGCTTCATCTCATCAAGCTGATTTGGGATCTGATTCGAGACTTGGGTAGAGAAGATAGTTGTCTGCAGCAACATCCGGCGGGGTAGACGGACCAGCAAGGTCGGCAGGCCTAATTAATCGGCGTTGACCGTCGACCACAACCTCCGCCTTGATATCGGGCTCGACACACTCGACGGCGATGCGGGCGTTGTAGTCAAACGTTGCCATCAACACCCACGCATTGATACCGGTCATCTCGATGCGGTACTGATACGGGTTGACCCACTGCGAGAGATTCCAGAAGCCCTTCGAAAAGTCCTGTTGGGCTCCCTGGGCTATATCAAGGTAGTAGTTCATAATGCATTCCAGCAATTCCTTGACGGCCGCGAAGCAGCGCTCTCCCGACGTCGTTTCGTCGAGCGGCATGGGGCTAATTTTTCCCTCCTTGAACACCAACCTAGACGTGTCAAAGCCCGCGCGGTTAAAGAACTTCTGTACCTGTCCCTCTAGTCTCTCCTTGCGCTCGATAATCGGGTGATGCCTTCCATCCTTATCGCCCAGCGGATAACGGCGCGGGTCGTACAGGGCAGCCATCGTGACAGTGTCGAAGGAGTTGGCAGATGCGTCCGTATCGTCGGCATACCAGACGAGCAGGACGTAATCGCTCCCCCACTGGTCCTCCACCCAGAGCGGCCAGATACCCCAAGGTTTGGTCTTGAATTCCCCGTATACGTCCTTGCCTCTCTTCTCTGTCTGGCGCTCCGTCTCCTGATAAATCGCCTCCTGATGGCTCTCGTCTTGGGACCAGAGTGCGGGCCCGTTTGGAGGATGGACATTGACCTCACTCTGGATAAAAGGGGGAGCGCATTTCCACAGGTGATCGGTCGCGACGTCCATGGCGCATAAGGTAATCGGGGCATTGTGGGCAAGCTGAAGAGTGTTAAGTCCGAACGTGGCCCGGTAAGCCTGGTGAATGTAGGTCGGATACGGTACGTTCTTCTTAGTCCTTCGATCTTCGGGCACGGCTGTATACGTCCCATCGCTTATTGTCCAACCGGAGCTCATACGCAGCCTGTAATCCTTCGGTGAAGCGAGCTGCCTGTCGAACAGCGAGCGTGTCTTGCGAGCAGGCTTCCATAATTTTGACTGACCTCTTGCAATTCCCATATTGCTTATGTGTACTCGTCTCAGATGACTAAATGATATTACTTATGACTGTCAAGTAGATATGCAACGGTGCGTGCGGCGATAAGTAGAGTATAATAGTAATAATTGGCAACTCCACCACCAAGGCCTGCGGAATACGTCAACTTTTAGGGCGCGTCGAAATAATGGGTGATCGGGATAGGAGCACATTCCTAAGGTCGTAGTCGCGCGGGGCTGAATTCAGACAAACCCCTTTGTCGCCCGCAAAGTTCAAGCAGGCGTTAGAATACAATCGTAGCTTGGGCTTCCTTGTTCTCGGCGATGGTTCCGGTTAGGGCCAACCTCAGATTGACACTTTGGACAATGGCGTTCCATACTGCTTTCATCTCAAAAACTTGTGCAGGAATAAAGCACGATATCGCTTCTAGGAAATCATACAGGTGCTTCAGACTCATTCAAGGGGCATTGTTCTAAATGCTGAAGTAAGCCGACTATGCCTAGAATCGGACTTGCTAGAACCTTACGGAACATAAAACTCGAGTTACGACGAGGTCCTTCTCGTGCGAGGCTGGAAGCACCGGCGGAATCGGGTTCCCCGAGCATCGCTGTTACGACGATCTATTTAAGGAGGTAAGTGGAGTGTGCTAGAGGCTGGGTTATTTCTTTGGGCTGCTAAACACTCACAAATGCATTATGAGCCGAACAAGATATTTGGTATGGCAGACAAATGGCACTCGTCTTCTCACAAGGTCTAGCAAGATACGTACGCTGTTTTAGATAGACTTCACAGCATGGCTGATATTGAGCTTTGTCAACCGTTATATTATTTATCTAGTGACATGCTCATTCTACCTCGACAGAGTAACGGATAAGGCCGGTCTGCTAACCCAATAGCTATTCAAAGTTAACTAGGTCCTAATGTTATAGATGACAAGAATATGTAATGATACGTTGAAAGGGATTTGCCGCCGTAAGCATCCGAAGATGATATATTTACCATAATTCCTAGAGAAATATCGCTTCGTTTTTAGATAAGCTGTATTATTTTATATCCCCTTTACAATATTATATGGTAAATAGTTTGTATTTACGCCGTACATTTCCCTACTGGCCGTTTCGAGAGAAGCCATACTAGCACAAATCAGAACTGATAGTCACGGAATTCCCATAATTTCAAAGCTATATTAGTGATAAGTATTCCCCAGGATCTACTTATATAATGTGTTTCTTTTAATTCGAATGTCGTCGCCGACACCAGTGGTTCCTAATAGATATCTATTCAATGTGACATTTTGAAAGATGAGATATATCGAAGCTGGTTCGATTCTGAAAGTTCTTGCTATGAGGTAAAGGATGAGAAATCTGACGTGCTGGCCGATTTTTCATGATTCATATGCTTACATCCATTTCGTTAAGGAGGACTATTTCTGAACGAGTATGCCACTTTAAGTCTAATGTCTAATGAGGAAAGTCCGTATACATCAGCGGCGTCCACTGCCGCCGCTGCATGAACCAAATAAAGGTATCCACACGGCCGAAGCGGGAATAACCGGAAATATGGATTTACCAAAGTTAGGCCTTTTCTAATTCCCGAAAATTTGGTTGCGCGCAATCCTTCGGCCCAATGCCAGACCCCTATCACCTCGAGGCTCTATTAGTATATGTCTGATGAATGATAATTATCCACACCATCGTATTTTGACTGGAGCGTACCTCACAGGCAACTTAAAAGATTGAAAGATTTAGCAAAAGAATACTTGCGGATTGATCCGTGGAGGTGTGGAGGGCGCTACTAATTGTCTCCCCTTTGACCTATACTTGGCAATGATCCTCGTCTGGCAACTCTCCGACATCATTCCCGGTTTTACGCCTCCATGTCCGACCATAAGCGAAGGTTACATTATTTCTCACCGATCCCATAACTTACATATGTTAGATGGGTAGCTGGTTATATAAACGCACCAAGCCAATCGGCAAGGTTCGATGAAGCCTAGGTAGGAAGCCCGCATTTCGGAACAGGGAACGTAGGTTTTATTCGCACTTCTCGTTCTCTGGCGATTTTTATATCAGTAGATCATACCTTCTCATTAGGCCTCCTAGTGAGATCCCCGAGCGCAACGATTGCGTAACATCGTTTAGTCGTGTGGCCGATTTTGACACGTTGATCTGCCTTTAGACTCGGAACGTCTAAATCTACGCACAGCTAAATTTTGATACCCCGGTAAGGATGGAGCCGAAGAGGAACGGCGGTAGCTTCGCACCCGCTGTAGCTGACGAACGAAAAGATCGCCTAGCCCTTGAAGACGCAATATCCGGGAAATACACGTCGGCGCCGTCCGGCGTTTCGGCAGCGTACTCATCAGCTCCCGCCTTCGATTCTTCCATCACGAAGGCAGAAATACCAGGATCGGTGGAGCAGGAAGAAGTCGTCAACGATGTGCCGCTGGACACTAACACCCCTATTTCCTATCTCTACCTGACGTTCGACACGCCACTGCCATGCCCAAATGCCGGGAGACCGCAGTCGGACCGCGGCGACCTTCCGGCGTGTCCTGACCTTTCTCCATACGTAGACCCGACGAAATGGCCGTTGGCGCGCAAGGGGGTTATGTTGGTTATATCTTGCATGGCTACATGCTTTACGGCGTACGCGGCCGGCGCGTATTCTGAATCTGCGGATCTGATCGCCGTGGAGTTCAACACTACACGCGAGAGCGCTCTGGTCGGCGTGACTACCTTTTGCATCGGCTTCGCTATCGCCCCTATGATCTTGGCTCCGTTTTCGGAGATCAACGGGCGCTACCCCGTCTTCGCCATTGCCGGGGTCATATTTGTAGTCTTTCAGGCCGTCTGCGGCGTGGTCACAAACTTAGCAGGTATGTTGATCGCCCGGTTTTTCACGGGCGTCGGCGGAAGCGTGTTTAGCACCATGGTGGGCGGTGTAATTGCCGACATGTACGAGAAGGAAGACCGCAACATGCCGATGGCCTTCTTCAGCGGCGTCGTCCTGGTCGGTACCGGCCTCGGGCCGCTCGTGGCTGCGGTAATGGTTCAGCAGTGGGGAGGCGAGGGCCAGAAGTGGAAATGGGTATTTTGGCATCAGGGTAAGTCAACAATTCCCTATGCCCACCTTGCTCCCGCTACTAAATACGTCGTACAAAAGGCATGAGGGTGACTGTATCTACATCGGATCGTATGCGATACGTGGCAGCTAACATCCTAGCACCGCAGTTATTATAGATTTTATCTTGATGGTTGCCGTCGTGGCCTTTTTCAAGGAGAGCCGCGGTTCGGTGCTCCTATCGAGAAAGGCAAGAGCATTGAATAAATGGTATCAGCAGCTGGAGGAGAAAGGGGTGTTTGGAGTTTATATTCCTGGATCGAATGGCGACTCGGATATTTTGTCGAGACTGGCGACGACCACGAACGACGATATGTCGGCCACAGAAAAGGGCCTGTCGGCGCCCACATCGGAATCTAAGCTGAAGGGATGTCCAGGGCTGCGGCGAATTAGATGGGCCGTTAAGGAAGACAAGCAGCAGGCGTCCCTCGTCACGATGATAACCGTATCGTTCTTTAGGCCATTCGTATTCCTCTTCACGGAACCCATCGTCTTCTTCTTCTCGCTATGGGTATCTTTCGCGTGGGGCATTCTCTACCTAACTTTCGGGTCTATTCCGCTCGTGTTCCAGAGACAGTACAACTTTAACATCGAGCAGTCCGGCCTCGTCTTTATTGCCATGATCGTAGGCTCCATACTCGCGACTATCCTCGGTATATATCAAGAAGGAATGCTCAAACATCCCAAGTGGCGATCCGCATCAGATTGCTCGGGGACGGACAGCTCGGAAGACAGCCCCGAGGAGATTGATACAGGTACCGGGTTCTGGGCTTTTGTGCGACGGAAATTTCCAGCCCAATCTCCCGAATCGCGGCTTTATTTTACCTGCTTCACGTCAGTGCTGCTGCCGACGGGTCTGTACCTGTTCGGATTCGCGTCCCAGCCGTCGATCCACTGGATGGTTCCTACGTTTGCAATATTCCTCGCTACGATGGGCATCTTCTACGTCTACTTAGCTACATTTAACTACCTAGCAGACGTCTATCAAGCGTACGCGTCATCGGCGCTTGCCGCGCAGTCCTTCTGCCGCAACGTACTCGGTGGGGTATTCCCTCTTGTCACAGGTTTGCTGATCCGAAACCTCGGAGAAGACGCGATGGGTGGGCTGCTGGGCGGAATTGCTACCGTATTGACAATCGTACCGTGGGCTTTGGTCTTGTTCGGAAGCAGAATCCGGGCTCGGAGCTCGTTTGCTATTGTGAGTGTCCTTGATTCGTTTGCAGACTCGGTTCGATCGCTAACAGTAGACAGGCCCTTGAGCAAAAGTGAAGAGAATAGAGCGTAGAGCTTTGTGGATTAAAGAGTGTATAAGCGCGAGCATGCTAAATATAAAGGACATATTGTGCTAAATTTGAGAGGGGAATCTAAAATAGACATTGAAAGACTTCGGAGTAGAATAATATCAAACCGTCGGAGAGAATAGAATTCGAATAAAGTCTATTAAGATGATACCGTCGCTTCATGAACAAATATGAACATATTTGGGACGGGATAGCTGGTATGGTACTCTTAATACTTAGGATGAACTTTTAAGAGAGTTTTCCATGGGATATTAGGCTTGAGACTTAAACATGGAACCACCTTCCGATTACTGTTATTTATTGGTTATACATACCTTCTTATGCCTTCTCAAATAGAACGTTTCATCTACGGAATAGTAAACCTTCTTTTAGCGCATCAACTTATAGATTAGGTATGCACGGATCCGTACCTACCTAGGTATCGAGATATGCACATAAACATGAATCCCTACCCCGCGGTGTACTAATGTTTGGCCCCTCCAAAATGACGATTTTGCAACTTAGCTCTACATGTAAGTATTCTTAAACTTGTCCTGGGACACCCGCAAAATCTACGCCACTCTCGCGATTAACACAGCACAATTAACACAACACAATACCGATCATGGACGAAATTACAAAAATGTCCGGACCTGTTCCGGCAAACTTTGATGCGGAAAATGCAGACAATCTGGAGGATGTAGGACTCCCTAGGTTGTCAATATCTAGATGCATCTGATAGCTAATCCGACTCCACGAGTAACAGATTGAGAAGCAGTTTGCGGTCAAAGGTTTGCGCGAAACCAAATCTGCTTTAAATACAATATTCTAACCTTGGCTCACGAGCGCAGCGGTGCAGCATCTAGAGACATACTGGTCTATTCTGGAAAAGGTAAAAGGTTCTTCGTTGCGACTCACCAAGATGGACGATGATATATATGCCCACCTCAAAGCCGAATTTCCCGAATTCGATCCCGCAGCCACCATTAACGAGGAAGAGATGAAGAGTAAGTCGGGCAAGGAGCGGTGGCGCAAGTTCATGATGGCCTACGACAAGAAGGTCGATGACTACAACTTTGGCACCATGTTACGAACGAGCCCTAGCGTAGAATACGAGAAGGACACGACCATATTTGGTATTGACATTTACCCCCTTGCAAAGTTGAGACAGGGTAAACCCCCTCTGCTAACTCGCCTCCTCTCTAGTCCCGAGGATGCAATTCTACGCCATCGAGATAGCAAGGAATAGGGCCGGCCTTAACGACTGGATCTACGAGAAGGCTAATGGCGCGTGTAAGGCCTAAGGCAATAGCCCTTTTAAACGAGATGGGAAAATATACTCTCGCTATCCCATACGATACGCAAAAGAGGACAAGAGGCGAAGTAGGTAGAAGCGAATAGGAGCGCCGGGGCCCCACGTCGGTAACATGGTCAGAACCTGATATACCTGTAATGCGTGGATAAAAACGTAAATGGACGAATGGCTTCGAGCCCTAATCGGATTACTTAGGCGACCTGGTATCCTAGTGAGCTGTCAAAGATTCGACATTCATGGTAACAGTTGTCGTAATATTTATCATCGTTTTATACGGAGCAAGCCTATTTCGAGACGCCCTTTATTCGAATTAGAACTAGTAAATTGCACTCCAGCTCTTTTGGCGCTATCGGCACCCCGACACCTTGCTTGCAGCTACAAAGCAAGAGCGGACAAAGGCCAACGGTACCGGGAAAGCTGGCGTAGAGCGTCTTAAGTAAATAAATGTGGCCCGACGATAATTCAATTGGAATTCTCGTGATACAATATCTGGGCTGGATCCCAGACGTCGGCTCTCGCTCTTTTGAACAACTGATATCGTGCTAACAGGACACCGAAGCACCACACAACGCAGCGAGGTCCTCTGCCTGTCATGTCTCGACCGAGTCTAAAATCCAGGGACGGATCAAGCCCTCGCTATAGCGAAGACGGAGCGTCCGGCCATGCGCAATCTGCAAGAATCGACTCACAGCGTTTGCAACCATCGTCTCTGAGACACCTTTTCGTATTCGCGACGTGGCGTCACTGCGGAATATTAGCTGCAGGCCTGGTGGCATCGTTGCTAGTGGGCGCTATGAGAGCAGCTTCTGCCATCCTCATAGGCAGAATATTCGCCGTCGTTGCCGACTTCGGATCGGGGAAACTGGACGGCCCAGGCGCCTACGCTCAGGTCTCGTCCTGGTGCGTCATCCTAATGTTGGTTGGCGGAGCGGGAGTGATTGTTAATTTTGCCTTTATGTTCATCTGGTCCATCTTCAGCGAGGTCCAAGTCAGGAATATCCGCCGCAGAGTGTTTGACGCCTTGCTCACGAAGGACATGGCTTGGTTCGATCGCCAGGAAGACGGGATCCCGAGCCTGCTCGTGAGAATACAAACGTACTGCTTATCCTGATCTGGTAGCCGCATAAATCGCTAACCGTTTATTAGACAGATTAGAGAGCTTCAAGTGGCATCTTCGGCGACATTGGGGTCTATAGCAGCCGAGATTGCCACATCGATCGCAAATCTCATCGTCGCATTTTACGGCTCGTGGAAACTCACGCTCGTACTCCTCGCCACGATACCGGCTATCGTCGTCGTACCTTCTCTACTAAGCGGTAAGCTGAAGCTGGCTATTCAAGCGCAGAAGCGAGAGCTCGGCCGGGCATCTAAGCACGCGATATCAGCCTTAACCGCGATAGACCTCGTAAAGGCCTTCAACGCCGTCGACCACGAAGTCTGGCAGTATCTCAAGGTTATACAAAAGTCTATGGATACGTATCTAACTCTGGCCAGGACGAGCGCGTGGCAAGTCGGATACATAAGATTATGGCTCGACGGAATATTCGTGCTGGGGTTTTACTACGGTGCTGTTCTAGTGAACCAGGGGCTAAACCCGGGAAGCGTCGTGACAACATTCTACGCGGCTCTTGGTGCGTTACAGGCCATCTACACCATCGCGCCGACGTACGTCTCCCTGGCGAGGGGAATGGCTGCCGGCCAAGCTCTCTACTCTATAGCTCACAACATCGAAGGCGGACGAAGGATCTATCAAATGATAGGTAGCTACCGCCCTATAAATTGCTCTGGCAAGATCGAGGTTAACGACGTGAGTCTGCCTTAATCGCTCTTCTCCCCTATGTCTAACACCACGGTCTCCAGGTCAGCTTTGCGTACCCGTCAAATCCAACCAAGGTCGTTCTGAACAGATGCTCTTTCATCTTCGATCAAGACCGGCTATGTTTTATCGTTGGGCAGAGCGGCTCAGGAAAGAGCACGATAGGCAATTTGCTAGCGAAATTCTACGAGCCCCTCAGCGGAAACATATTGATAGACGGCCACGCGCTGAAGACTTTAGACTCCGAGTGGGTGCGGAGCAATGTTACACTTATCCAACAGGCGAGCGTCCTCTTCAACGATACAATCTATGCGAATGTCGCCATGGGCCACAGAATACCCACGGAGGTGTCTAGGAAAGGAGTCGAAGCGGCATGCAAAGCAGCCCTGCTCCAGTCAACTCTGATCGAGCTACCCGACGGCCTAGATACGTACGTAGGGACTGGGGGCATCAACCTCAGCGGTGGTCAGAAGCAGAGGCTAGCCGTAGCGAGAGCAAGAATACGCGATCCGCCAGTACTCATCCTTGACGAAGTCACGAGCGGGCTCGACCCGACGAATCGAGGCCTACTTATGGATGGAATTAGGCAGTGGCGACGAGGGAAAACAACCATTATAATTACCCACGAAGTAGCGCAGATCAACGACGACGATTACGTATACGTCATGGAGGACGCGCGCGTCGTACAGGCAGGCTTCCGTTGGGATTTGCAGCGGCAGAGAGACGGCATATTTGCTGTATTAGCGTCTTCGGCTTCAAACGACGAGATCAATGCAGGTAAAGAAGTTTACGCGGATGCGCCAGGGGACAAGGCAAGTGCCGCAGTCAACCTCACGCCGCCGAGGAGCGCCGCATTGCAAGATCCTACTTCTCCAGACTACGTTTGGCCTTTCGGGGGGCCAGACGCCCTCTATCGGCGGAGCGCTACGCCGGACGCAGGTGCATCGGCCATACATGCCCACCAATTTCGGAATGGGAACGAAAACAGGGAACCTACTCGGCTAGGAGGCTTGGATACTCTGGACACGCTCCTAGAGCCCCCTGATTTCTTCCGCAGGAGGCTCTCGTCGCTGTGGTGGCCTGATCATTATCGTCTATTCTACAGCGAGTCTAACCAAAAGAGGCCGCTGAGCAGAAATAGCATACTACGCCTTCAAGAGCTGGGCGACAAGGTGCGGAAAACTCGCGGCAACCCTGCCGACAAGGAACGGCGGCGGGGACCTATGACTACGCCCGTAGACACTTTCGAGACTCGCGACAACGACAGGTCTGAGACACTATCCTTGTGGGCTATCTACAAGACGGTATGGCCACGCCTGGCTACGAAAGAAAGAGTATTCCTCATTGTAGGACTTTTTACGTGCGTCGTGCTCGCGGGCTTGGTTCCGGCTTTTTCGGTCCTATTTGCAAACCTCCTGGCGGTCCTATTTTCAAGCGGAGACAAAATGGCCGCGGGACAGAAATGGGCTCTGTGCCTCTTAGCAATCGCCTGCACAAGAGCAGCAGCGACGTACTTTAATCAGTACCTGATGCAGAGGGCAGGCCAGGCTTGGGTAAACGCCCTGCGTATTCGAGCGCTGAACAGGGTGCTGCGACAGCCCAAATCGTGGTTTGACGAACCGGCTAATTCGGCCGTCCGCATAAACGAGTGCATGGATCGATACGCGGAGGAGATGCGAAATCTTGTCGGGCGTTTCGCTCCGCAGCTGGTACTCGTGACTATCATGGTCGTTAGCACTGTGGTATGGGCGCTGCTCATCTCGTGGCGGCTCACACTCGTAAGCCTCGCGAGCGCGCCAGCCTTCGTCGCAGCCACCCAAGGTCACTCCCTCGTGTCTCAGAAGTGGGAAAACAAATGCCTCAAAGCCGCAGACGATATCAGCGCCATCTTGACGGAAACTTTTATTAACGTGCGCGTCGTTCGGGCCTTGACGTTAGAGCAGTTCTTCTCGAATAAGCACGATAAATGTATTCGCAGAGCTTTCGAACTAGGAGCCGAAAAGTCCGTCTGGACCGCTATCCCGTACGCCTGCTCACAGTCTATGGTCTGGTTTATCTTCGCGCTAACCTTCTGGTACGCGATCGAGCTGCTCACAACTGATCGAGAGCTTACGATCCCCGCCATCCTGCAGGTGGTGAACCTGTTAGTTCTAGGCGTCACTACTGCCTTTAGCATACTGGGTTCTATAACCGGTGTTTCCGCAGCACAAGCAACAGCCTCCCGACTAATCCACTACGCGTACTTACCCCTCGACGCCTCTCACGAGTCGAGAGGCAAGATTCTACTCGTAAACCCCTTTCCAATCAGGATGGAGCGTCTGTCCTTCACCTACCCGTCGAGCAAGCGCACCGTACTTCGAAATCTCACCCTCCGCTTTGACGCCGGCACATCTACCGCAATAGTCGGCCCTTCCGGTTGCGGCAAGAGCACGATCGCGTCTATCATCCTTGGCCTATACGCACCGGACCGGCCGAGAGGTAGGCGGAGCAGCGGGAACCAGCGGCAGCTAACCTTCGCGTCCACGCCAGCAGCTCAACTTGACCTCGCCGGCCTGCGGAGTCATATCGGTTACGTCCCCCAGATACCGCTTCTCTTCCCTGGCACGCTCGCGGAAAACATCGCTTACGGCCTAGCGGAAGACTCCCCGCTGCTCACGCCGGAGAATATTCAGAGGGCAGCCAAGGAGGCAGGCATCCACAACTTCATCCGCACTTCGACGGCCGGCTACGATACGATCGTCGGGGACGGCGGACAGTCGCTCAGCGGCGGACAGGCGCAGCGGATTTGCATAGCCAGGGCCTTGGCGCGGCGACCTAAGCTGTTAGTGCTCGACGAGCCTACGAGCGCGTTAGATACGGTTAGCGCTAGGGACGTGCGGCATACGATAGAGTCTCTCATGCAGTCTTCAAGAACGAAGAGCGTCTATGACGGCGAGGGCGCTGGCACCAGCAGGGGAGAAGAGCTGTCAATTATTGCTGTTACGCACAGCAAGGAAATGATGCGCATGGCGGATCGAATAATTGTAATCGACCAAGGCAGCGCAGTAGAGTCTGGCTCTTACAAGGAGTTATTGGCGAGGAATGGCAAGTTCGCAGAGCTGATGAGCGGCGGTCTCTGGGTTGGAGACAACAGGGAAGATCATTCACAAGGACCGCAGGAAGTAAGGCGCAGCGCGCGGCTGGTTGCAGATGATCTTCCACTACGCAGCATAGGTCGTTCGGACGAGAGCTACTCTGCTACAACACCTGGATGGGTTGGTTTGCGAGACGTGCAGTGGGGAGACAATCGAGGTCCATCTACCGGCGTCTTGAGCCCTCTCACAAGCCCGTTCGGCGCGTCTCGACGAAAGGAGCGTAGGGACGATGGCGATGACGATTAAAACATAATGTACGAGAATATCTTAGGTATTCCGTCCTTGTAGATAGAAGGATAGATCGTAATGGGTATTAATTAAAAAGTAATTGCTGTACGACATGAACATCTGGGCGAAACGTTTCTCATGTTTCTAAATCCGTAAAGTGTATCAGCCACATGCTCATACGAGCTTAATAAGCTTTGCTGCTAGAAGGCCCTTTAATATGTAATGATTTACATAACTAGAATTTACATAACTCAACCTAAGAAATAAATTATATTCTTATTGATTTTCAAATGTTTAAATTAAATTTTTTTTAAGATGATATCTGTAAAGAGTCATAAGTTACCTCCTTTATAGGTGGCTGGCTATTGTGTTAGTTTGTGATACCTAACATGTGGCTTTGCTGAGATTTTTTTTTTCTCTCTACCAAACCTTTGTTGCACACAATGATTTGATTAGAGCCAACAGGATCTCAAGCTGTAAAGATCAGTTTGCAGCTATTTACATTAGGCGTTTCCGGTGTCAAAGTGGCAATAGCTACAGCTTGATAGAAATGGACTTTTAGGCCATGTGACTGGCTTGTCAAATCAAAATTCCCAACCATATCCGCCTAGCCTGTTGGTTACTACGACGTGCGTAAATTCGGTATGTTTAATTGCATCCTACCTGATCCATTATGAGTTACATAGGCAGATATCCGACTTTAATCTTTTAGGGACAGTTTATTAACAATCCTGACAGTACTTGTTTACAAATCTGCGAATTGTCAATACTGCCTTTTGCAAGCTTGATTGAATACTCACCCGTCCCATACCGGCGGTCCGGGAATCGTGTAATTCTGCGACAGGTTAGATTCGGCACAGAAAAGGGTCTGGCATATTCCTACCGTTTGTGCCTTTATCTCATCCGAGTAGATGTCAATCCTGATCGACGGATCTGATACTGTTAGTCACTTTCGCTGATATGGGGGCGACACGTACCATCTTCCTTATACGTCCCGGGGAACTTGGCGAAATACTCGGGTGACGGTACCGCCGTCCCTGTTCCGGTGATGTTCAGATGCGCGCACTCGGGATAGAATTGTGGCTTATTCTCTATATGTATACTTAGGATCTCATGCCTAATAATGTAGAGTCCCGGCTTGATGGTCGCCGGAATTGTAGCAGACCACAGGTCCGGAGATCCATCCCAGTTCTGGAACTGTTTCTGATACCATATACCCTCTACGATGTTGCCCTCCACCAAGCCCGCCTCCCAGATCTTGAAGAAGTCTAGCTGGTTCACGTCGACGTCCTCGCATGACTCCCCGCAGTCGGCGAGCCAAACCGACATGGGCCCATACGGATGCAGCCAATACCAATAGACCGCCGTAATGTTATCCCCGGCTGCGATGGGAATATATGACGGCGGCGCCGTGCCTGGGGTGTTGCAGGCCAGGCCAGTATCGTTTACGAAGAATACCGGATCGATGCTCGCCCATATCCTCTGAACCATCCAAGGCTTGCCCTGCTGGTCTTCCAACGGCTCGTCCGGGCTGTATCTGTAACTCTAGTTAGCGTCGGCATCGAACATCAGCAATACAAAATATTACCCCCTATACCAAGTGTCGCCAACAGTGTAGTTTGCAAGGCCGCCGTGAGCAGCGACGGAGCTAGCGAGAAGCGCTAGCGCTGCTAAAAGGATCTGGCTGGCCATAGTGGGATATGCTTTAACGGTGAGGGCCTGACGATTCTGGCAGCCGAGGCAGCATCACTAAGGAAGGAAGTTCAAGAGGCTACCGCAGCAACTACCGGTTGCCAAGAACCTGGGGAAGCTTGCCGCTTCTGCTTGAAGTATTTGAACCATCTTGGAAGTATGGCCAGATTCTGCAGACAAGTTCGGCCACGCTCGAGGGCGCAGTGGCGCGACGCTTTAACTTCGTGCGGTAATTCGGAGCGTCTAGCAAGCGGCTGGATGCAACCTCGTCTCCGGCTATTTCAAAGGCTGCCACCTTCGCATCTTTGGGGTTTACAGGTTCTAAGAATAGTAATTTTCCAATTAGCCACGTTTAAATACTCTAAAAGTTTTTTAAGCTCTATTTTACGAAACCACGCCAAGGATGAGGAACTCTCATAAGAACCGTCAGAGGAGATAGGCGTGTCTATGTATGAGTACCTATTAGTCTGGGTTGTCCCTTTACCCAGTCTACTCTTACGCTGATAAAAATGAGCAAGGTTGAGAATTGTATAATTTTTCGACACAAGCCTTGAAACTTGAGTTCCTCCTAACGACTCTTTGTAAACCCTATATCGACAGTATTAATACTATAAACGTGTCCGGGATTTCTTGGGTATATTGATATTCATCACCCGATGCTACCCTACGCAAAGCTCCTGCGCGTCCCAACAGCACCAGCGATATTAGCCATATTACCCAATCTCCCCACGTTTGGAGATGTGGAGTCTCCCATGCTAAACGCTCACCCGTCATCATCCCCAAAGTGCCAAGCGGATCTCGGTGCAAGGGGTCAATCTCGCCACGCGCGACGCAGTGGTTAAACGCGCCACTCTCGTCGAACCGTCAGATCAAAAAGCCTGTATTGCGTCGTTTAGAGTGGTGCCTCCCGATGTCTCGACTTGGCTAGAGCCGCTCGACCCCTATCGACTCGGAAATGGGAGACACCAAGCCACTCCAGTTCAGGCATTCGGAAATCAGCCGGAATGCGACGATGCGACGAGACATAAGTCGTCCCGCATCAAAAGCCAAGCCTAGCGACATATAAGAATCGTCTCGATGCCCCCAACCGCCCTTTACTAACCAGCGAAGCACACTATCCCACCTCATCCCAGATTCTAGAAACAGCGCCCAAGATGATGCGCCGTCTGACTTCCGCCCTCCTTCTGGGCTCCGCGGCTACCGCACTGCCGTTCGCCGACATCTACGAGCGCCAGAACACCACCGCCTGCTCCGTAAAGGACACCTACCCGGTTGTGAACTTTGCTCAGCTGCCCGACCCTTTTACTTTCGAGGACGGAACGAAAGTCGCTAGCAAGGACGACTGGACATGTCGTCAACAAGAGATTAGCAAGCTCCTACAGCAGTACGAGCTAGGCGCCTACCCCCCGCCTCCCGACAAGGTTGAGGCTTCTCTTTCCGGAAGCACCATGTCCGTCAAGGTTACAGTCGGCTCCAAGTCGGTCACCATTAGCACCTCCATCAAGAAGCCTAGCAGCTCTCCCGGCCCCGCCATCATCACCATCGGCGGTTCATCGCTGCCCATTCCCGGCACCGTGGGCACTGTCGGATTTAACAATGACCAGTTCGCCTCCCAGGCTTCCGGCCAGTCCCGCGGCCAGGGTGATTTCTACACTCTCTTCGGAAACACCCACTCTGCCGGTGCTCTTACTGCGTGGGCTTGGGGTGTCGACCGCGTCATCGACGGTCTTGAGCAGCTCGGCGCCGACAAGACCGGTATCGACCCCAAGAGGCTAGGAACTACGGGCTGCTCCCGTAACGGAAAGGGTGCTTTCATCGTCGGAGCCCTCGCCAACCGTATCGCTCTGACCCTCCCGCAAGAATCCGGTTCCGGTGGCGCTGCCTGCTGGCGTATCTCCGACTCCGAGCATAGCAAGGGCAAGAACATCCAGACCGCCGGCGAGATCGTCGGAGAGAACGTTTGGTTCAGCCAGAACCTAAACCAATACACTTCCAAGACCAACACCATGCCCGAAGATCACCACTTCCTTGCTGCCCTCGTCGCTCCTCGCGGTCTCCTCGCCTTCGAGAACGACATCGACTGGCTCGGCCCCGTCAGCACGACCGGCTGCATGAAGGCGGGACGTCTCATCTACAAGGGTCTTGGCGTTCCCACCAACATGGGTTTCTCCCTCGTCGGCGGCCACAGCCACTGCTTGTTCCCATCCTCGCAGCAGGCCGAGCTTACTGCCTACATCAACTACTTCTTGCTCGCCGGTACCACGGCTCCTCCCGAGGTCGAGAAGAGCAGCGCCAGCGTCCCCGTCACCGACTGGGCCCCGTGGACTGTTCCCACTCTTGCTTAAGCGGGTAAGCGGGTAAGCGGGTAAACGATAGCGGAATCTCTTGTATATAGCATGCCGCGATAGCAGAGTGCCAAACTGTACGGTTTTGCTTTTGGTTATCTAGTCGTACGTACGCGAACGGTAATAAAAGCCGCCTGTCAAATTCCAGACTATTTCTTAATTACATGTGATTTGCGCTTAGCCACGTAGCCACTCCTTTACCGTCGCTGCCAGATCTTCCTCCTGCAACCCGAGTAAGCCAATCGCATTTTTGTCTCCTAAAACTGCGCGACCAGCACCATCCGCGTAGATGCGACTCCGCAAGAAGTTGGAGAATGCGCTGTAATCCCCCTTGCTTAGCTTCTCCAGTCCGATTTTCTCCTGCTCTGCGGTGCTGGCGTGTTCTACCTTCCACTTCTCGCCCGTCTCCGCTTCCACGATCTTTAGAATCTGGTTTTGGGACGGATTAAATGACGCGATCGTGAGATACTGGTTGGCTGTCTTCTCCGGCTGCGACAATATAGCACCGATAGCCTTGCCGATAAACGCCAAATTCGATGCCTGGACTGGTTCGTCTCCGGAGTCGTAGATGGTCGCAGTCTTCGTGTCCTTATTAAACCCTACGGTTCCGTATTTAAGCCCCTACGCAGCTCGTCAGCGCCTATAATTATTTTTGGGATGACTTTATGCGTACCCAATCGAAGAAGATTCCGGTGGAGACGCCGGTCCACGTAAACCACGGATTCTCCTGAGACTTGCTAACGATATAATCGAGAGCCTGGACCTTGCCCTGGAGGATTTTTCCGATCGATGTACCTTCTACGATTCTCGTATTGATGCCGAACTCGGATGGGATGAACCGCTTCACCTTGGCGGCGATAGCGGCGTCTACCAGCGGGACCTGACCGCCGACAGCTACTGTCGCGATCGTAGATACGACCGCATCTTGCCCTTGAAGCGCGGCAGTTAACCCCTCGACAGACTGATAGTTAACCTTTTTAGTGGTTACTCCAGGGGGGAACGTGGCTGTCGACTCCTCACGCGCGAACGCGGTAACCTTGAAGCCAGCTTTAAGCAGTTCTTGGACGACTTCCTTTCCCAAATTCCCCGACGCCTAATAAGATATTAGCAAGATTGCGAGCTTGTTTAAATCTACTCACCCCAATTACAACCACGTTCTTGATAGAATCCGCCATGGTTTGTCTAAATAATTGGCTGCGAGTTTGATTCGGGGTCCTAGCAGATTGAGGGGGTTTATGTTTAACAAAGACAGGTTAATTGCCGGACCTGCGAGACTATTTATGCTACGAACCGCTAGCCAAGCGGGGGACTATCATGCGTGATCTCAATTACCTAGGCGTGCTCGGAGAACTCGAGCCAAGTCTGGAACTCCCGAGCGATCGATCAGGGTGATTCGTTAGTAGAGACAACAATGCCGCATATAATTGGACAGAGGTGAGCTCATAAGAGGTAGTAGATTCGTAATCCATGCACCACAAGCCGAGAGATTTATTAGGTGTACGTTATTGATAATCAAACTCAGTTATTCAGAAAGATTCGATAATAGATTCAAGTTAATGATTATGGTTTGATTAATAATGTTGCGGTTCGAACAACATACCCGCTCCCGCCAAGAAGTAGCAGAATCGGTAATAGTAGTTTTAACCGCTATATTGCTTCTTCCTAAAGTCCGCCGCCGTGGTTATTATCCGATTTAGCATCCGGCTAGCCCCTGATTCTAGTTGGAGTTTTCTACTTTGCGGCTTATATTCTTGAATGTAATCAGGTATAAGATAGCATTCGTACGTCTCATTAGACGACTATCAAAGTACGAGATAGCGCCGTTTATGTCACGGCGAATACTCGATCTTGAATTATTGACGACCAAGTTCTCGTCTTAAAGCGGCTTAACTACTCGTATCGCTCAAGCTAAGAATATAATAATAGTTTCGCACCGGACTGCGCCTCTCGTTATTGATGCAAAATTGCTTTACCGCCACGACCGAAACTGCTCTCCCGCAGATCCAGACCTTGATTCGGCACTTTCACTCAAATAATACCCCTATTAATTTCACCCAGCACGGTCACGACGATGCCGACTTGTCCGGTTCGCCCTATCGTAATCAGCTCTTCCGAAAGTGGGGACCCGGAGGTAACATCCACTTCGGCTCCGAACTAATCAGGAAACCAATACACAACATCGGCGGTGATCCGCTAAGAGTATTAGAGGAATTTGAAAAGAATGTAGTTAAAAGGGCGTAACATAACGAAAGAATTTCGAATCCCGGTTTTAGGTCATTTGAGATGAGTAATATTTTATTAAACGCGGCTGCAATCGTGGAAAAGGTATCTACGATGGGATCACGCTGCGGGATAGATAAGAAGTTCAGTGACCCCCAGAGAGTCATAGTAATTGTATTGGGTTAACAATCTGCACCTGCGTTCCGCAGTCTCCTTCCCGGAAATGAATGCCTTACCAACTTCAATCCCAGGTCCGCATCGAGACTTTCTATGCGCTGACCTCCGTCAGTTGTCCTAATCCTCCTCATCCTCGTCGTTCTCCTCGTCCTCAATCTCGTCTTCACTCTCTTCTCCAGCCTTCACCCGGCTTTCCTTCCCCGCGTCCAAGATTTTGGTAGATACAACTGCTATCGCAGCCATTTCCCCGGCTTCCGCCTCTACTCCCTCGTCCTCTCCGTTGCCGCTCCCGGAACTGTCGTCCACGATGCTCTCGATGTCCTGGCCCAGTTCTTCGATGAAGCTACGAATATGGGCCGCCTTCGCATATCGCCATCTTGTGCCCCAGTAGCGCACACGCATCGCCACCTCCTCCTTGATGACCTTACGCTCGGACTGGCTCCAATCCAAGTATGTGATGCCGGCTAGGAAGGTCCACCAAATGTATCGCGCCCGCGGGCGAGCATCCGTGAGAAAGTGAAGGGGGCGATTGTGTAGGTCCATGAGGCAACTGATGCCATGTACATCGGCGTCGAACATGCCCACAGACTTTGTAAAGTTGCTAGAACAGACAACGACCTTGTACCCCTTGGGCTCGGTTGTACTCCACGCCCGCATCAAGGCATGGTCCGCAGGGTCAGGGACGTCCGGGACAATCGCGAGGTGGCCTTTGTCCAGGGCCTTTTCGACCTTCGTGCTGAGTAGCAGGCCGTTCAGAGGGGAAAACAGCTCCTCCCTAGCGCCCGGGCCGAATATTTCGTCCATCAAGCACTCAGACTTGCATGGGAACAGGTGCGCGGCGGTGATAAGCTCTTCATCCATCTTCTTGCCCAAAACCGGATCCCATATTGCGCCGCGCTTCCACTGCGGCGGATGGTAGGCCTTGATGAGGGCCTTCCGGAAATTGGACTGGTCCGTCGTTTCTCTTCGGCCACTGCCCGCCGTCTTCACCCCGAAACCCAGACTCGAGGTGTTGAAGAGTTTGACAAACATACTCCGATTCTTCTTGTCCTTGTCCTTGGGGTCGGTCGGGTCGAACTCGAGGCGGGATGACAGCGTTTGCGAGATTTGCCGCCATTTCTCGGCGGCCTTTTGCTCCGCGAGGAGCTGGGCTCGCTTCGAGTCCCATTCCAAACGCGCGTCTTCGTCGCCGGCCTCCGACTCGATATCACCTGCCTCAATAATACACTCCAGGCGTTTGCCCTCCATCGTAGAAATCTCAGCTGTCTGCGTCCAAAACTCAGAGTCGTATGAGTTTGCATGCTTTATCCGCTTCCTCGCTGCGGACAACTCGTCCTGAATCGAGGTCTTCCGTTTTTGAACATCTAGAAGTGAGGTCGTGCGAGACGGCACGAGATGGGGTGGGCTGGTGGTCGTGGTCTTCTTCACAGAAGAAGAGCGTACAGGGACCTTCGGATTATTGGACATGGTTGGGTCAAAAAACGTTTAAGAGCGAGGAAATACGTGAGAAAAGGAGTATGAGACTTGCAGCTCTACTACGTGGAGGGCGTCGGAGTCGTTTTTATAAGCAGCTCAACAGAAAAGAGTTTGGTTTAAGCATAAAGCCTTTACAAAAAAATAACTTTGGTGGTGTGGTGGTACTACGTAATTACTAGCTATACTGAAAATTACTGGGCTTTGCGAACTTTACTCAATTAACATCACTTTATACTTTACAGTGGTTAACCGTGTAAAAGTACGATGCGCGAGGAACCAAAAGCCGCCAAAGCGACAAAATGCTAAAACACTTCGTTAGTTTAAACCGTCAAATACCAAAAATGCACAGTATACAGTACAGTGCTTATGGGTTATTTACACAGTATACGTAAAAAAAGTTGTAAATTTTAAAATAAAATAAAAGAAAATAAATTAAAATAAAATAAATTTATAATTTAATTATTATAATTTTAATTTAAAATATTATTATTTAAATGTTTTTATTTTATTTATTTTTAACGTTATTAAAAAAATATAAATATACGTTAATATTTATATATATTATTATATATATATTTAAAGTTTTAAAAAATTTTATATTTATATAAAATTTTATTATAAAAATAAAATATAAATTAATATTTATAATTTTTTTATTTATATATAAAAATATTTTAAAAATAAATATTTTTTATATTTTTTTTTAAATATTATATAAAGTTATTTTTAAGTTTTTATATTTAATAAATTTATAAATTTATAATATTTTTATTTATTTAAAAATTTAATAAATTTATTAATTATTAAAATATTATTAATAAATAATATTTAATTGGTTATTTAATTATAAAATTATTTTATAATAATTTATTAATTTATAAATAAAATTATAAAGTTTATTAATTTTAATTAATTATTTATATTTTTATAAAATAATTAATTATATAAATATAATTTTTATAAAAATAATAATATAATAAATAATATAATACTTTTTAAAAATATTTTTATTTTAAATATTATTTTTTATATATAAATATTATTTTTTTAATATTAATTAATAATTAATTAAATAATTATAAATAATAAAATATTTAAAATAAAAAAAGTTAAAATATATTTATTAAATAAAAGTCGTGTATTAAATGACTTATTTAATTAAATAACTTTATTTAATCATATGATTTTATTTAATTATATGATTTAAATTTTAATATAAATACTTTTTATGGTCGAATACATTTATTTTACATAACTTTAACCACATTAAATATAAGTCATTTTTTTCATTTTATTATAACATCATTTAAACCATAACATTAAATTTAATATAAAAGTTTAATTTAAGTTTAAAGTTAATAACTTTATTTATTATTTTAAAATAAATTAAATTATTTTAAAATTATTTAATAATAATAAATAACGGATAATTTTTAAATTTAATATGCGTTAAATATTATAAAATAATAATTTATATTTATTACGTATAAAAAAACTTTTTTTTTAATAATTTTATTATTGTTTTTTTATATTTTTTAATTTTTTATTTTAATATATTTTATATTATTTATATAATTATTTAAAATAGTTAAAACTTTTATTAATTATATTAATGTTAAATATAAAAATTATTATATAAATTTTTTAATATTTTTAATAAATATTTTAAACGTTAAAAATATTTTTATAATTATATTTATTAAAATTTTTTAATATTATTTTTTCGAAAAAATATTACGTTTAAACTTTTTTAATTAATAAAATAATTAATAAAGTAATTAATAAAGTAATTAATAAAATAATTAATAAAGTAAATAATAAATAAATGATAAAATAATTAATAAAAAATTATATGTGTTTACGTAAAAAATACTTAAAAATTAATAAAATCATTAATAAAACTTTAATAAATTAATAAAATTTAACATTTATAAATTTAATTAACCGTATTTTACATTGTTTTTACATTATTTAAGTGTTTTTATTAAATATATTTTTTTTAATTTTTACATTTTAAAATTAATTAATTAAATATATCGTTTTTAACTTTTACATTAATAATGTATTTAAATTAAATGTATTTATTTAACGTTTTTAATTGTTAACTTTATAACATTTAACTTTATAACTTTTAACCTTATAACCATATGCTTACATAATTAACCAAAATGACAATAACTTTACAAATGGTTAATTTAAAAAATGACCGATATTTAAAAATAAAAATAAAATTTAAAAAAATAATAAAAAATAATATAAAATAAATAAAAATAATAATGAAAAATAATAATAAAAAATAAATTTAATAAAAAATAATAAAAAATAATAAAAAATAAATATAATAAAAAAAAAATAAAAAAAAAAAAAATTAAAAAATAAAAAATAAATTTTTTTTTTTTTTTTTACAAGGTAACCGCCTTTAAGACTTAAAAGTTTAAGCGGTTTTTTCGGAAAAATTTAACGGACAGTTTTTTTTTTTTTTTTTTTTTTTTTTTTACTTTTTTTTTTTTTAACTTTTAATTTTTTTTTAACTTTTACTTTTTATAACAAAATTTCGAAACGGATTAAAAACTTGTAACTGTTTATTAATGAAATTTTAAAAATATTTTATATAATAAACGTTTATAAAAAATTTATAAAAATAATTTTTAAAATTAAATATTTAATTATTTTAAATTTATTAATTATTATTTATTAATAAAAAATTATAAATTTTTTAAAATTTATAACGTTATTTTTTTTTATAAATTTAATATATATATTATTATTATATATAAAATTTTTATAATATTAATTTAATTTTAATTTTTTAATAAAAACGTTTAAAATTTAATGAAAATATTAACCATTTTTTATAATATAAATAATTTAATATTTATTAAAAAGTTTAAATAATAATAAGTTTTTTTATTATTAAAATTAATAATAGTTTATTAATGTTATAAATTATTATTATTATAAGTTTTATTTTTTATTTTTTTATAATAATTATAAAATAAAAAAAAAAATTTTTTAAAAATTAATATTAAATTTAAAATATTTTTATAAATAATTAAATTTATTTAAATATTTATATTTATAAAATTATAAATTTATTTTAAATAATTATAATATATAATTTTTAAAATTTTTTTTATAAATTATATTATTATTTATTAAATATATAAACTTTGGTTATATATTTATAATCGGCGGCGTTATTATTTTAAATTGCGATATTATTTTATATTATTTAATAATTTTATTTAATAATATATAAAATAAAATCAAATATTATTAAAATAATAAATTTAATTATATTTTATTTTATTAATATTTTTTAATAAATTTGTTAATGTTTAAAATTTTAATTATATTTTTAAAATTATATTATAATAATAAATAAAAATATAATAATAAAAAATACGATAATTTTAATAAAAAATTATAAGTATTTAATAATTTGTATAATTGTAAAGTTTTGTTTAATGTAAAATTTAATAAATTAAAAAAAAAAAGAAAAGATTTTTTTCGTGGGTTATTTTAATGATATAATTAACGTATAAATAAAATAAATATGGTAATTTATTTAATAGTTTATATAAGTTATTATAATAATAATGTTTATTAATAACTTTTTTATAAAAAAGTTTTTAACGTTTTTATTAATTTAATTTATTGTAAATGTATTACATTTTTTTATTATATCGTTAATTTATTACATTTGTTACATTATTAATTTATTACATTAATTTATCGCATTCCATTATACCAATTTATTACATTAATTTATTACATTTTATTATATTAATTTATTATATTTTAAAGTTTTTTATTAAGTTTAAATTATTATAAAAAAATTTATAATTATTTTTTTAATATATTTATAAGTGTTATTTATATTTTGGCATTTTTGGTTTTATTTTTTTTAATTATTAATTCGTAACTTTTAAATTTTTTTAATAATGGTTTTAACTTTTTTAATATAATTATAAATATAATTAATACTTTTTTTTTTTAATTTTTTTAAGTTATATATTATTTACTTTAATTAATTATATTTTTATATTTTATTTAATATTTTTACTAATTATATAATTTTTATAAATTATTAAATATTTTTTTTTATTAAAACATTTTATATTTTAAATTATTTAATTATTTACGTAAAAAATTAAAAACTTTTTTAAATTTATTTAACTTTTTGGTTTAATTTATATATATTTATTTTATTTATTATTAATTTTATAAAATTTTTTTTAATATATTATTAATAACATTTTTAATATTTTTTATGTACGTTTTTACATTTTTAATATTATTATTTTTATTATTTATTATAATATTTTTATTATTAATTTTTTCGTTATTTTTAATAATAAATATAAAAATATTAAAATTATAAATATTAAATATAAATTTTACCGCATTTTTATATAATTATACTTTTAATACTTTTTTTTATTTTTTTATTTATTATTAAAATATAAAAATTTTTTAATACTTTAAAAATTATATAATTTATATTAATTTTAATGTTAATAATATTTCCGTAATATTATTTAATAATTTATTAAATTTTAATAAAAAATCTTTATTTATTTATATAACTTCGAAATATTTTTTAATTAAAACGTATAATAAAATTTTTTTACATTATTTAAAATCCCAATTATTTTTTAATTTAATTATGTAAACTTTTTATAATTTTAATATTATTTTATAATATAATAAACCGTTACTTAATTAACCATAAAAATTAAATTTTACCAATATATTAATAACTTTTTTTAAATTAAACCATTTTTTTAATTTTTAGTTAGGGTTAGGGTTAGGGTTAGGGTTAGGGTTAGGGTTAGGGTTAGGGTTAAGGGTTAGGGTTAAGGGTTAGGGTTAGGGTTAAGGGTTAGGGTTAGGGTTAAGGGTTAAGGGTTAGGGTTAGGGTTAGGGTTAGGGTTAGGGTTAGGGTTAGGGTTAG